TGTCGCTTCTTCACATGAGCATTCGACTGTACTAGGTACCGTCAACAGAGATTCACAATATGGGCTTGTCCAATGATACCCCAGGTGGCTTCCCGCCAGGATTGGATGGTCCAACAGGAGAGGAGTGGGATGGGGATGGGGATGGGGATGGGTGGATGTGGATGAGATGGCTTTTGGTTTGTCTCGTCTCGTCTCAAAGGCACGCCCACGACGCCGACCGCGCCGCCCGGATGCGCTACGAAACCTGAAATCCATCCATGTGTGCTTCAAGTTTGTGCGGCCTAGAGTGTGGCCCCCCGGATACTGTAGCTACGACTCACCCAACAACTCAACCCAACCGAGCCAGACCAAAGTCAAGGCCAAGACCAAGGCCAGAATAGCCAGAGAAAAACTTTTGAGTTGCACCAGATCTTGCCACAGTCTTCGCCGTGTCCCGGGTCGCGACAAAGAGGAAGCCGAGTGTGGCACTCAGGTCAAGGAATAAACGAGACACCAGAACTACAGAGCACGTCTAACACCTTTTCATATTATCACTTTTACAGCAGGTAAACTAGTATGGAACATGCTAAAATGATAGGTGATATCCTAATGACAGGTAATACTTCAGATCTCTTATTTACTCCCTTCCTACTCTTACACTTGCCATCTGGCTACCCTGACGAGAAGATAGATGATGTCTGGACTGTATTGATGTCTTTCTTTTCCTTGGCCCGAGTGGAAGCAAAAAAACACACCACTTTAATCAAGAAGCGCGCCTGTCCAAGTCCGTTCCGATTCAAAAAGAAATCTCATGGCTCTCTCTGTCCGGGTCTGGGTCGGATTTTCCAGACCATTCACAGCCCTGCTGCCTCCCTCCCTCACAGCAAAATCCCGAAAGTCTCGCCATTCTCCCCATTCGATTGTTAATCCAACAACCCACGGGGAACCCGTCCGTCCCACAATGACCTCACTTGCAGTGGGTGACTGATCTCCCGGGATAGTCCGTCCCGAGCAACGAAGAAGCGATGGAAGCAATTGCCTTTTGGGCTTTGACTTGCAGGTATTCGGAGCTCGTCTCTCGTGGTTCGGTAAAGTTGCTCCGGGAACCGTCTGGCGACAGCTTCGGAGGCTCGCCGACCAAACACGGGGTGCAGGACACCTAATGTTACAAGCCTCGAGGCTGCCATGCGGGCTGTAATGCACACGCTCGACATTAATATCGATACACCTTATCAGTGTCGATGCGTCTAGGGCACTCGGTTATTTATGTCAACCCTCTGCCAGGCATTTCTCTGCCTAGATGTGACCGTCTCGGTCGCCCTCCCTCTTTAACATCTGCACAACATTCAACTGGGCCTGATGTGCAAGGTGATAATCATCAGTTCCTGCATTATCTCGGTGAATACGCATCATCGACGCTATGGCAACGAGGCCGCCAGCCTGTCGACAAACATTCATGGCATAGCCATCATGATTGCGTGGTGAGCGGCAAGTGCCGTCATAGCCTCCAGTTCCACTGCGCTCATGAGGACGCGGGAAACTGGTGATGCAGATTGCCTCGATCCGTACGCACGTGAATCACTCGGTATCTGTGATTGTCGAATGGTGAAACGACAGCCCATCACTCAGCAGATTTGATTTGCTTTGTTTCCGCCTCCCGATCATGATCAACGGCTCTCCCTCGTACTGTACTGCACCAGACACCTCACTCTGGCTCGTGCGTCCACCAAGTGGCGGCGCTACCAACCCCTTAACAGAGAGCCAATCTTGTTGGCGTTACCGCGACAAGTCCCGACTCAGAGACTGCATGTAACTGGTCTCTGTGGTCCGCCGGACTTCTCCCCACTGGCATCCAAGATGTTGTGCAGCCAGGGAGGTTGTACAAATCATTACCTCAGCACCGACGCTCTCGATTTAGGTACGGGGCACCATCGGACACCGGATCCTTAACAGATCCGGGCGAACAGGTTCTCTTTGTCTTGTGCGCCGTGTTTGTGGACACCACGGGTTTATTGCCATTAATCATTCCCGTCTATTCAAGGCCGTGTTACAAAGCCATCTTCCTCTATTAGAAACGGATTTGCCGCAGCAGCTGTCACAGCCTTCTCCTTTGAGCGGGCAACCCGGCAAGGGGGATACACACACGTACATGCACACGCGCACACGGCTTCACCTCTTTGGCTCTCAAAGGTGCGTCAAGGAAAGAGTCTCGACAGGGTGTTCATTCGGTAGCCGAATGAATCCCCCGCTCGGCTTGGGGGGCCATGATTGGCTCCGGGGTGGCGCTGTCTGATGCTTCCGGGCTATCCATCCTGCTCTCCAAGTTACATGACGGCCTGTTGTCGATGCCGTCGGAATACCTACCTCACGAGTTTTGCGGAATAGGCAACCAGTGTGGTGTGGGATCTCAAGGGCCTGTGAATCGAGCGTCTCTGGGCAAAACCCTAGATTCGATGCGCACCCTCCCACACGAACAACCCCAGCACCGGCGTCGTCGTGCTCGGATAGAATGAGTCAATCTCTAAACGCGGCCGGCCTACCCTGGACAATCCAGGCTCCCCTCGGGCACATTCGCATTTGAACGCATTCTCGCCCGAACCTTGACGGACAAAGGCAGACGGAGGAGGTGATCCACCGTGATGTTCACGCCGTCTATTCTCGTGCTCGGTCAACCTGTTCACAAGCCCAGACGCTGCCTGCACCGCCGCCTGAATCTCAGCCGCTGTCGGAAGGCTGAGTATAGATGACGCACGGCGAGACACTCCCTTTCACCCACGGGACCTCGGTGATTCCAAAGATATCGGCTTGGTTCCTTCGGAGGCAGAATCGGAGACTGCCCAGATGAGAACCCCCCCCATCATGTTCTAATTCATGAACGCCTTGGAAGGACCCATGATGCTCCCTGGCGTTCGTTCGGTATCCCCCCAACCCAACGCCGGGTTTGATCCAACTCCCCACGTGGGTGAAGAAAAAAGTGATGCACTGGCATGGAGGCACCACGAGGCGCATTGTGCTTCCCACCGAAAAATGTAAAGAACGAGTACTGACAACCATGATGAAGCATCTAGAGGATCTCTATAGCAACGCATGTTATCACGCACCTGATTTAGGGATGACTTCGGTGTCTGCGTCTCTTCTTTCATCATCAACTAACATCACCGGAGACGAATTTGGTCCTGCCGTGCCGCGTGCTCTCCACCCCCCATGGCCCCCACATTCCGACCCCCGGCTTCTTCGGAGTCCCGCCCGGGCACGGAAGTTTCTATATGGATCTCATGAGAGGCGGTCGAGATTACGCGATGCTCGGGGCTGGGCTGACGCCCACCGAATTCTTTAATGTCTAGCTGACAGAGAGGTTCAAAGCAGCAGCTGAATTATTGAATCCAAAAGGGCTGGCTTATCTCAGACGAATCCTCTTTCGCGGTCCCGCCGGAACAGGAATATGTGCCCAAAGTCCCATTCCTTGTTCCTGTTAAATTCGAACCTGGATGGATGGGATGGTTGGATGTGACGGACCTGACCCCCCCTCACCGTCAGATTTACAAAAAAGCACAGAACGTGGCTGCCTAGTCGTCCAGGGCACACCGCGCAGGCATGGCCCTTGTCGCCATATTCCCTGACAGCACGAGGCGCGTTAAAGCCCATCATCAAGGCATGGTCATCCAATATCCACGCGCCGCTCGCTGCAACACATCAAACGCAAGGCAAGGCAGCCCTGGGGTCGCGCATCACAAGGGGAAAAGAGAAACCTTGACCGGTTCCTATCAGGCAGCCTTCGAGAAGGCGTCAAGAAGGCGTCTGAAACTCAAGAGGCTGCTGGAATCCTCCAGATCCTATCGACCGCCCCCAAATGCACACATTTTCCCAAGCAAATGCCCCGACATCTGCCGGCGTTTCCCCATCTACCACTCATGCATATTCTCCCCCCTTCAAGGAAGATATAACCCAACCAGGTAAAACCGAGTGCTGATCTGCGGTGACAGCTCTTTTGACGCCTCGTTGCCCCTCTTGAGGACGTGGTGAACCTATTGAGGGGCTATGGCGGGGCAAAAATGATAAGGCGACGAGGCGGGCTTTGCTCACCGAGTTGTTGTCGTTGTCAATGACCATGGCCTTGGAAAGAGGCCAGGCTGGCTTCTGCGACTAGTATGCTGCATGATAGAGACATCTGACCAAGGAGAGCTGGATGGGGAGAGGCCATCTTCGTAGACCATATTCCTGTTGTTTTGCCGCCTCTGTTCCCATGGTGACAGTCATAAGTTTGTTATGTCACGTAGAGAAGTAGAGGAGGAGACTTATTATTGTTACACGACTTAGCAAGAAGCTCAAATAACTGGTCCTGTATACCGCTCGCAAACAACACGGGTTTGGCCTGCACGGGGGGGGGGGGGGATCTGGATGGCAACCCGTACTACGGACACTTCGACACAGGTCCAACACCACGAGGCAGTTTGCCATCTACTTGCGCAAACACATCGTCATCCAATGTAGAGGAAATATTGACGACTGTTGTAATTCCCTATAAGACCACCCTATGGACAACATCTTACGTGTGATCTCAAACCTCACAGTCACTATAACAATGTTCATCATCATGAGCCCTGCTTGCCACACTTCGTAGAGTCACATATTACTACCATCAACTTCGGGGGAGGGGAGGTCACCAAGGTAACGCGTCGGCTTCATACAATGAAACTGCCATTTCTGTTTCAACCCGTCACCATCTCCAAGTTCTGAACCGAACATGACACTGCCGGGAAGAATGACCCATACTCGGGTGACCGACCCAATTCTTCAAACTGTCTTATTCCACACCATACCCTTCGACATCGGCGTGACTGATGCTCGGGGAACTACATTCGTGTCATTGTACCGACATTAACCGTTCAACGAGGCAAGGCTAACGAGTCACAAGGTGTGACAGGTTTACCGTCTTGTCATGAAGAACTTCACCGAACCCATAATGGGGGCTCTTCATTCAACACGACACAATCGAGACAACCGCATGCACCGAGGGCTTTGCAAAATGCATTCAATAGTTACATACTCAATTACAATTGACCAAATAAAAGCCGGAACCGTTTGCAACTTTTCCCCTTCGCCGCCAAAAATGTCTTGTTTGATACCATTCTCCTGGTTTCCTCACCATTGCGTCCGTGGCAGCGAGAGAAGTTGACCCCTGTTGTCGTACGATCCACTCTAAACACCATGTGATGCGGTACTCTAGGAAGCCATGTAAGTGCTGGCATCAACACCCTCCTTGGGGAATTCACTACTCAAGGTTAGTGTCTTGTCTCACAGACGGGAAGCGGCATCACTTACGGAAGGGCGACCTCGAATCGCTTCTCAATCTCCTTCAGCACCTCCTGGTCCTGGTCGGTGCTGACGAAAGAGATGGCCAGACCCTTGGTACCGAAACGACCGGCGCGACCGACTCGGTGAAGGTACGAGCTGGCGTCGTTTGAAAGATCGTAGTTGATGGCAAGGTTGATACGCTCAATATCAATACCTCGGCCGAAGACGTCAGTAGCAACGCAGATTCTCTTCTTGAACTCCTTGAATTCCTTGTAGCGACGGATACTATGCGCTGTTAGAAAAGGGCCTCAACAAATATGCAATGGCAACTTACCGTTCTTCCTGGCTGACACCCGAGTGAACAGCGATCGAAGGGAAGTTGCATTCCCGGAGTAGCTTGTCAAGCTCGGTAGCACGGACGGTGCTGCGGACGAAAATGATGACCTGGTTGAACTGCAGATCATCCAGGAGCTCGTTGAGCTTACGGTTCTTCTCCTTCTCCTCCAGCTTGATGTAGTACTGCTGGAGACCGTGGAGCGTGAGCTTGGTGTCCTCATCAACGTAGTGCTCGGTAGGGTTCTGCATGAACTTTCGGCAGATGGGCTTGACCTCCTCGGACAGAGTGGCCGAGAACATCATAACCTGCTTCTGCTGAGGAGTAGCGCGGAACACATCCTGAACATCGGTACGCATGTCTACCCAATTAGCATCGCATCGCATTGCGCACCAAGAAGTGGTACTTACCAGGCTGGTCAAGCATCTTGTCGCACTCATCGAGGACGAAAATGCGGACGCTGCCGAGACGCAGAGCCTTGTCACGGACAAGAGCCTTAAGACGACCAGGAGTGCCGACAATGATGTGAGGGCAGGTCTCCTTGTTCTTCAGGGTCTCGACATCCGTCTTGATGGGAGTACCACCATAGAACACGCCAGTCTTGATGTCAGGCATGTACTTGCTGAATCGGTTGTACTCGTCCCGAATCTGGTAGGCCAGCTCACGTGTGTGGCACATGACAACCACCGAGACCTCTCCGTTCACAGGCTCGACCTGCTGAAGAGTCGCGAGGACAAAGACGGCCGTCTTTCCCAGACCGGACTTGGCTTGGCAGATGATGTCACCGCCGAGAAGAGCCTGAGGGATACAAGTTTGTTGGACTGTCGATCGAACCGATGTTAGAGCGGGTTTCTAAGAAGCAACGAACGACGGGTGCAATGTCAGGAAGTCCGTCCATCGTCGCAGCTTAGCCATTGCCAAATCTCGCAGTCTCCATTGAGATTGGTTGTTCATCAAGTCGAAATGATGATACCACAACCGAAGATTCCCAGGTCGAACAGCTGCGCAAGAACCATGGGCCTGGAGCGCCATGGGTTCTGGTGTGCTGATCAAAGTGTTCCTCGTTTCGTCCATTATTTCAACCAGAATGATCCGTTCGCGTCAACCTCCTGCGCAGTATCCGCTTTCACGCGATACGTTGCGACAGGGCGGGTTGTGTTTTGCGGAGAACCACGTCTCTCACCCGTGGTCTGTTTCCGCCCGGATACTCGGACCATCTCAGGTCCCTGCTGAACCTCCTCCACCAACGACGACGACGATTTGTAGGAGAAAATGGCCATTTCTTCTTGTTTGCTTGCGAGATGGACGGACGCTTGAAGGGAGGGGATTTGATGACTTAGGGTATTAGAATATCAGGACTAACCCTCCGATGGATGTTCGAAACCGCAGTCGGCGATCGCGCGAAGGAGCTCGGCCTTGAGCAGGAAGTCGCGGAAACCGGTCGAGTGAATACCGACGTAACTGCCCTTCTTGTCGACATTGTTGCCGGCGGCGAGCTCGCCCTTCTTGCCGTTGGAGGTGGTGGCGGCGGTCTCGTTGCCGCCGATCTCCTCATCGGAGTAATCGATGAGATCCTCCTCATGGGACATGATGGCGGTTGTTGTTGAGCGCGGGTTAGAATGTCGAATGCGAAGCTGCCGCGAAAGCTGTCCTTTTGCAGCGAGGTTGCGCTGACGTGCAGAACGCGATGCTCTCCACAAGGGGGTCGCGTCGCCGGGGAAAGAGTCGAAGATGCGGCGCGAACGTGCCACAAGATGAGGGAAACAGAGGAGAGTGATGGATTGAAAGAGAGAGGGAGAGGTTGGAGATGAAGAAAGAGCCCCAGTCGTCGTTCAAGGATGAACTTGAAAGGCTTTCTTTGTTTGAGGCTGAGGAGGGAGACGCCAGAAAGCAGGCAGGAGGGCCCGCTTGATCGCCCTGTTGACAAACAGGCCCGTGCACTGCCTCGCACACGTGACGCGAGGCAGCCGTCAGTGAACAGTGCCAAGTTGGAGTTTTTGGCACGGACGGGCGAGAATCCTTGATGAATCTTCGAGATGAGTCTTTGCAGACTGAACTTAGAAATCACATACAAATCCTGACAAAGACTTGGTATTAATGGCCAAGGCCAAGGAGCCGAAAGGCGTCCAGAACCGCATCATTTATTCCAGAGCCTCATATCTTTACCAAGCAGCCTCATACCTCGCCAGTCAAAATCGCCAACCAGGACAAGATGCTTCATCAGAATCCTCGCCCTCAGGTCATGAGCACAGTGCTCCAGCGCCAACAGCCAACGAACAAAGAGCTACGCAGAATATGTCTCGCCATATCGCCTCTAGCTTACGGGCTGTTTCTTTGAAGGCCCAGATTCGACAAAGTCCAGCCATGAAGCAGACCATCTGCAAATTCTGCGACACCCTCCAGGTCGAAGGAGAGACTTGTACCTCAACCGTGGAGAACGCCAGCAAGGGCGGGAGGAAACCCTGGGCAGACGTCCTTACGATACGTTGCAAGACGTGTGGAAACGTCAAGAGGTACCCCGTTAGTGCGCCAAGGCAGAAGAGGAAGACCTTGCGAGGACCGAAGCCCGATGAGCCTATGGAGGATGTTTGCGACGAAACAAAGACTCAAGAGCCAACACCAGGAACGACCCCAGGGCCATGAATCCAGAAACCAAAGTTTGAATAACTTGATACCAATCTCCTAGCGGCTACGATGAGATGCGAAGATCGTCAGAGCTGCGGAAAAGCGAGCCGTCAGAAGGACACCGAAGTTGGTCCTAACACCAGAACCCCTGGATACCATGCAACAAAGAATCATCTTTGGAAAATCACATGGGAGGTGGTGTAGAGCTGGCTGTGCTCGCCCTTGAAGCCAAGCCTTGGAACCCGAAGCTGAATGCTACGAACAAAGCCAAGGTCTTGAACGGGAGGCGGCGGACTCCATCACAAGCACATGTCTGGTAGATGTCTGAAGTGATTCGCCAATATAGATTCGGCGATGATCATAAATCGCCGTAATAGAACATGGCTTAAGCCACAATACTTGTTTCTTTGTCTTAAACCCGTTGTCACGTAACATCTCCATGGAAACCATTGATCCATTACTTCCCTGGCTGACCAGCCTCTTTGACGCTTTCTTCTCCCAGCACTTTGCTCGCCGCCATGAACCTATCATCGTAAGCCACTGTATTGATCACAAGTTCGGTACGATCAACACTTACAGCCCACCATGCCAGCTGCCCAACCCCCTCATCGCCTCTGCCTGCACACTGGTCATGCGTAGTAGGTTCTCTGTATCGGAGAGATTGGCCGAAAGCTGGGCCAGTTGCGAGTTGAGCTGTGCCTGTTTATCGCGGGAATGTTAGCGGGGGATGTCATCGCTGTGGCCAAAGACCTACGAGCTGTCTCGACTTGAGCGCGGTTCCGCTGGTCGCCATGCTCTGCCGCACCTGCGACCCGCTCACGTTTCGCGTAGCCATGACTGAGTTTCCTCTGACCTACTCCTGGAATTCTCTAACCGCAAGTTCCCGGTCGTTGTGCCAAGTCTTTGTCCCGTGGCCCAGGTTCGTAGCAATGAAGTCGATGATAAAGAACGCCAAGGCAGAAAGCTTGTAGTTTGCAGGGGGTTTGCGACGTCCCGGACGTAGGGGAAGCCAAGAAATCAAGATAATATGTTTATCAAGAAGGAGAGATAGAGAAAAAACCCCGATATAGTCGTCGTTCTTATTCTTGGTGCTTGTTGTGATAAGAAGTCAGGATAGAGCGAGAGTGGTGGTTGAACCTGAGGTTCTGTTTGGTTGGCCCGTGCACTTTCCCGACTCGGACGTATAAACAAACAATCACTTGCTCACTCACTCGGATGGATCTACCTTCAGTCTATCCGCCCCTTTCCCTCAAAAACCTATCTATCTAATGTTGATTAATAGCTTGTAGTAAATGAATGAACCTTAGGCCTCATCTGTCTGTACGGTTCAAGATCGTCATGGCTTCGTTCCTCACAGTTGGCGCTTCAATCATTGGAAGTTGATTCTGAATAGAGTCAAACATTATACTTTGCTAATAATTACTTTACTTTTGCACTCGACATTTGCACTTCCCCCAATTAGTTGTCAGGCTCAACGCTCGTCCCCAGTACCAAGCCCTTCACATCCAGTCAGGTCATAGACCTCCAAATCACTCCACCATCATTCATGAGGAAACCCTTCAAACTCGATTCATCGCCATCTTCTCTTTTATAACCATTCGTGTCTATGTGTGTTTCCCAAAGGATCCCACTCCGAGGCTTTCCCTTTCATTTCTCCATAAACAAACAACTCGCGATCAACAGAGTAACCAGAAAAGAAACAACCATCCTTAGTCTAATGTGCTTGTGTGCCCCCAGTGAGAAAAACAATACCTGTCATAGTCCCTCCCTGCTTGCGACGCCAGTCTGAATTCTTCATCATGCCCGCAAACATTTGGGAGGGAACTCCAGTGAGAAGAAAGCAAAGACTTGTCCAGGTAATGCAGCGCCTTTGATCCTCCCCATCCACCCCTAATCCCGGAAGCCTGACCGCTCATCCCTGGGTCTCAATGACGTTCCGCCAGTAGTATCCTGAGTCCAGGGTGTTGACACACCGAGACCATGCACATGCATTGGCTCAAGTGGAGGCGCGAAACGACGCTCAGGGGCTGAGGGCCGATAGTCGATTATATGCTAAAAAGCACAGAACATGAATGAATTCCGATCCCAATGCAATATTACCAAAATAGGTTCCTTCTGTTTGATCGTTCCAATGTGTATGTACGGATTGTGCCGGAACCGGAGCTAATTATGAAGACGTTGATCTTCCGAGAATAGTCCAAAGTGACCTTGACTTTTGTCGTGTCGTCGCGTGTTTTCGATGGATCTGAGGCGTATAATAAAAACAAAAAGAAAGTGTCGTCCTCGTTGAGGTGAGTGTCGTGTGAGTAGGAAGCCAGATAGGCGTATGTAATACAGGTAAGAAACTTCAAAGGTAATCCCAACAGCGGGATACATGAAGGGCATGAGAAAACTCAAGATGCCGCAACTCCAATGTTTCGGGTATGACTCGATTCTGTTTTCGAGGCCGGCTGTGCTGTCGTTTCGTCGGGGCCAGGATAAAGACTAATAACCACGGCCGTTCAAGTGCAGCTTATCGCACTCCAATCGGAGGGCGTGGAGGTAGACTGCCCTGGCTGCTGTTTGCTGACTCGGATTCACCACTGCCCGCGCTGGCGCTCGCACTACCCGTCAGACTGCGAACATTCCTAGGTTTAGTTTGAGGGAGGGCGCTCACCCCAATATGTTGTTCAACTTGCTGTGGTGCTACTGCGTTGCCTTGACCCGGAGGGTGTTGGGGAATGGGCTGGCGAACACCATTAGGTGGTGATGGTCGCCCGTTCATGCCTGGGCCGTAACCATTCGGGGGAGATCCTCGTCGACTGCCACCACGCATTGATGGACTATAGGGATTTCCAGGGGACTGACTGGCCCGCCGAGGGTAAGCACCGTTCATGCCGGGAGGTCCACCGGGGCCGGGACCATACTGAAGGTCATCGAGCCTTGCAGCCGTAAGAGAGTTGGCCCGAGAACCTGCGTTCATGGCACCACGGTCTACAGCTCCGTAGCGGTTCGAAGAGCAACTCAAGAGAGGATCCTCTAGAATGTTCTCAGTTGTCATCGTGGCATGGGTATGCCCGACTTGGCTGGTGCGGTTGCGGCCGAAACTGGGTCTGAACCGCCCTCCTCGCGTAGGCGGTGGTAGAGTATCGGGGTTGCGGCGGAACTGGGCAGGGTTCTGCTCAGGGGCCTTTCGGTTCTTTCTCGAGGTCACGCTCATCATGTCGAAATTATCTGGGTCAATCAGTGGAGGCGCCGGGTTTGCGGTCGGATCAAAGTAGTCGTCGTCGTCATCATCATCATCGTCAAACACCTGCTTGCTGTTGCGCATAGGATGAGGACCACGACGGGGACCAGGTCCTCCATGTGGGCCAGGGGGTCCAGGTGGTCCAGGAGGTCCACGTCGCATTCGCATCTCTTGCTCTCGAATGGCGAGTTCTCGCTGTCGTAGGGCCAGCTCCCGCTCTCGCATAGCAATATCTGAGTTATCACCGGCCACGGAAGGCTCGGAGCCTTCAGGAATGTCGTCATATAATACGAGGTGCGAGAATTCCTCAAGGCTGTTCTCCTCAAGGGATCCCCTCCTTGATGGCTGGCGAGAGCCTCCACCATTCATCGAAGGCGGCGGTCGGGGATAACCGTTAGGAGGTCCACCGTTCATTGGAGGTGGTCCACGACGCATACCAGCCTGGCTGAGATTGGACGAGTTCCGTGGCCTGGGTTGGCGAGGGGGCATCCCTCCATTGGGCATGCTGTTCATCATGGGGCGATGACTGTTCTGGGATGGCATTCGAGGTAGTTGCGGTGCGGTCGGGGAGCTTGGTGGCATGATGTTGGCGTTCGGATCGCCCGGTTTAGGTCTGTTGCGGTTGACAGTATTCAGGTTATGGAGGATGGCGTAAAGCGTCTCGATTCTGGGAACAGAGACCTTGTTGTCGCGAGCGAGCTTGACAGGTGATCCAAGGTAGGTTTCGATCTCCATGGGCCTCCTGGCAACGTAGTCCTGCCACATGATGCTCTCTCCCGACGTCTTGGTCATCTCGTCAATTGTCTTTTGCTTGAAATCAGCGTCGAATTTGCATCCGTTAGCAGCGGCCAATCGAAGTAGCTCATCAAGTACTTCAGACACCATGTCCTTGACGCCAACCTTCTCGAGAAGGGCGGCATGGTTGGGAGTTTCGAAAATGACACTAATAGGATGGAAAGCAATGGGCCTGGGGAGCTGATTAGTCGAGTTCGAGCCAAAGTGTGGAATACATACCCAATCACCCTCTCATATTGTTGTTGGCGTATGTTCGGAGACACCTTGCATTCCACCTGGCCAGAGCTAAGGGTCACTGCCAAAGCCTGTGCCATATCCTCCTGGATAGACTGGGGGATGTTGGTATTCTGGCTGGCAGGTCCAATCCAGATATCTGTAGGTCCCTTGTGTTCGAACTCGCTCTGGCCAAGCTGTGTAAGCTCAGCACCAGAAACGAGTGACAGGACGACATTGGTGGGAAATCGCTCCTCAAGAGCAGCTTCGACTCCCAGCGTGTGGGTAGTGTTGACGAGAATGCAAGTGTGCTGGGGCGTGACGACAGAATCGATTACGGAGGCGAGGTCATAGACATCCGGCAATGCCTTGACACAGAGAACAACGTAGTCGAAGGGGCCTTCGCGGGCACTGGCGGCGTCTTCGGGGTTTCGGACAACTGCAATTGGAGATAATTAGCTATTGATGTCACAAAAGTCTGGTCATTGCCAACGTACCATGCCGGGGCTTGAATCGTTCATTGCCGAATGTCGGTGACCTAAGAACTGGTCAGTGATTAATTCGTACGAGGGAGCACTTGATTCACTTACTTGAACGAGATGCCGTACTGTGCCACATGTTCGTACCCAGATTTCCAAACGAGCGTCACATCGCACGCGTTGGTAGCTTGTAGTCGCCATGATAGGAAGGCCGAGACAGGGTTGCCTCCCACTACAGAGACTCTCATTAGTTCGTTGTCCGCCATGTTGAGAAGCGTAGGTGGAACGCTGCACGAGCAACCGTCCAGGCGGTTGGCGTGAGGTTAAAAGATTTGGTGAGTAGAAGTGAAGATTGAAGTTGAAGAAGGTTGTCTAATGTGAATGGATGGGAGGGGCCAGGTGGATTGTAATGACGCGCCCAGTCACCGGGAACCAGGCCTAGGTATGAAGGGAGAATTGTAGGAGAGAGAGGACGACAAACCTGATAGAATCCTGAGCCGGGGCGATACAGGCGCCATGGTGTCCGACGGGGACCTAATGTGGAATAGCGGGCTGGTCTGGTTTGAGGGTGTAGCGGGCGGTCTCTGATGACGGACCCGTAGCCTCGGGGCGTGATGGGTACCACAGCGCAACAAGGTCGGAAGGGATGGGGGCGCCTCCCTGGGGATGGCCGGACAAGGACAGGCCCAGTGGAGGTAGATTATCGTTTATTGCGAGCCGCAATGGAGAAGACAACGGCAGGACGGGGGTCCAGGACGACGGAGCAGGCTCAGTCGTGCATGTAGCGGATCGTGTCAAGGAAGCTATCGCCTTTCGGGTTGGGACGAGGCCAGCGAGGCGTCGCGACCACGGTGAACGGACGAAAGATGGCGGCGGAGGTGACAGCGGTGGGATCAACGAGCGACAGGGCCAGAAATCGTGGCGGCGGCAGGATGGCGTACTGGGGTCGTGAGCGATAGGTGGTGATGAAGCAACGAGAAGTCGACAGACAACCAGTCAATAGTGAGTGTGACGGGTGGGACGAGAGCTGAGATGGACGGTGACCAACGGGGGGCGTGGGAGACTGTCTGGGGTTCGTAGGACGAGATAGGAGGAGCGAGTGTGGGCTGAGCTGAGCGAAGCTGGGACAAGAATTGGAGCTTGATCGAGGCTGGAAATGGCGACAGACAGCGGGCGCGGCGGAACAAGTTGCGCGGACTCGGACTCTGGGCGTGGGAGTGGCCGTTGGGAAGAAGCGATTTTCCCTTTGCAATCGTAGGCGACAGGCCCCGGACGAGCTGGAAATGGATCCCTGTGTTTTCTTTAGGTTAATCAGCGTCGGGTTGATGAAAGAGAGGGTCCCTCTCGGTCTTGGCCTAGGCGGAGCGTGCGTGTCGTGCGTGCAAAAGATGGATATGGCCCGTGATTGATTGGGTCTGGACTTGAATTGGAGCAGCAGGGGTAAGGTGCCGCCGAGAGAAAAACTCAAGCACGTCGTGCAGTGTAGGTAGTGTAGTGTCTACGGGAGTACCTCCTTGACTGTCCTGTACTTGGCGAGACAAGTACTAGGCATCGCAATCTCTCTAGAGACCGGGGGGAGGACGAGATGCCTTGGAGAGGCAGGCAAAATTGAGAGGGAGCAAGAGAGGTGTGGGAAAAGAAGAAAGATAGTCGGCCAAGTACCAAGGGGGCCAAGCTTGCAAGGGGCCAGCAAGTATCGAGCAGAAGGCCAGCGGACAACAGGGAAAAGAAGACAAGGGGGGTCCCAGCGGGATGTGCGATTTGCGGGAGTGGCTCAGCCCGAGTGTCGGTTGAAGGACAACGGCGACGATATCGTGAGCTCCAAGTGGTGGGCAAGCTCAAATTGGATGACGGCGTGTGTGTGTGAGTGTGGGTGAAGGTGACCAGGGGAATGCGACCCCGGAAATGCTATCCCCGTATTTGCCGATTCCAAGGAAAAGAATGCCAAAGCGAGGATGGGGGATTGGGATAGGGGAGTTGATGGAGGGTGTGGCTTCTCAAGGGAGGATCAAGGAAAGGGATTGTTACTGCGTTGATACTGACTGTCGAGGCGTAGAGACTGGTGTAGCAAGTGCAAGACTCATGATCTGAGCGTGAAGGGGAGTGCAAAGGCAAAGAAAACAGAGTTTTTGGCTCTTCAACTCACCCACTTGTTCCTTAATTTTCCTCTCCTCTATCCCGATAGAATTCTCCCGAATCCAAGAATGAGCAAGCCAGTGGGGTCGTAGTGACGAATGCTGACGATGACGGGAGTCCTTTGTTTCGAGATTTTGCGAGCTGGAGCTAGTGAGGGTCGGTGCGGAGCGGCCGGAGTTGAGGATGGAGAAGGACGGGAATGCCACGAGGAGGCACGCGAGATGAGGTGCGTGACTTCAGCTGGGAACGACAATTGAGCTGAAAAGCAAGCTGATGGCCAAGCGTCGAAAGCTGGGAAGAAACTTCCTTCTGTTGCTGTCTAAACAAGAAGCAGCATCAACGGGTGCGCAGGTAGGTCGCTCGGTAGGTAGCGAACACCCAGGATGTCCAACCAAAAAAGAAGCCAATATTCCCTTCTTGGATGTTCGTTCGTCAAAGAGAGGCGCTCGACCGAATACCGAGATTAATCGAACAATTCCAGGAGTGTCCCAAAGTCAGGGAATTGTTAAAAAAAAAAATGGTCGTAGGTAGGTAGGTTGGTTGGAGGTTGTGGTCGGCGTAAGTTCGTTGGTCGTAATCGATCGTTCCTTCCTTCGATCTTCTTTCCCTATCCGGGTCGTCGCCTTGATGTTTTGTTTCGTCTTTTAGAGGATCTGCTCTGCCCCCTTTCTCTTCTTCGACCAACACTCGATTAATCAAAGGAATCCAAATGAGAAGGAGTCTTGATTGATGGCGACTTGCAGCAGCGCGCAATCAGTGTCGGAGCAAACACATGGAGAAACAAACGAGAGCACTTCGAGCACGAAAACGAAACGAGCGAGGGAGAGGGAGAAAATTGGCGATCCAAGGGAGAAACCAAGGGACTCGGGCGCATGCTAATGAATACGAAGTCAACCCCAGAAGCGAAAGTTGCCAGCGCGTTAGACGGGACCCTGACTGACTGCCGTCCATCCATCCAAAGTGTCCGGCGATATCATCCGCACCGGCATGGCATCCTCATCCCCATCTTCATCCGCCGTCCACCACATCCCTATCAGCATCCCTACCGGCATCACCCCGTCCTCACACTCCGTGTGTACGGCACAGGGACTGCTGACGCGGGCACGCATTACGCACTGGGACAGGTACCTGACCAAGTTAGTTGACCCCTAACCAGCATCTAGGCCAGGCACGAAACCTGTCGAATCCTCCGGCCCCGATATCGTACACGCTCTATATGTGGATTGGCCGGCATATATTGCCATTCTTCTGCCTCTGAGTCGACCGATGGCTGGCGTGCATTGAAACAAAATATCCACTGCCCGACCAACAAACAACAAACAACAACTCGTGTGTTGCGGTGTGCTGCAGCGTTCAAACTTACTCCCAGCAATGGACGAATGCTTTTCTCGGGCGGCCCGGCTCTTGACATGCCATCACTCGACATTCGTCATACTTTGAATACCCCGGTGATTAGAGCGTCGTATTAAGACACACGACCTTTCCTCCAAAAGTCAGGACGACGACCACCAAGAACCAAATCCCACTCGTACCAAAGCTGCACTGCAACCCTGCCGAGAGGGCCCAAGCTCCAGCCGCAGACACCATGCCTCGTGTAAAGAATGGACCCAACCTTGCCGTGGAGCATTGCACAGCACACCAACCCACTGTCCCGCGAGTGACAATACGCAGAGAAAAAGCGTAGTACAGTGGATAAACGGAAGGATTCTCCCTCTCCCGACGCGACGCAGACCCTCCTCCAGACGGGGAATAAAGCTGCCCGAGGTATCCTGTCAGGTACTTGCCCGTGCAGGTGCGAGTCTGCGCCTCGGAGGCCGCGTACGACCATGTTGAAAAAGGAGGCCGGTCAGGTAACGTGAGACTCACGCTCATGCCTTACCTTTGCCCGCCCGTGAAGCCATCCTCATCAATGTCGTCGATACGGGAGAGCACATGTCTGGTGTTGAAACTCGAAACAAGTCAGAGCAAGCCATGCCGCCTCATCACTCAAGGACACAAACGCCTGGCACGTATGCGATTCGCCGATCACCTAGTGCCTGTCATTCACAAGCCGCAAGACATACCCCCTTCAGCAGTGTGTTTGTTTCAACAGACATTCCTTGACCAGGTGGATGGTCTTGAAGGAATGCCATCATCTCCTTTCTCGAAAGACAATTCCCATCTTGAATCCTCCATTTCAGTTTTGCCAGAGGCATCCTTGCTCACAAGCGTGCGTGCCATGTTGGCCCGGGTGAACAGTGACAAGACTGAAACCCAGATATTGGTTGTGTTGCAGGGTCCATGGTATCACATGGCATCACAGACCTACTCCTACATTGCCTCTTCAAGCATGTGTCTTGTGTTTTACACATTTTTCAAACTCAATTGCAGTTGGCTCAATGCTAAGCATGTTTGTTGGCCGAGCTTGGCCTTTAGGTTTCAAATCCGCATTCTTCCCACCGTCATTCAAACAAAAGGGCATGTCTACATACTCCGTACTGGAAGGCAGAGTCATTCAACTGCGTTTTTGCCTGGCAGCTCGCCCACCATTGCAAGCACCCAAGCTCAACTCACGTCCCTGTGGTTTGTAAGCGGGACGCCTGCTAACAATAGAATCTCCTATCTGGCCTGCCCTGGTTGCTCCATCACTTCTCTCCTGGCTCTTGGGTTCCCCTCAAAGTACGGAGTATCCTTACTGGAGTTCCTCGCTGTCGGTGGACTTGATCAATGAGCCCGAAGTCCGTCCCCACCCACCGAGAGAGACCACCATAGCCCACACGTTCTCCTCATATTAGAGTTGCTTCCAACCCAGAACGTCGAATGGAGGAAGAGGGAGCCCAAGTCCTCGAACTACCAGGTACGAAAGGGCGTGTTCCAGCGATTCCGATTCGTAGGACCACGCTCAGAATACGCGGATTCCCCACCGCCGTGGCTTCGTTTCCAGGGGCCGTCAGGGGTAAACTGACCCTCCCGCAGCGCCAAGTCCTGCCATCCCGTCCCCTGGAGGACTAGGTCTTATCGGTCTTTTCATCGCTTCGAGCTGGCGTTGGGTTGAGAGGGGGGGCCATGGGTCATTCACTTATCAGTCACTGACAACAGAGCAGATCGATCGTGGACCCGAGAACCCTTGCCCTGTTTTCTCACGTTGTACCTTGCAGCATTTACCCACACCCACCTGCAGACAGGTCGTCGAGTTGACGACGGTGAAAAAGTGGACAAGAATTCCTTTTGCCATTTACTGCTGTGCCGCCATGTGCGCGAAACCGCGTTCAAGTTCCGCGGCGTCTTTCAACCATCGCTTGAGCGTTGCCTCGGCGTAAACCAAAGCCCGGTGAAAGACAGGCAGGCCGGAAGCCCCGGTGAAAATCTCGATGTGACAATACTGTCGATGACGTAATGTCAAACAAAAGCAGTGCTTTTTTTTTTTTTTAAGTCGAGCCTCTGGTCTGACGCCGAGATGGAGATGGGTCGAGTTTGGTTCCCTGTCCAGGGGCAGGGGTCAGGACGGAGCAAGCAGGGCGTTAGAACGGGCGCCACGAAGCGCAGTCCCTCTTCTTCAGCCAGAGGACCGACGCTGAGCCTAAACGAGGCCGCCGCTCCATGGCCCGGGAGAGGCCGTTCGAGCTAGCTATGTTAGTGCTCGTCCTGGCCCCGATGGTAAAGTCTTGTTCATCGGACTTCATCGACGATCTGCCGGTGTTACTGTACCCAGCGAAACCTGGATGCCGGATGCCGGACCCAGCTGCAGACACTATCAACTGCCTGCCTGCACTGCACTGCACGAAGAAGGCTCACAGGCCGCAGAACCGGCGCGCGCCGTTGGGAATGGCGGAGGTGCAGCAGGTCTGTGTTGGCAACTGCCTATCTCCAGGTTCACCCTTGACCGGCCTTAACCGTCTTGGGGAAATGAAAAACTCTCCCTTTTCGCCGGCTGCGTGCGTGTGAATTGGTCTCGCTACCGGACAGTTGATCTCGCTCTGTCGCCGAGTCTAAAAATATGGTGCCTGCAGGTCCCTCCCTGTTCACGGAGCATCTGCCGTTGGTCATCACATCTCAAATATATCTGGAGCTTGCAAATGAGTTTCCTGACAAATCCTCTCCCGCAGCTACCGAAGCACAGCCAACCCGCTGATCCCATTGTCGGCCAGGGTCCTCCGTATAGCCCTACATACGCTGGAGGAGATGGATGGTGGAGATCAAAGCCAAGATGATAGCCAAGAGCAAGAGTAAGGAGATCTCACTCAGGACACGGCCTGCTGCCGCAGGTATACATCAGATCAGACGGGTGAAATTCTGTGGACATGAAGCTCCTCACAGCAACCCAAACTAGCTTCATGCGGTCTCATCCCCCCATTTCCCCAGCATCGGAAAGCGTTTCTTCCGTTGTCGAAATGGCTCAATCAAGTCGAAAGTCCGGGAGGTTTACTCCGGACGGTGGTCTATCTTTTGGCCTACTGTCCTGTGTCTCCTGGTGTTGTCTTTGGGACCCAAGGCTGAGAGGCGCCCGATTATCCCATGTCCTGGCTAGCCCGCCGCGCGGTAATCAAACGGCCCTGGTCGACGTTACCTTGAGAATGGCCCATCTAGCATCGCCCACTGACATTCAAGTCTCCAGCACGTAGCCAAGAATCATGGAGCAGGTGCTAAATTTGACACCCCAGGGGGATCGTCGACGCTATCGGCGGGTCAGCCATGGGATTTCCAGAAACTTGCATGTTCTGACTTCTCCACGATCCTATCATAGAGGGCTTGATGGTTGCTGATGTGTTCTGACCTGGGTTCGCATGTCCATGCTGCATTCGACTATTGGCTTGCTGCAGCACGGGGATGGCCAGTTGGCTTGGCTTGGACGGCCTCTTGGACGAAATTGGATGTGCAAGATCGACACTTGGGCAGCATTTTGGTCGTCAAGCTCGTCTGCCTCTGATGTCACTGGCGTTAAAGTGCGCAAATCTGCCATTCCATCCATGGCACTGAGACACCAATGTCGCTCCATCTTCCCCGGTCTGTGAGTGCAGGGTAGCCAGCCAAGGTGGGGGTTTCCTTGATATGTTGGCTGCCTATTGCTTACCCTAGAATCTTATAGGACATGGATTTGACTATCGAATTCTTAGAACGTGTTGTATGGTTCATACGCCTCATGAGCGCTATGGTATTCTGGTCTTCTAATGATTAGATGGGTGTAGTTGTAGTTGACGAGCTCACTGCTTGGCCAAGATATTGGACATCTCTCCTTATGATCCTCACCGAGTACTGCGATATTAGCAACTACTAGCAAATAAGCCAAGTTCGCAGAACAGGGCTACATGCTCACAAGGAATTCGTAAATAAGCCAATCTAGTAGTAGCAGCCAATACGAGCTTGACAGCACGTTATCTATCATTGCGCCGCGCAGCTTGCTCCCGAGATCATGCCCGTGGTAGGTTTGGGGGGCCAAATAGAGATTACGCTTCCCCTGAACGGAATGGAAAGATAACATGCAACTATCAACCAAGGATCGGAAGCATATGATAAGCCTAAGAGGTCGTTGGCTGTTGTAGTTTGACTATTCGAGCCGAGAATTGCTATGTATCAAAGTCTGGAACACGACGCGCCGAGAGCGAACTGCAAAGCAACCAGACATATGCAAATCTCGCCTGAAACGATCACCCAAAATTCCTCGTCGTACAAGTCTCGGAAGGTTGAATGTTACGCAACCATGTGTTCCACCATGTGTCAAGCGGTTAGGGGCATACCCGAGGCGTGTGCTGCAGCGTCCCGAGCCGTAGATTCCCCAGGGACGAATGGAACCGAAAGGAGAAAGAAACACGGGAACGGACATGAAGGCGAGACAGTGGCCTGCATGACTTGAAAGTGATGGACCCTTACCACGTTGAATGGCTACCTACGGGTGGCTGTAACACGTGGTAGGACAAGCTGGAGCAATAACTGCAAAGACACGCGATTGAAGACTGCATAATGAACTACCAAAAATAAACAAAAACAGCGGGTTAACTCGTCCTAGGCATTATTTCATAGAGTTGTCACCGAGCTGTGTGGTTTTGTTCGAGTGTGGACAATAGGTGAAGCTAGACTGTCCTAACCAACCAACAAAGTTAAGAGAAATCAGTAGATATTGAGACGAGGGGATAGTAAGAGGTATGGATATCCATGTTGTTTGTTTTTACGGTGAAAGAAAGCAATTGCTGACGCACTATTGATGAGTGTCATGCACGTCGCCAGAGTATGCAATAGGTGTTGTCAGAGCTGGAGGCCTGGTACTTAGGCACATGCAGGGAAGGGCCTCAAATGTAAAGGATTTCAGCTCCCCAAGGATAGACTATGAGCCCCACAACGGTGAAGGGAGTGGGGTATGTATTGTGATATTTGGTTGTCCCTTAGCCTGAAAGATATTGACTGCGCAAGCATGATAGAGTCACTAGGAATGTATACACCAGACGACAGGTCACAAGACAAGAACACATCTGACTGTGTTAAAGAGCTGTCTGTCTTATACATACATTCATATCATTCGTGTTATCCCGTTATGAAGTGTCTGGTTCCAACGCTTGGGAAAGAAAAAAGAGTTGCAACTCTGAGAAGCGCAACTACTGAAGTAGAGATGCAAGTTACAACTGAATAAGCACCGCACGTGTGGCAAAGAACTACGCCATGACCCTACTGGAAGCAAAACTGAGCGCAGATAGGAATTCCAAGTGCTCGAAAACCCTGCTGTAACTGTCCAGGCCAGATAAGGGCTCCTACCCCTTGCTGTCGTGTTACAATAATAACAACGTTCAAGCCGCGAGTTCTTATCGCACCGCCGGCATATACATACCCTATCTTTATGGCCAACCGGATGTCCTGATGGAACATGCCAGCACCTGGAATTTACACGACATGGCTGACGCCCTGGCGTTGCATTCTCGAATGACATGCCACGAGCTGCTTGTGCCTTGAACTGGGTAATCTGGGTTGGTCTCTGGATCATTAACTGCCGCAGGGATGGCCTGGGCTGTTCACAATCTTCACTCGACTACAACCAGAGACCTGGAAGCTACAAGGTAATCGAGAACCACCCATGCTTGAATCGTCGACCTCCCCTCTGGTCGAATGCACTCAGCAAGAAACTTCAAGCACTTCATTTGGAGAAAAGTGCAGTTTAAGGAAATGCACTGAACATTCTACCCGATCCTGGTAGACTGTTAACTCCAACCAATACTGCCCCTTTTATTGAAGTTCCCGTTGCCTGATTCTGCCTTTAGCAGTCCCCGAGCTCCTGTAGTAGAGACCCTGATCCACCCTTTCCGCAGTGACCGCTAGAAATACAGCATTGGATGGATTCCTTCCCTGGTTATGATACGGATAATTGGAAACCACTGTGAGGACTTATTAGAATCTACCTCTCTCTGAGTCTGGCATACGTACATGTCATATAACCCATAGTGCCCTCATCAAAGACCCGAGATCGATTATACCTTGACGCCCCAGGTTTCTCCTCAATTGCATCTAATTCTCATCGGGCACAGTCGCCAGAGCGATGATGCTGAACTCGAGGTTTCCATCAGCGGCATTGGTAAACTTCTTAACAGTAGCCTCCAACGCCTTGTCGCTGAGGAGATCCTCGTCATCAGCCAGCACGCCCCGGTCGATAGGGCCTCCCCAGCCTCCTTCAAGATCATACAGGTGCCCGTTCTCCCCCTTGACGAAGCTGATGAAGTGGTAACCAACTGGCTCCTGGCTAGCAGGGGCCACGGTATCGCCCGTAACTGCGGCGGCCATGTGAGCCTTCTCCAGCTCGGCAGAATTGTACAAAAGGTCGGCACGGGGTAGTGGCTTGAGAGGGAGAGCTTGCTTCAGGAGGTTGTCGAGATCCGAGCCAGGGACGATAAACTCCTTTGCCGACCCGTTGCTCACGCTGTGGAGAAGAGCAATGAGACCACAAGCGTTGCCGATAGTCTGCTTATACCAAGTGACGGGCTCATTAGGGCCGGAGCCGTCGTAGGTCAACTCCTCGGAGCCAGGATCATTCTCGCGCACGCGGTAGTACATGGGCGTGGGGGTTATGAAGATGAGAGCGTGGACGGGGCGGGGAATCATGGCCAGCAGGTCTGGCTCATCGACGCTGTAGACATCGTAGAAGCCGAGTTTCTCAGACACGCCGAGATTGTGGATGAGCTTGTTGAATACCTCGGGGTTGTTCTCGAGCGGGATGAAGACCTTCTTGCCGTTCTTGTACGAGACTCCGGGAGTGGTAGACATGGTGAATGATATTTGGTGAGATGTGATAGAGGTGAAGCTTTTACCCCGCGATTGTTGTTTCCGGTGGAGTTGGAGGCTCAAGGCAGTTGGGTGGAGGTGAAGACAAAGTGCCGTCAAGTGAGGTCAGGCAGCAGATGATGCGTAACCTCGTTGAGTCAGCCACGCATGACAGTGTAGGCAGGCGGCAACACAAACAGCAGCAAAATAATAGGAAATGACGTATTAAAAAGTCGGTGAATCAATGCCATCATTTTGAAGTGATTGAGATGTAAAACTGGGTACAATTGGTATAATTGGTTTACATGAGCGTTTGAGACGAGGAGTTGCATTACGTCCGTGTAAGCCTACCCTGAATCACGGTCTAGAGTATGTCAGTAACTACGAACAAGAGTAGTTTAATGATTAAAATGGAGTATCTATTGTACTGACTTGATGCCTGTGAAGCAAGACGTACCTATCGTTGTTCCGCTCTTGGTCAAGGCATCTTAACTTCCATGTGGGAAGCAGTTTGGCATGAACATGCCGCACATGCTTACGTTCGACACACCTCGATCATGAGAATTTTGAATACACAGATAGAAGATAATATACAAGGCAGGATGTATTCAAGGAAATGAGAAACCCATGTGAGAACCAATGGTTGCTCTTAGGCTCAGGGTATGGCGACGTCGGACCCTCGCCATATGCACTTTTGACACAGCATGGGGCCATGAATACCAGATCCGTGTGTCTCCAGAAGCTAAATCTTATATGTTACAAAGCCATTTGTCAAGTAACAAAAGTTCCCCAGTCTGACTATCAAGGTCGAGTTGTTGGCTGATCTCGTCGATCCATGAACTGGCATGCGACGTCTCGGCCGAGAAAGCTTGGAGCCGGAATGGGCTGACACTCAAAAGGTCCCGGTATTCTGGTTGCACCGTGAGTCAATGGAAACAAAAGTTCGCCGCCGCGTGGACATGCGTATGGAGACATTCTCCGTTCTTTGCTTTATGCGAGGGACCTTTTGCTGAGGACCGCCACTACAGTAGAGGAACTATTTGAATGCCATGTGGATCAGGCAAGCCGAGGAATTATTTCCGGAAAGCTCCATCTGTTGAGAGGCAATAATCGGCCAGATAAAATAAGATTCGAACTAGAGTATCAGATCTTTACTTTGATGTTGAGGGGAAATGAAGATGGCAATGTTGAGTGTATGGAGAGCATCTCTCCGATTTGCGGAAGCCCCATGTTTTTCGAGACTGCACCCTGTATCCGAGACGTTGGATACCGCCCGAGACCGATTGATACTCAAAGACCCTGGATCTGGTCGAGAAGCAGCTGTTTATCAGGATAGACGGCCGGTCATGCCGTTTATAGAGACAAAAGTGCCAAGCTGGGGGGGGAAAGAGACTCACACCGGCCAACGTGTAAATCCTCACCACCACCACGGCCATGGAGTAGCCCGAAGCTAGCCCCAGAGAGGAGGGAGATAAGCCGCCCATTGAAGGTTTCAACGCCATCCGGATGGCTCCTCATTGGCTGATAGCGAGGGCTGAATGGCGTGCCATGGGCTCAGGGGCAATTGATTGCGAAGCGAGCAGGGCATCTGATGCGACCTGAGGGCTGAGGGCGGGCGCGACGATAACCTCAGGACAGTTGCTTTTTGCATGTTTCAATGCATGAGTCCCCCAAGAAGACGGTCCAAAAGAACCAAACGGAAAATGTGGCCTATCAAATAGAATGGGAGGGCAGGTCGACAAAAGGTCCGAATCTCTTCGACTCGCGGCCACAGAAGGACCATCGAAACTCGAACGCACGAACAAGGTCAAGGGCCGGCCATGCCTCTTTAGGAAGGTGGCCCCCAAAACTGTGCCGTTGTCCGTGATGGAAGCGCAGGAAGAACATCACGCTATATCCAAGATCGTCTAGAAGCGGGTTCCAGCGACCCTCACAGAGACTGCAGTAGCAGTGCCAATCTTCTCCTCTTCGCGGGGAGATTCCTCGTCTGGGCCTGTCCTGTCTGGTCTTGTCTCTGGGGCTGAGACCGCCCCCCGGGGCCTGGGTCTGTATAACCACACCCGCTAAGCAGAGGAGAGCAGACCAACTAAGCAGCCGACCGTCGGCAGGGCATTCATTCCCTCTTTTCTTGCTTCTACACTGCCCTCTTGCGAAATCCAACATCGCTCAAAAGGTCGCTGTTGCTGCCGCCGTCGCTGCCATCGCGGGCTTCGAAGCAACCCACGCGTCGCCGTTAGGTCGCTCGTCGCTGTCGCTATCGCCTAGACAATAACGGGCGTTGCCGTCAGTCAGATAACCACCATGGCGCCGTCCCTCTTCCGCAAGCGCCACGAGGCCGAGGACATTATCCCCATCCCAGGCCCCCTCGAGGCCGCTGCCATCTCCGCCTCTGGCCGCGATCGTCTTGAGAACCTCCAGCAGTTTGAGAAATCACACAAATTCGACCCGAACCTGCCCATCGACGACCTTACCGATGTCGACGCCGCTATCGCAACTGGAAATGCCGAAAAGGGCATCGAGATTGAGCACGCGCTCATGGAGGACAACAGCCCCTACCCCGAGGTGAGGGCTGTTGTCCGTAACTACGATGTCGACGTCCCTGCCAACACCATCCGCGCCTGGGTTATTGGCTTGGTTCTTTGTACTATCGGTTCTGGCATCAATATGCTCTTCTCGCTGCGCAACCCCAGTATTACCGTATCTACATACGTCGTTCAGCTCGTCGCGTATCCCTTGGGTCTCGGCTGGGATCTCATCATGCCCGATCGCGAATGGAATCTCTGGGGCCTCAAATTCAACCTGAAGCCCGGAAAGTTCAATTACAAGGAGCATGTGGTTATCGTCGCCATGTCAAACGTGAGACCTTTCTCTACACTAACGCAGGCTATGGCTAACCTCGTTTCTAGGCTGCTTACGGTGGTGGTGTTCTTTATGCGACTGATGTCCTCCTGGCTCAGCAGATCTTTTACGGTCAGAAATTCGGCTGGGCATTCCAGGTTCTCTTCGGCATCACAACTCTCTGTACTGGATATGGATTGGCTGGATTGGCGCGTCGCTTCCTGGTGTGGCCCGCTGCAATGATCTGGCCCACCGACTTGGTCAACTGTGCGCTCTTCTACACCCTTCACGACCACTCCGGTTCCGACCCGACCAAGACCAATGGCTGGAAGGTTGGACGATATCGATGGTTCTTGATTGTGGCAGGAGCTGGCTTTATCTGGTACTGGTTCCCTGGCTGGATCTTCAAGGGTCTATCCTATTTCACCTGGATCTGCTGGGTGGCTCCTCACAATGTCACCGTCAACAAGATCTTTGGAGGTCTGACCGGTTATGGCTTGATGCCTACCTCTTTCGACTGGACTGTGTACAGCGGTTATCTGCAGTCCCCTCTGATCCCGCCCTTCCACGCCATTGCCAACGTTCTCGTGGGCATTGTCGTCTTCTTCGTCTGCATCTCGATGGGAATTCACTTTACCGGAACCTGGTACTCCGATTACTTCCCCGTTCAGTCCTCCGAGTCTTACGACAACACGGGCAACGTCTACAACGTCTCCAGGATTCTCGACCACAACTTCCACTTCAACGAGACTGCGTACAAGGAGTATTCGCCTCTCTTCCTGCCAACGCAGTTTGCCCTGTCGTACGGCCTCTCATTTGCTGCTGTCACGGCCGTCGTTGTGCATGTTGTTCTGTACCACGGCCAGGAAATCTGGAGGCAATTCCGGCAGGCTCGCAACCAGGAAGACGATGTTCACATGCGCTTGATGAAGAAGTATAGGGATGCGGAGGATTGGTGGTATGCTGGTAAGTCAAGCCCTTTTTGCAACAACTGTAGAATCGCAATTCTGACCTGTAAACAGCTCTCTTTGTCGTCATGGTCTCCATCTCCATTGGCGTCGTCGCTGGCTGGCCAACTGGGTTCCCCGTTTGGGCCTACTTCCTCTGCATTCTCATCCCCGTTCTCTGGCTGATCCCCATTGGTGTCGTGCAAGCCATCACCAACATTCAGCTTGGCCTCAATGTTCTGACAGAGTTCATCATTGGATACATGGTCCCTGGACGCCCCATGGCCATGATGATGTTCAAGAACTATGGCTACATCTGCATGGGTCAAGCCCTCTACTTTGCCCAGGATCTCAAGCTTGGCCATTACATGAAGGTCCCTCCACGTGTCATGTTCTCGTCCCAGCTGGTTGCGTCCATCTGGTCCGCGATTGTACAGATTTGCGTTATGAACTGGGCACTGGGACACATCCCTGATGTCTGCCATGATGATCAGCCTAACAACTACACATGCCCTGGCGGTCGTGTCTTCTACACGGCCTCCGTTATCTGGGGAGCTATTGGTCCGGCCCGAATCTTCAGCAACGGTGCCATCTACTCCTCTCTTCAGTGGTTCTGGCTTGTTGGCGCTGTCACACCTATTCTGACATGGCTCATTGCTCGGAAGTGGCCTCGATCCATCTGGCGCTATGTCAGCACACCTCTCATCTTTGGAGGCTCTGGCATGCTCCCTCCGGCTAGTGTCTACATCTACCTCTGCTGGGGTATGGTTGGAACGTTCTTCAACCACTTCATCAAGAGGAGATATACTGGATGGTGGTTGCAGTACAACTACATCACCTCTGCGGCTCTTGACTGTGGCCTCATCCTGTCAACCATGGTGATCTTCTTCACTCTGTATCTGACGAGTGCTAGCCCCCCTAACTGGTGGGGCAACTTTGGTGCTTTCAATACTTCGGATTGGAAGCACCTGGCAGTGAGCAAGTCAATTGCCAACGGAACAACGATTGGACCCTCAACTTGGAATTAAGATTTAAGAAAGTAAAGGATTAGAGCCGTGGGTTTTAGTTTGGAAAGCGAGATTCTGGAATATTTGCTGGGATTCTTTAGGCGTCATGGAATGGGTTGTGTTTTTGTAGGATTGTTAGTTGGCGAGATACCTCAATCATGATTGATGTTTATGGACGATAGTCAACAGCCTCAAATTGGTGTCAAATTACAGTTCAATATCAGTATGAACAATTGCTCTGAAACCACTGAATAAACATTCTTGGAACTGATCGTCTAATAATTATTATAACTCACAACCATGGATTCTTCCCATCGCAATTGCCTTCTCTAGACGCTTTCCCTCTTGTGGTGGTAAATCTTGGCACCGACCTTGCCCCAGTCACGTGCAGTTCGCGCCAATCAAGATCACATGACTTAGCTCGCACACACCGAACCCCGGTTTCTTAGGGCTCAGCAAGCAATTCGACCACTCCACCAAAAAAGCCCTCCCAAGTCTGAGAATTTCTCGATCGCCATCCTACTAACCGCCCAAACACCACAGCCAAGATGAGTACGTGACCACCTTACGGGCAGAGGGGACTCTCCCTCGAGAGAATCCTTTTTTTACTAACGCGATCGCCAACAGCGAAGGGTACCTCCAGCTTCGGTAAGCGTCACAACAAGACGCACACTCTGTGCCGACGATGCGGTTAGTCCTTGTGCCCTCTCCTTCTTCCTTACCAGGCCTTCCTCGATAAGCGCATCAACGAATTCGACGAGAACCGAGACGGAATTTTTACGACAATTAGCGACGGGGAATGGCCTGGATTGGAGACTTGGAAACTTCGAATGAACCGGGAGACTGATGGGATATCTAGGTCGTCGCTCTCTTCACATCCAGAAGCATGAGTGCGCTGCTTGCGGCTACCCTGCTGCTAAGACCCGGAAGTGTACGTGAAACCCCAAAATCACACCTCGGCCCGACAATCTCGACTCGGATGGTGCTTGTCCCGTTCGTTGGGCATGTTATACTAACCCGACCCCTCGCGCAGACAACTGGTCCGAGAAGGCGAAGCGAAGAAAGACCGTCGGCACCGGCCGAACCCGCTACCTCAAGGATGTGTCCCGACGATTCAAGAACGGCTTCCAGACTGGCCAGCCCAAGGGCGCCCGGGGCATCAACAAGGAGGCTTAAACGGGGATACCGCATCCCTCTACCCTCCCTTCACCACCCTCTCACCGCCCCGTCCCTCTTCTCCCCCCGCCTGAACGGATTTTGATAAAGATGGTGTGCGCACCACCGCACGGGAAACTGCTCCTCTCTTGGGGAGCTGGATGAACGGCGGAGGGGGGAAAGAAAACTCCAGGCTTGGAGTTAACCACACGGTGTTGGTGGTGGACGGAGCAGGTGTCTGGTTTTAGGTTTCGCGTGGTTGAAAGGGGCGGCTGGAGCATGGGCATCGGTGTTTTACATGTTTGAGCAAGGACAAAAAAAGAGGACCCTTTTTGCTTTTCTGAGATTCCAATAGGGATTCGGTCACGAGGTTCTGAAATGGCATCTTGATTCTGCATGAAAGGTGCCCTGGCGGCTGAGAGGTTCTGGTGTGTGGGAGAATATGAGCCACATGTGCAATTGGCTTGTTGTTAATGTGTGACGAGTCTTGATGTGCTTTCATGAGGCTTGAGCCAGTGATCTATTCGTTGATATGGATTTCAACCGTTCTTTTAACCCAGCCCAAGTCAGGAGTCATGCACGCCTCGCAGCTAGTTTTATCCAACTCTTTTGCCCCAAACCTGTCTCTCAGGTTCCCCTCTCAAACACCTTGACTCCTCCATCGGCGGCAACATGATACAAAAACTCGGCCGCACCGCCCATGCCCTCGACTCCAGGCCCTGTGATGCGCACAACCCCGCTGACGTCCCTTGCCGTTCCCGTGTCCAGCATACGTAGGGCTAGCACTGCATCAGCCGCGTGGGCCGCTGAGAGGGCGAGGCTGGCATGTTCGCGCTCCAACGTTGTGGCCTGGGCAGCGACGAGAGGTGTATCGGCAGAAAGGGTGAGGAGGGTGCTGTGAACAAGCTGCGGTGCTAATTAGTTTATGACTGTCACCCACTGTAGTCAAAGGGGAACTCACGCTGCAGAGAGAAAGAACCAAGTTCTGAAGAGCGAGGCCCGTGGTTGACTCGTCGGTGATGGCAAGTAGGGCATCGAGTTGGTCGATGATGAGAACCTTGCGCGACGTCCGCAAGTCTGCGATGGCGCCTTCAACCTCCTTCTTTACGTCTGCAACATTTGTGCTTCGGAGAACTCTCTCTTTGCGTGCAGTCGGAACTGAAGGCCGTGCTGCTGGTTGGGCACTGCTGTATAATCCTGTGAGGCCATCGACGAAAGTAAAACGCCCTGTCCTGCTGAGGGCATCTAGATCCAGTCCCTGATTATAAGTTAGTAAAACGTACTGAATTGGCGAAAAGGAGAAACATATATGCAAAACTCACCATCTTTGATGCGCCCTCTCTCCAGAAAGCCCCATCTCTCATAAAGCTAACCAGCACAACGCCAGTATCCCTCGCACCCTCATCCCCATCTGCGCTTCCCTTCAGATACGAGTAAACATGGCGCAGGGTAAGCCAATTCGAGCTTGCACCAAGAACACTTGTGAGGAGTATGAGAGATGCCTCTGGAGGCAGAGCGAGGTAGGACTCTAGGAGGTGAGGTATGCGTGATGATGAGGCCATGTTTTCTGGGGGATGATGATTTTGATATTGGAGATTTTGATGTGTCTGTACTGTGCGAGCGCTGGAGTGAGGTTGGTGGGATATGCCATGGTGGGGGTGGGGGCTGTGAGGACTTGGGCAATTGAGCACTGTGTTTGGGGTCAGGTGTAAAGTCTCAAGAAACCAAACGAGGTCTCATTATTCCCTAAAAATGCAGTCAAAATCGAGATTCTTTTATCATGAGCTTGACACACATTGGGGTATGAGCTGCTACTGAGATTTATTATTTTTCTCTTCCCGTTCACTCGGCTTCGTTCCAATAAATTTCAGTGGCAGGTGCCTGAATGATGACGCATTTGCTCAGCACAAGCACGGGAACATGACTTCTACTGCCTTCCCTCTCACTTCTCTTTGTCACTTTTCATCCTCAACACCAACACCAACACCAGCCATCCATCCATGATTTTACCCATCACTGTTATTCTCGCCGGCTAGGGCATTATACGACCTCTGATCATGATAACGACCCATCCGCTGACCGTCACTATTCCTGCTTGGCCATGAACCCTGCTAATAGTGCCGGCGCCCCGGATAGGCCCAATTCCATCAATCTGTTCCAACAAGCTCACAAGGAAGCCCCGTTGGCTCAGTGGTAAAGCGTATCACTAGTAATGATAAGATCACTGGTTCGATTCCAGTACGGGGCATGTGACTTGTTTTTTTTTTTTGCGTCTCTTCACTCCGATTGAGCTTAGGGACTTTATCCTTTTTGCTCCATGTTGTGACATTGCGAAGAAGCCGATCATAGTTCATTAATGGAGTCGCCGTCTCATAAGAAATAGCTGGCTACTCATAACGCTTCCTTCGCTGAAGTATTCCATGGACTGACAACAGGACTCAGGAGTCTTTGCACAGTATTATACTCGACATCCACGAAAAGACTAGCATGTGACGTTCCTTCAACTAATTTTGTGCAATTTCACTTCCATGAGTATTTAGCCTGATATTTCCATCAACTTCTCCATCCCCTATTGCTTCTCCGGTGTAGCTCGACCACTCGACTCCTCCATCATCGCCTCACCCTGCACGATAGTGTTTGGGCGCCTACCCTTGACCAAGGATGTACACACCCTGGCAATCGTTGCACGGCTCTCCCATAGAGGGTAGATTCCAACTGCGAAAAGGGAGAGGAAGATCCAGGCGATGCCCACGCTGACCCAGCCGGTGAAGAAGGGCTTGGAAAAAACATAGCGGGAACCGTACATTGGCATAGGCCAGAGCACGAGGAACGACAGGGTCCTAGGAAATGGTTAGCATGGACTCGACTGCTTCAGAGTGTGGGGGACAACTTACAGAATGATTGTCATGGTGCTGGCAATCTTGAAAGCCTTCTCGAGCTTTCGCTGCTCCTCCTCAAAGTCGGCCGCCTGAGCCGCGGCGACCTGCCTCTGGGCCTCCTCATCAAGGCCAGACTCCTTGATCACGTCGTGATCATCTGCCTTGCGAATATCCATCATCGACTGCCAGTCATACTTGTCAAAACCAAAGATCAGACAAAATATTGGGACGAAGATGACCGGGGAGAGCAAGGCGGTCAGGTTGCCAGCAAGCATGGGATCGTTGGATCCGGTGCAAGTCACATCCAGCTTGCCGCATGTCTTGCTCGCAGTTGCTAGCCACGCCGAGATGGCACAGGCGGCACCGAGGATGGGAGACAGGGTGGCAGCCCATCGGTTCTGGCCGCGCCAGATGAGAGTCAGTGTCGCCGGGAGCACAGCCGCAGAGATGAGCACACCCATGAGGAGGTAGAGGTATCCCATCGAGATGCCATTGTACCACAGCCCGACGGAAATGCAGCAGATGATGAGAGCGTAGACGACCATGCAGGCATGGGACATCCAGATCAGGCTCTTGCCACTGGCATTGGGACGGAAATAAGTTCGGTAGATGTCATAGGTGAAGATGGACGACGTGGCAACCAACTCAGAGTTGAAGGATGAAGTGACCGCTAGGAAGACCATGAGGAGAGTAGCGATGGCTCCACCCTTGCCCAGAAGAGCAACAGCAGCATATGGCAGAGCCAAACCAGCAGAGACGTCAGCCTCGCTCATGCGCTCAGGGTACGTAGGGAAGCGAGGGTTGGACTCGAGGGCGAGGGCCGAGAGACCCAGAGTGGTGGCAGTCAGCCAGGGAATAGCAAACCAGGCAAGTCCTCCAATGATGTAGCCAGGGAGGGCATGAACAGGGTGCGCGGCGATGGCCTTGTTGTAGTAGCCGTTATCAAGGAAGACGGTACCAAAGTTGCCGACAATGTTGATGACAAAGAATGTGACGCCCCCCTTGGATCGCATCGTCAGGTAGCTACCATCTTGGTTGCCAGAGACTGGATGGGCCTTGGCTGCCTCGACAAGGAGGTCATACACAGCAGAGGGGCTGCCCAGAACATCGGAGGATGCATAGGCCGTCAGGGCAAAGATAATAATGATAATGAGCACAACACCGCCGTGGATGTAGTCGGTGATAAAGGTGGCCTTGAGACCTCCAATGAGTTGAAAGGGCTCTTCTACCTTTGCTTGCCTATGTTTGTATTTGGTATATGTATTTGCGATGTAGGTTGCCTGAGAGCAAACCTATGTGACTCTCATAGAGATAGTTGCTGCCTTGGGACTCAGGGTATAAATATCCCCTTTCCCTCGCACCTAGATTTAGAAGAATCAAGCTGCTCTTTACATATCAACTCAATGAAGGTATACGCAACAACGCCCACGGGGAGAAGGAAGATGGCAGCGATGGTGTTCATGCCGGTAAGAGCGTTGACAGTTGCAGCACCACCAGAAATCAGCATCAGAGGCACAAGCACGTTGGTCAAGATGCCAAAGACGATAAAGGTAAAGTGAGCAGGCGATCCATAGCGAGCCTTGATAACCTCGAGAAAGGTATGAGCATTAGGGGCACGCTTCTTGAGCATGATGGCCAAGGTCGCGAAGAGAAGAATCTGCACAGTCGCTCCGGAAGCATACCAGAACGGACCCGAGACGCCATACCGGTAGCAGACACCGGAACTCTGCAGGAGGGTGGCTGCCCACGTCCACGAGGAGACGACGGCGGCGGCGACGAGTCCCGACTTCATGGAGCGGCCGGCCGTGTTGAACATTTCGGACGTCTGGACCTCATTGTTGTGGCGTTTGAGGATGTGCGTGAGGCTGATCTGCGAGAAGTGAGCTTTGTGATGCTGTTACTGGTAGAAAAGACTGACCATGAAGACAGCAAAGGCGAGGCCTACGCCGAGGACGATGCCGTAGCCGGCGCCCTGGCTTAGAGCTGGAGTCCCAGAACCAGCCATGTTTTGTAGAAGCTGGTGGATATCACTTGAAGTCTTTGCTCTGAAGCTTTAAAGGATGTGACTGGCAGTGTCAAGCTTTGAGTACACTGACAGGAACACTCGCCATATATACTACTCTACGCATGCCTGAACATATCCCAACATGCCACCAGCCCTATCAAGGCCAAGCAAAGCCAAGCCTTGCTGGTGTTGAAGCATTATGCAGCAGCACCTTTGAAGGCTTGGGAGATAAGAAGGCCATACGACGATCGGTCACAGAAAAGAACAGGGGGAACAAGAAAAGCCGCCGCCGGGGAACTCAGGATGACGCCGGGGAACTGGAGACGACACCGGGGAAAGCGATGGGGAAGCGGATAAAAGATCCATCGCGACGGGTGCGATGCCGGAGAAGTTCAATCTGGGGCTTGATGCTTTGCCCCCCACAGGTTTGCTTGGAAGAGGGTGCTAATGCACGGTAGTTTCTTGGTAGTGATAAGCTCGTTGAGTGGTGTTTTGTCATGAGAGAGCCTCGAGTGGATTGCTGATGGCTGTTTATTCTCCGAGATCCATCCAATAACCATGGGCCGACATGTTTAGCTTGGCACTTTAATTTAATGACAATCAAGAGTGATTCAGCGAGATTAGAGATAATAAAGTAAAAAGAGTTGCTGGTCTTGCTTTGTCAAGATTCTCTGGGGTAATAGGACTCAACGAATGGGGGAGGCTTGATAAGAACGACCATGCCCCCCAGTTTGAAGGCATCGTCTTGGCATATGTACCATGATTTTTTTTTTCTTATCTCGCATGGATATTTTTTCCCCAGACAGAGACTGTTTTTTTTGAAGGATTTTCAAAGTCAGTCTTGGCTTTTTATTTAACGAGCGCCGCCGGGCTGCGACCTTTTTTTATTGCCGCCGGCCTGGGTAAATACTACTACAGGTCAAGAAATGATGCTCGATCTGAATAATCCTTCATCTTTTTGCTCTGTAAGCGAAGCGACCTCGTTAAAAGTCTTGGGCCCATTCAGGGCAAGCCAGATCTTCACACTGGCATGTCAAGGTGACAGACACAGCTCTGATAATCTTGGGAAGGGGAATCAAGTTAAGCAGATGGCTCAGGATCTGCCGCCAGAGCTTCTCCTGATTCCTGAGCCACACTCCCGTGTACTACAGCCTCAATCTTCTCGTCTTTGTATGATCTTACTCAAGACAATGGTGTTTTTCCTGTTCTTCTCTTTATCTCGCAGCCCGACCCCGGGGGCAGCTTCGAGCCGACTACGAGCGTTGCAGGTTTTAAGCCGCTATGTCTTGGATATCCCGGCTATCATCCGACAGTCCTAGGTTCCCCTTCACCTTGGCACTGTCATCCAAGCCATCGTGGATGCTCGAGCTTGATCTCCCCGGCAGAGCCTCCTCGAGCGCGGTCAAAGCTTGTCGTGCGGTCGCAAACTGCCTCATCCAGCACTTGAGTATGACATTTCCACCTGGCAACTGCTCGACGTCGGGGAACTTTCCCGCTTTGAAGTTTGGGTACACAACCCGCTCTTCCCAGTCGAGCCTGTCGTCGACTTTGGCAAACCTGCCTGGAGTCGTCTTGTATGGCCACCTCCCAGTGAGGATAGTGTAGAAAATTGAGCCCATCCCAAAGATATCCAGCAGTGTGCTCGACTCATTCTCGAATACAGGGCTGCAAAACGGGCCGTCTGGCAGGGAGAGACCGTCGAGGCCCAGTTCTTGGCAAACGGAGCCACCAAAGTCGCAGAGCTGCAGGTCCCGAGCCCCCGGTGTTGTCTCGTGCACGAGGATGTTGCCTGGTCGAAGATCTGAGTGAACAACGCCGCGGCTATGGATATAGTCGATGGCCTCTACAACTTGATGGCACCATGTCAGGCGCTAGTCCAGACTCGTGGACGGGTGGCTATCCAGGTAAGCCTGGAGATTGCCATGGCTGGCCTCAGCTAGAAGAATACCGTCGCCCTGAAGCCCGAGGAACCTAGAGAAAAGAGGAGTCAGTGATCATCCTGTGACCAGACAGTACAGTACAGCGTTGAGCTCACCTCACGATCCTGGGATGCTGGCCCAGTCTCTTGAGGATTTGCCTTTCGACAGAGAAACAATTAGCAACTCGTTCATCGACTTCGGTTTGGCCGAGACATACAATTGGCTGTTTCAAAGCGACGCCCGGAGAAACGCGCTCAATGATACCTGACGAGCCACAGTCCAACATTGCTGCTTCTCCGTTACAAGAGTCAGGTGGAATTACCTTGGATCCGGGTGTTGCAGGCAGGGTACGTGCTTGATAGGTAGCTCCTCTGCATGACCCCTTCCTTACACGAGCATCCCTGCGAGGTACGTACCGGTACCTACCTAGTGGTACCCCACTTAGGGAGCTAGTAGACTAACCAATCAAAAAATTAAGACAGATTTCTGTCTTGTTTTAATATTGCCACGGAGGGGGTGTCCCTATATATCACTTGTGGCAGAGGCGCTGGTTCAGCCACCCCTGCGTCTGAGCCACATGCCGTGAGGCCTTGCAGCACTTCAAACCCATCGATGCGGTTATTTTGAGACAAGAACGGTCAGTCTTTTCAACATGCTGGAGGAGAAAGGCATTACTACGTAGCACCTTTGTGACGCTGTTGCCCATACGGCGGAAGAGTATAGTTGAGATGCTCTAGATGAGCTGGAAAGGTGATTATTTTGGTTAGTGATCAACATAGGATGATTGATAAGATTAATGTTGGAAAAGATGCTCTGATATGGTATTACGAGAATAGTAGGACGGGAGTTTTTCTCTATACTTAATTAATAGCCTTAGAGGGTGCTATGGATTATCACTACAAGCTTAAGTACAGACTATGACATAGATCTTTAAGTAATATATATTAATCAGAGAGATATAAAGGACATAAGCAATTCTTAAGTATCTATATATATTAAAACGAATTAATAGGTAGGCTCTTTCTATATGCTCTAGTAATACCTTTCAGGCCAGGTATATACTATTAGCTAAAACACTCCCTCCCTGCTATGTCACTGCTCGACGAAGGCCCGAATTCACCTCTCCCTCTACATCTCTCTTGGTCTCATCCCTCAAGCCCTCTTCAAACAGCTCTGCCCACCTCGCTGCTAAAGATGCCATGTCCCAATCTTTTAGACTCCCTCCTAGTTCTGCAGCTACAGATGTGACGAGCTTGCCCTCGAGGCCGCATGGTACGAACCGTGCCCACGGATTCACCTCCTCGGGGCCCTCGACGGGTACATCAATGTTAACGGCGATGCCTAGCGCTGTGACATGCCGCCGGTGATGTACTCCCATGGCTGCGATCTTGCGCGCCGGCTGCCCCTCCGGCGTGGGGACCCAGACACCGGGCTCGTCGCGGGTTGTGTATGTCTGCAGGCCGAACAGGTCGGCCAGCAGACGCCGCGTCGTGGCCTCGAGGTGGGCCGCATACGACATGACAGAGTACCGTGCGTATAGCGGCGAGTGCATATCCAGCACCGGCCACAGCACGAGCTGTCCTGGACCGTGGTAGGTAGTCAACCCACCACGGGCCGTCTGTCTCACATCGGGGATAAAGGTCTGCTCAGGGACGGCATCACGGCGGTGCGGGAGGGCAACCCGGAGGGGTGCACGGAAGCGTGAGGTCTGGGTTGATGTCAGGTCGGTTTGACGGCGGCCGAGGGTCAGGGTCGGGGTAGCTTCAAAGGACAAAAGATGCGGCCGGGGCGGTTCGTCATCGGGAAGGGTCTTCCAGGCAAGCAGACGAGAACGTAGCTTCTCCTGAGCAGCGTCGGCGTCGTCATAGGGAACAAAGGCGCCGGGGCCGGAGCCGGTAAGGTGCTGATGTACAAGGAGGGAGGCCCATCGACGGACGGCCGGCGTCCGGGTTTCGGAGCGGGCTAGAGTGGAGAGGAGGACGGCGGAGGGCCGTAATCGTAACCTGGGCTGCAACATGATCCCGGGTCAACAGGATGAGAATTCCTCAAAGCTGGATTGGAGGACAACTGGCGGGGGGAGGGGGGGCGGTCGACGTGGCTTGGCAGGGATCTACGAAACAAGTCACCCCGTGTGACCTGACCTGAATCTCTAGAGATGGAAAAAGAAGGACTTGCACTTCTGAAAAGTGCGCTTGTGGAGATGTGACGTCGGCAAGGAGAAAAAGTCGGCGTCGGAGGGAGTGGGTTCCGAACCTTTTTTGCACAGACTTTCATCCCGTCTTGTTCAGCTGAGCACATTCAACAAGTCTTTCTCGATCGGCAGCTGTCAAAACGGGCCAAGATGGGTGATACCAACTTTGAAGCCAATCCATCTGTTTGACCGAGACGAGAAAAAGGTTATTGGTTGGAGCCTGGGGAAAACATTGCATGTTGATGCAATCACATGAATAGAACCGCTCAACACGTACGACCGAGCTTGTGTGTCTTTGATGCTCAGCTTCTTGGCAATACTTTTTTGTCGCCCCATTATCGACAAGAGCTCATCAACACACAACTGTATATCGTAGGCATCATCAACTCGGATACAATGACATCAGCGAAGCTACCCTTTTCTTCCTTTGCTCTGCGCTAGCCTAGAAGGATGGATAATGTCGGGGGGAACGAACAGCAGCAAGCTGAGCTTTACCTCACTCCCTGGTCGAGAATCGCCGCCAGTGTCGTCATCGCCCAGGCATTGGAGCGATGGGTCTGTTCCACCTGGAGGGGAGACGAGAGAGACTCCCGTCCGTCTCCCCACCCTCTCTTCTTGGCCCTGGAAAGCATCATGGGCATCTGTGCGGTGTGAACCAGGCTTTTTAGTGCCATTCACACAAGAGTCTCTTGGTGGTGATGGACAACGGGAGCCTACGTAACGCCTCCATCTCCAGACTGTGATCCTCTTCCCCCCTCCCATCCATGATTTATTTAGCCTTGTTATCCCCAGAACCTGTTTGCCCACCTTTTCTTACTCTTCTTCTCAACGTTGTCCCTCTAATAAGACATCATTCTCTGTCGACTGAGACAAGACATCCCAGTGGCTCCACCAGCAACACGAGGCATCAGCAAAGCATCCCATCACAATTTGACTCTGTACATGTGCTATTGAAAAAGCTAAAAAGAGAGAGAAGAGGGAAAAGAAACAAACAAAATCACCTCGGCAAAGAAAAAACAGGCTCCATCGCAATCTTTTTTACTTCCCTTGATTCTCTCCCTTCTTGTTTTACGCTTGCCTCCCTGATTTTCCTCCCCCATCTGCCGGTAATTAAACACGCCAAAAACGCACGACCCCACTAGCGCCCTTTTTTACAAGTGCTTGCCTTGCTTCCCTGGTGGTGATCCTGGCGTGACGACACGAACAAGCAAGCAAAAATATAGCAAGCAAAAAAATCAACCGACGTCGGGAATATTTCACCTTCTGTTTCTTCCCTCGGTCAGGTTTCTAACTTGACAAGCGAGCAACTCTTTTGCCAGTCAGATCGAGTTTGTTCAGCTTCTCTCGAGAATATCAATCACAATGGCAAAGCGTGAGTGTTGCCCCTAAACACCAAAATCCAAACATCACCACTAATCTTGGCATCAGACGCACCTCTCGGCCTCGCGGCCCTCGTCCTCCTCGCCGCGTCCCTCCTCTTCCTCTGGTTCATCATTCTCTCGGGCCTTAACAATACCACGCCCCTCAACAAGACCTATTTCCTCCGCGCCGACACAAGCGACATCACCGGCGCCCGCGACGTCACCCAGTGGACCTTTTTCTACATTTGCGGCGCCGGAAACAAGGACTGCAGCGGTGCTCGCCCTGGACCCTCCATCGGTCGCGCCTGGAGCTCGAACCCCTCCGGCGCTCCGGACTCGCTGGTCGGCGGCCGTGATGGTGACCGCACCTCGACCGAGTACTTTTTGCTCTGGCGCTTTGGATGGGTCTTTATCCTCATCACCCTCTTCTTTGAGACGGTCGCCTTCTTTGCTGGTTTCCTCGCTTGCTGTGGCCGTCTTGGCGCTGCCATCTCGGGATGCTTCTCTGCCCTGGCTTTGCTGTGCTCCTCGGTTGCCATGTCCCTGATGACGTATGTAATCCTTCACCCACAACCAAATTGCAACTCACTAACATTCTCAAGTGCCACCTTTGTCAAGGCCCGTGATGCCTTCAAGTCTGATGGACGCTCCGCCCACCTCGGCAGATATGCCTTTGGTTTCGCCTGGGCCTCGTGGGCGGCTCTCTTCCTCGCCACCGTGCTCTTCTTCCTGGGCCTGCGCAGTGACAAGTCGGCTAGCAGCGGAGGTCACAGCGGCCGCACCTGGCGACGAAACCGCAGCGTCCGTAGCACCACGGGCTACGATGGCCGCCGCGTCAAGGACGACTACTCCTAGCGTGGGACGACGCCCTTGAAGCCGGCAACGGCCGCCGTGCGGGACGCGGAAGGGGATGGTGCTGGTGCGTCGGCTGAGGGTGAAGCCCGAGGCCAAGACCATGTTGAGCTTCGTCCTGTTCAAGAGGAAGACAACGATCCTGTGAACACAGACGTTGTTGACTCAACAGCCAGAGCAGACGAAAATAACATGCCCAACACCACCACCACCCCCTCTGAAACCAACACTGCCGCTGCCCAGGCCGGCAGCGGTAGCAAGACCTAACGTAATACGCTCAAATCTCGGCCACCATCCATCTATCACCCGAATACACTATTCGGGCTGTTGCATACACGATGTCTTTTTTTCTTGGGAGGGTGGCATTTTAAGCATGCTCCAGGAGTAATGTCGACGTTTTGTCCCGAGTCATGAGCGATTAATCAAATCAAACTGTAATGAAAGATACCTACTGCGAGATAATAAATGAATAATGCAGTGCCTCAGTTTCCCAGTGTAGCAGTCAGCTTTGTGGTCATCCTGATGGATAGCTTTGTGACACGGGTTCATCATTGGCGCGATATGTCATGTGGTAACTTCGACTAGACATCCATCCTGACTGCTTAGTTTAGACATGGAGAGGAAACGAGCTGGTCACAGGGGGGAAGCAGCTTGCTTATTATACCGTGCTTGATATCAAGCTTTTGTTATGCATCTTAACGAAGGTTATTTGAGGTTTGAAGGTGTTAGGCATTACGCCTGTGACATCTCCGTAGAGTGGTTAAACGTTTAAGTATATGGCCTATATTTGCCTTTACTTCCTGATGGTGGCGTAACATAATACATCTACCACTACCACAAATGTTCTAAAGACGATGTCGGCCTCTACCGACTCGGAAGTGAAGCCACCCCCTCCAGTCGCGGGCTGGGAATCTATCCCCCTCGACGCAGACTGGACGAATACCATTTTTGACATAAATTGGTACCCCGGCCTAGAGGGGAAGCGTTACTGTGCAGCCTCGTAAGTTTTCCAAGCACCATATCTTGCTCTCTAGATAAGCTGACGTTGCAAAGCCCATCCCCCAAAAGAAGACTTGGGATCGTGGTCCAGCTTTGGTAACACTCACTATTCTCGGCTTCTGTGGCTTCATGTACAGCATCTGGGACAGGATATGCTACTGGGAAGAGCTGATCTGGCCCAACGGCGATACCGCAACCATGATGCCGTTGAAGGCCTACCGAATGAACAATTTCCCCAACTGAAACGCTTGAGGAATGAGATGGATGCTTCTATATCGTCTTACTCCGAAGTGGGCATCTCCATCTTCGACAGTCAACTCCACGTACTACATGCGAGTTTGGCGACAACCAGGCCAAGATCAACCCTGCTCTGAGGATAGTCATAAAAGCAATATAAAATTGTAAATCTTATAGAAGAGACTTCTGGAGGATTTCTCTTCATACCCCGTTAATCATCTTACTGTTTTGTGTGTAAATTCACCCACTCATCATGGAAGTCATCTCTGAGAGGTTCTTGACCCTCTTGATTACTTAAATAAGCTCATAGCCAAGAACCCCTCAAACCACATCCAACTTGATGGACGTTGATCGATGGAGACCTTCCTCACTCACAATTTCATATTGTTGACCAACCACCATAGTATTCAACTTTTCCCATTTATTTCTCTTGTCCCCTCATTCTCTTACTTCACACATCCTCCCACTCATTCACTATGCATCTCATCCCATCTCAACCATTCTTAAACCCAACGAAAGCCAGAAGTCGCCCTCAAAGCCCTCTCTTTGCATTCCCAACCCTTTTTCTCGTGTCATTCGCTTTTCCATCCCTTCGTATACGTACATGAGGAAACAAAACAAAAAAAAGTAACCAAAAAAGACGGTGCCCTGGCCGTTCCCAAACTGCCGCCCACCCTTTAGTTCTGTTCGTCCATATAAAGAAAAAATGCATAGATCCAACCCGTGTCCAGTCTAAAACCATCCCAAAGCGTGTACAGGGCGTTTTCAAGGAAAACTCAATAGCAAATGTGGACCAGCAGAGGGGATAGACAAATCCCGCAAGCAATCAAGTGCTTGTTGTCTCGTCAACAAAGGTAGAACGGCAAATTGAGCCATCATATGGATCTATTGCACCGTGCCTGCCTGTCTGCCTTCAGAGTTCCCCTTCTGTTTCACCAACCAGATACCTGCTCTGTTGGCGGGTCGACGTCCTTGTTCGTCTTCTCCTTTGACATCCTTGACTCATGCATGGTTCGGACTCGAGATTGGACTGACAGTGTCGAGTGGTGCTGTGTGCAATGCTGGTCTCATTGGCCCGTCGCTATCCAGGCCTTCTCTCTTTCGGCGCAGCACGTTGTTGACCCATTCTGCTACCTCGGCGTCTTCGGTCGATGACTTCAGGTCGATCTTGCCTACAGCTTCTGCCACCTTCTCGACCTCTTCTCCCTCCTCCGCTTCTTCAGTAATCGTCTGGGGTTTGCTGAATTCCTTTAGCCATGCATGCTTCAGCATCATGGCATAGGTTGGCCGTTTCATGGGGATCTTGTGGAGGCACGCTCTGACAAAGTCCTTGGCCGTATCCGAGTAGCCCTCTTCTGGCATAGCTGGTGGTTCACCCTCGACGATGGCCTGTTGATCTAGTTAGTTATCTAGCATGGTTGAAGATATATGAGGCCACTTACACTCAGTTGGCTAAAGATGGTGGATGACACCTCAGGCGGGTAAGGGTAGGCACCCTTGGCACACTCGATGATGGTCAGACCCAAACTCCAGACATCGCTCTGGACGCTGTATGACCCATCTGCGTTGCCTGCCTGCGCAAAACCGCCACCAGAGATTCGTTCTGGTGCCATGTAGCTCTGGCAGCCGATGTTTGTCCTGGCTATGCTGGCCACGAGGTTACCACTGACGCCAAAATCGCAGATCTTGACCTGGCCGCGTGTGTTGACCAGGATGTTTGTCGGCTTGACATCACGGTGGATGATGCTGTGCTCGTCCTTGAGAGACTTGAGACCCATGACTGTTGAGTATGTGATCTTTCGTAGCACGTTCTCTGGGATGCCTCCGTTGTACAACTTGTCGATGGACCCGCCGTCCATGTACTCAATACACATGTATACAGCACCCTCTTGGAAGAAGGCGCCGTAAAAGTCGATAATGTAAGGCGAAACGCATTCGTGTAGAATGACGAGCTCCTTCAGAATGGTTGTAAACTTGGCATCATCAAGCTCCAATCGCATCTCCTTCATAGCCATGATGGTCCCGGTTGTGCCGTCGCTGTTTTTGGAGTCGGCAGCATCCTCAGCCGGCCTTACTGGTGTTGGGTCCGACTGCGAGTACTGAACAGGGAGGGGCTTTCCACTGAAGCCTTGACCGAACCGGGGTACTCTCCTCTTGGCATGCCTCACCTTGTAGACAGTTCCATAGTTACCTTTGCCTAGCTCTGCCAACGTTTCTACCTCGTCGAGTGAGATCCTAAAAGTCTGACCGTTGGCAAAGTTGACTCCGGTCCGTGTAATTGTGGCAGCGCCATCAAACGTCACCCAGCCCTTCTCAGTGTCGATGTATTTCTTAAAGTCGTCCATCTTCGACCCTTGACCTGTAGGACCCGTTCCGTTCGATTGTGGCTGGCCAGGCTTGTCGCCTGTAATGTCCGACAGCTTCCCGGGAGGACCTGTTCGCCTCATGCCGGTGGTCGGGGCAGGGCTTGCTCCGCCCATATCAGACAGCTTCATGCCCATACCAACGCCCATCTTGGCCCTCCTCTCGCTCAATGACGGTTTCGGGAGGATGGGAGCGGACCTAGGATGTGGGACGGCGCTTGGCCGCTGCAAGTTAGGAGGCATGCGCAGATTCGCAGGGAAACCGTTTGACATGTTACTCGTTGGCGACTGTCCTGCAGGTGACATAGGGCCGCCACCAGCGCCTTTTTGCATTCGCTGTTGATGTAGCGCCCGCGCTTTGGCCATGATGCTGTTTTCTACCGAGGCACCACCGCTTCCGGCGAAGCTCGACGACGTCGACACAGGATGTCTAGCCATACCCAAGAGACCCATGGCTGTCGAGTTTGGGTTCATGTTGGGGGGATCAGACACGGACCGTAACGACGGCAGTCTTCTCGGGAGCTCATCGGGGCTGTCGTGACTAGGAGATTCGAGCGGTGTGCTTGGTTCGGACGAGTCTTCAGAGCCTGGAGACGCAGGTGTGGAAAACTCCTTCAAGGACGAGTCGTCCGGCGTGACCGGGATCGAGCCGGAGGCGGACATCGGAAGGGCACGGCGGAGCTACCTAGGTAAAAGAGACAAGGCAAGACTGTTGAATAAGTTGTGATCGTGGAGGATCGGGATTTCTGCCAACAGGGGGAAACAGGTGGTAGAACAAAATTCGATAAGGCGGCGTCGAGGTCACGAGAGACAGCTTGCAAGGACCGCGGGGAGCTGTCGATCGGGAGACGGGACACGATCGATTCGATGGGTACGAAGAGGAGGGATGGAGGGGAAGCAGATGGTGCGATTTTTGGAGCTAGACGGAGGCTCGCAGCGGGCGGTCTAGACCTTTAGAACTCTAGACTGCGACCAAAGTGACTGGGGGCCTTGTCGCCGGAGGATGAATGTTGCAGAAGACCAGGGACGAAGAAGCCCAAAGAGGCACGTTGGTTTGTGATATCGGGATCGATGGCCCTTGACGGGTTGAAAATTGTGTTGCGTCGGGTGCAGATATTGCACTGAGGAAGTGATGGCGGATGCGCGAACAGGGATGCGGGTGCTGCGGAGCTTCTACCCAAACTGTATCATGAGAAGCCACCTCTCAACCATGATATGCCCAAAACAGGCGATATTCGCGAGACGAGGTCGATGAAGGTTCACGAACTTCGAGGAGGGGTCGACGAGGAGGTTTCTCGGCGGGATCTGAAATAAACTCGGCCGTTAGCATGCGTTTCTTTTCCTAATGCGCCGCCTCTTGCTACTCGTGGCTAGGCCACCGGATACACATGGCGATTGCACTCGTACCTCGACAAGCCCCCTGGCTGCAATGAACCGCAAAAAGGCAATGGAATTGGCTCAGGTATCCATCCGATCCGGCGTGTCTCTGTGGTCGGGCAACGTGCAAGTAGCCGGGTGCGGGTGCGGGGTCGCGGGCAGGCTTGCGCAGGCGAACAGAGGAGCGAGGGAGGGGAAGACGAGGGGCCAATGACCTGTGTAAAGCTGCAGGCGGCGTCTGCGCGGGTAGGGATGCGTAGTGGAAGCTCAGAAGTTGCGAGGAGGTTTCTGTGAGGAGGAGAAGGACAAGACGATGGTGAAGTGGATGGTGATGGTTTTGTGAGAAAGGCGCGAGAATGTGGTGGTGGTGAGGTTGGTATTTGGTTAAGGTTGGTCAGGACTGACCCGACGTGGAACCTCCAACCTAAGCAGCAAAAAATCCGGTCCAAATTACGGCGCAGCTCTCATGTCCCCTCCCCTCGGATGGACACGCTGGGCACCGGCGCTGCCCTGGACACTACAGGTACTTGGCGATGGATGGATGGAACTCCCCGCGGCGGGCTTAGGTTGCGACAGGGATTCAACCTATCGACGACTCTTTGCAGTGGAGGGGAGGGTAGAAATCTGCGCTAATGTCACTGAAATTGTGTGACCATTGCCAAACGGGCCCAGAAATATGGCCAAATGGGATTTTCATCTTTGGCAGAGACGGCAATTCAGTGAGGTCAATGATCGCTGGTGCCGAGACGTGTGATGTAATCCGTCAATCTCTACGATACATGATTTTCCAGACATTTTTAGCACCACGTCCAAGAGTAAACGGCTGCGCAAGCCTTTCTGATAAATAAAATGGGTAATAACGCGCCGCTCGGAAAGGAGTACGATTTTTCAAGGCTTCGCGCGCGATTCGTCCTTGATTTTGGGAAATTTGCGACGCCATCGTCGATGGGGAAGATGTTCCGATGACGTTGATGCTGTCGATATAAACTGTGGCTTGAAGCTGGCCTTGGCTAGAGGTGGGTACTTGGACGGGAGTAGGAGAAACAACGCAGGTTAAAGCAGACTGACACAAGTATTGGTGCGTCTCATCTTATAAAATAGAGCATCAGATGTGCGTATTATTTTATCAGCCTCGGCCCAGTCGGCTGCATCGCCTCAGAACCTGCTTGATACCCTGCCTTGGCGGTGCAAGTGATGGACCGGCGATATCCCTGCTACCCGCTGCCCACGATGAACATCTTTGACATGGCATCAAGAGGGGTAAAGATGTGCATGGATTTTCATCATAGAGAGGGTTAATCACCAGATAAGACAAAACGAAACAGGTGTATCTGAAACAGCACAAGATTATCACGTCTATCAGTTGGCCAGAGACATAGGAGACATATATTAGTACCACGGTGATGGTGATACTGTAAGTGTGGATGGAAAACTGGAGATGTTGATTTCACTTTGGTAATATTCCAAGGCATGCTGCTATCTAACAAGCCAATTTGGTACTTGTGCAGCATAAAACAACCCATACCCGCCTCAAGTACCAACTGAAAGAGGTCTGGCAGTACAATGATATCTTGTTTCATTTTTGCCGTCAACATTACCTGCTCGCGTGTGCATGCATCATGATAGACCGCAAATCTCTACCCATTGGAGTTGGAGACCAGGCCTGAGACAGCCCCAATCGTCATGGCATCGGGGGGCTCCAAACCTCTTGTTCCACGTGGGGAGCCGGGCCTGCCAATGCTCCCTCGCCGCGTTTGACGTGCGGGCGATCAAAGCACACTCACTTCCACCTTGGGGATGTCTATGACCTTGGTGGGATGGTTGTGTGATGTGCATCATTCTCTCATGCCAGACATGTCTGGCTACTGGCTACTTTACGTTGACCCCTGGAACGCGGGCTTACACATGGCGGCGGAAGCAAGAAACCTGCAAAGGAATGCTTGATGAGCTTATGCAAGGGCTTTGCCATGGCGCAGGCAAAGGGGAATAATAAATTCGCTCAACCCCCTTGGAGTTTTCAACGGGCTTATGGCTGGGTGTTGAGGCTGCCGTCTGTTAGGCAGGGAGGCAGACTCGGATCCATTGAAAAAGGGTTCATGGCGGTGTCTCATGGATTAATGATTCTCCCCTGGTCTCGTGACTTGTCTTGTGGGATTTCTTTTGCCCCTGGCCTGCTGAATCGCCCAGTACAGCCTTCTTCTCCTCAGTCGAATCCTGGGCTGGACCTTTTCTTGGCTTGTCGACTGCCGACCTCTGAGCATGGAGGGATGGACAACGTGCCTTGATCCAGCCATGACGAAGGCGGTTGTTGCCATGGCGCCACAGTCCAATCTATTGGCGCCCCGCTAAGGTCAACTCTTGTTTTTCTCTACCCCTGTTCAAGCCACCCCGGGACGCTTGATGCTTGACTCCGTCACCTCTTCAAACGTCGCTTCGTCTTGATCAATCAGCTTTGCTGCTGCTCCGAATGTCTCAGCGACCGATTCGCTGGATCGCTTTGCGAGGGGAGTCATCGATTGAGGCGTCACGTCGACGTGGCCTTGTTACAGCACAGTCGCGTCGCAGCCCGAGCCCAATTGGAGCCTGCTCCGATCGATAGTTGGCCTCCTAAAGACGCGTGGCGCGGTCATCAAAGTGTAGGAAATCCTTGTGTGTATCACCCACGCCCTGACGCCACGACAAGGTTTCAGCTGCTCTGCCCCGGACGGTTCGGGCAATGGCTGGGTTACCTCAGGGCGCATACGCTCAAAAGCTTGTTCCGGGAGATGTTGCAGGTTGGTGTGCCCGTCACAAAGAAGGCAGCAGACAGCTCTCAAGGACCTGAAGCTCCAGCTTTGAGTTACTGTAGCCGAAGCAGTCCATGCAGAGTAGACGGGGCATTTGACAGCACATCGCCTTTGTCATAGTTTACCTAGCTGAACTAGGTTATCAATCGTCCATGGGGGAACGTGCATCGTGGGTTTGCTCCAGGTATCCAAGATCCAATCCATAGCCATGACCGGCACCGCCGCCTTTCGCCCCATCTAAAGAGCCCACTCCCACGTCTTTTCCCTTGATCTCGCCATCACTGCCGTTGCTTTTTCCCTCTTGCAACATTAAAACAGCGCAGGACCTGGTCAATTTCAGAGAATCTTGCCTTTAATTGCTTTCCCCTGATCCTCCCGCGCCTAGCACTATTGGTTGTTGCTTGGTCGCCTTATCTTTCGCAGTCGCAGCCTGCGCGCCACTGATAAAAGCGAACTCCCCTTATCGTCCCCCGATTTGCGCCGACCACCAACACTCCATCTTTATCAACAACGACAACGAAACGAAGCATCGCCAGTATTTGATGGCTTCGTCGCGGACCTTTTCGGTACCGTCGTTCCGGCTGACGCAGTTGGCCCAAGATGCATACGAATTGCCTCTGCAGACATTAGCGAACACCCATGAGTCGCATCCTTCTCTGGGGCATCTTTGCCTCCTGGTCTTTGAGGCCGTCCTCGAAGTAGTCTGTGTCAGTTTGCCAGGCTACATCGTTGCGCGACTCGGCCACTTTGATGCCGAGAAGCAGAAGTTTTTGGCAAACCTGAATGTGATGTTATTCACACCATGCCTGAGTATGTCGCGCCTATCAACCCCTAGCAAGCTCCCGCGGACACTGACATTTACTAGTCTTCACAAAGCTCGCCTCCCAGCTTAACGCTGAGAAGCTTTCCGACCTCGCCATCATCCCCGTGATTTTCGTCATCCAGACCTTTGTGTCTTGGACCGTGTCCGTTCTCGTCGCAAAGGTGTTCCGATTCAACAGACGCGCCTCCAACTTTGTCACCGCCATGGGCGTCTTTGGCAACTCCAACTCTCTGCCTATTTCTCTCGTTCTCTCGCTTTCGCAGACACTCAAGGGCCTGCACTGGGACAAGGTTCCTGGAGATAACGACGACGAGGTCGGTGCCCGAGGTATCCTGTATCTCCTTATCTTCCAGCAGCTTGGTCAGCTCGTCCGCTGGAGCTGGGGCTATCACGTCCTCTTGGCTTCCAAGGACAAGTATCCCGAGTATCGCGAGCAGATTGCCGAGGAAGGACAGGGATATCGCGATGAAGAACATGAGGAACCCGAGGTTGAGGTTCTAATCGAGGGTCTTGATGGGGAGACTGAGGACGAGGGAGACCGCCAGAGCATCGATTCGGAAAACTATGACCCTGCCGGTCGCACGCCTATTGCCCATGCCTCCCGAGTCTCGCTGGCTGTTTCTAGCGATGATGATTTCCTTGCCAAGAAGACCACTTCCAAGAACCATCAGGGACAGACTGGAACCAACGGCTACCTTAACGGCAACCTCAACGGCAACGAGGGCGGTATTGAGACATTCCCCCGTGTCCCATCGTTGGAAGACGATGAAGAGTCCCGTGGTTTCGTTGGACGAGCGACTTCATCCGCAAAGGCTCCTTTTGTTCGTCTCGGAAAGGTGACATCAAAGGGTGTCTGCAACTTGTACGAGAAGTCCCCTGCTCCGGTCAAGTCGTTCCTGAAGTTCACGAAGCGAGTTGGTGTGAAGTTCAACACCTTCATCTGGGAGTTCATGAATCCCCCGCTCTGGGCCATGCTTATTGCCATCCTGGTCGCCTCCATTCCTGCCCTTCAGCGTCTGTTCTTCGAAGAGGGCTCCTTTGTCCAGAACAGTGTCACCAATGCCATCCGTTCCAGTGGAGATGTCGCTGTTCCGCTGATCCTGGTTGTACTGGGTGCCAACCTTGCGCGTAACACGATGGCCAAGGATGAAGCTCTCGACCCCGAGGAGGAGCGCATCGGTAACAAGCTCCTGGTCGCCTCCCTCCTTTGCCGCATGGTCTTGCCCACCGCCATCATGGCTCCCATGCTCGCGTTGATGGCTAAATATGTGCCCGTCAGCATTCTTGACGACCCTATCTTTGTCATTGTCTGCTTCCTGCTCACCGGCGCTCCTAGCGCTCTGCAGCTGGCTCAGATCTGCCAGATCAACAGTGTCTTTGAGAAGACCATGGGCAGAATTCTGTTCCAGAGCTATGTTATTTGGTAAGCTTAACCCGGTCCCTCGGCATAATGCAGCCCGAGATGCGCTAACACCTGACAGGATTCTTCCCTCCACCCTCATTCTGGTAATGATGGCCCTTGAGGTTGTCGAGTGGGCTCGATGATAGATCTCTATGCTTCCTTAATTGGAAAACCACAAACACGACATTGAGTCGATTCCGTATGGAACTCGATCGATATTGCTTTTCTTGAACAACATTTTGCGGGCGTTGAGGCGAGGGTTATACAATGGACAATATACGAATAGGGGCCACAAGGCAGATCTGAGTTGTTGGGACCAGACCCGACTTGGATGGATTGGGCTTTTAGGAAATGCGTCTTTTGCGCGTGTTATCACATCACTTGGGATTGTCTGTAAGCAGCAAGGCCAAGTTTTGTTTAGAATTAGTATGAGGAACGACCTAGTATAAGAGCTTGTATTGTTCAGCTCACTTGAGTGTAGCAGCGGGCGTGATTGCAAGCATAGCCTGATACCAACATTAAATAATGATATTGTTTTGTCATCAATGACCTTCAAGTGCCCCTCGATCAGCTGGTGCCATTAACCAAGTTCCCCGTTGGCACGATTTCCCAGTCTCTTACGGTTCCCTTCCAATCGCTGATGCGCACATCTCTGATATCCACCGACACAACCCTGACCTCCTCACCAGCCACGAAGCAGTTCCGGCCACCGTCCTGGACGGCTCCATTGCCGCCATTGCCATTGCTATTGCCCTGCTGAAACCGCTGGATGTCGACCTCCTCAAAGGTGTTGTTCTCGAGATGCTGCTGGCGATAATATCGCTCCTCCTCAGTCCCGCTGGGCACCAGACGGGCGGCACCCCCTATGGTGGCACTGATGCTAGATAGCTGCGATGTGTTGAGGTTGAGGAGAAGGGAAGCGAGACTGGAGCGTTGCTCGGGGCCGGGGGAGCCACCAGACATGCGGCGGCCATGGGTGGGTGGTCGATGAGAAACCCCTATAGCTGAGATTAGCACGCCAATCCTGACAGATTAGAATCGAAGAATGAGATGCGCGACGTACAATCGTGGACGAGTAGAGACACATTGGGGTTTGCGACAAGATTGATAGTCTTGCGAGATGCCGGGTTCGTCGTCATGATGATGACCGGGTAGTTGGAGTAAGGCGACGAAGGCAGGTATGTGTAGTTCATGAGCGATACTTGTGGAATGTTATCGTTGCATGTTGCCAGATGAAGCTATATTCAATGTCAATCTTCTGCATTGGAGATGATATCCAACGCAACGGACTGTCGGCGATGCGGGGGAGGGGTGCAGCATACGAAGCGAGCATTTTCAAGGCACTGGACAACGTCTGGGGGAAGCGTCGATGTTGTCTGCTTGTTGGTGTCTCCTTGAGAGGCCTCAGCGTTGAGTGGTATATTTTGATCCATTGTGCGATGATGAGTGTTTGTTGATGTTGATGATGGAGTTGACCAGGATGGAACTCGTCTCGAAGCAGCTTCTCCAACTGAACTCGGCACATTCCGCGACTCCCGGCAGGAATGATGACAGCGCTGGAAGCTTAGTCAGCTATCGATCTGGAGGGGCAGTCGCATGTGACGTAGCGGAGCAGCACGGTGCACCTTCCCCAGAGCGAGCTAAACAATTGATCTAGCAAGAGCTGCCGTCCGGGGAAGTCCTACCCGGCTACTCACGGTTCCTCGCGGTCACGTTCGCCCTCAACCGGCTTGGACCTCTCAAGCCGACGGCATAGCACATTCACGGCATTAGAAACGAGGGTCATCAACCGAGAAAGGCCTTTTCGAATAAATTTTCCTCTTCTTCAGATGCTTCTCCTTGCAAACCTCTCCTCCTGAGGCCTTCTGAAGCTGCCATTGCTGTCTGTCTCTGAATTGGGTGCCTCCCTCTCCAACCGCCCGCCATGCGTTCCCTCCGCGCAAACCGTCGTCTTCCTCTGAAGCCTCTCCCTCGTCTCCTCTCTACGACCGCCTCTCCCAGCGCGGCATCTGCTTCTACTGCATCCTCCTCCTCTACTCCCAAGTATACACCGATCAATTCGGTCCTTATCGCCAACCGAGGCGAGATTGCCATCCGTATCAACCGTACTGCCGAACGCCTCGGCATTCGTGCTACCACAGTCTACACCGATGTTGACGCTGGCTCCTGGCATGCCTCGTCGGGTTTTCAATCACTTGGACTTGGTCCAGCCAATGCCTATCTAGATGGCGAGAAAATCATTGCGCTGGCCAAGCAGAATGGTATTCAGGCCCTACATCCCGGATATGGCTTCCTGTCAGAGAACTCCAAGTTCGCAGAGCGCTGCGAAGAGGAGGGCATTGTGTTTGTCGGACCCCCAGCTACTGCCATGGCCGACATGGGACACAAGGCTCGCAGTAAGGAGATCATGACTGCTGCCAACGTTCCCTGTGTGCCAGGTTACCATGGCACGGAGCAGGGCGAGCAGGAGCTTCTTGAGCATGCCAAGAAGATCACATTCCCTGTTCTCCTCAAGAGTGTACGAGGAGGTGGTGGCAAGGGAATGCGAATTGTCTTGACAGAGGATGAATTCTTGACGCAGCTCAAGAGTGCTCGTGCCGAGGCCAAGGCCTCCTTCGGCGAGGGCGGCGAGGTCATGCTGGTGGAGAAGTACATTGTCCGCCCTAGACATGTTGAAGTCCAGGTATTCGCCGACAAGTGGGGGAATACTGTTGCCCTTGGCGAGCGAGACTGCAGTGTTCAACGACGACACCAGAAGATCCTAGAAGAGTCTCCTGCTCCTGATCTGGACACGGCAACCCAACATGACCTCTGGGACAAGGCCAGGAAAGCTGCGTCTGCCGTGGGCTACGTCGGTGCCGGTACTGTCGAGTTCATCCTCGATAAGGACACCAACAAGTTCTACTTTATGGAAATGAACACTAGGCTCCAAGTGGAGCATCCCGTCACAGAGATGGTGACCGGCTTGGACTTGGTGGAATGGCAATTCCGAGTCGCTGCTGGCGAGAAGCTGCCCCTAACCCAAGCAGAAGTTGAGGAGCAGATGAACCAAAGGGGTGCTGCTATCGAGGCACGAATCTACGCAGAGAACCCCGAGAAGGGCTTCATTCCTGACTCAGGCAAGCTGGTACGTGCCTATCTGCCTACCGAGTTGCAGAACGAGGATGTCCGCCTGGATTGGGGATTTCGCTCTGGCAGCACAATCTCTGAGGCATACGATGGTATGATTGCCAAGCTCATTGTGCGCGGCGATACAAGAGAGCGTGCCATCGCCAAGATGGAGAGCGTTCTACGTGCTTATGAGATTGTCGGTGTTGCTACAAACATTGAGTTCCTCAAGCGACTCTGCCAGACCGACGCCTTTGTTGCTGGTGACGTCGAGACCGGCTTTATTGACAAGTGGCGAGACGAGCTCTTCAAGCCTAGATACATCAAGAACGAGGTGTTCGCCCAGGCAGCTCTGGGCATGGTCAACTTCGAGCTCCGAAACGCAGTGCCCCATGGCCAGACACTAGGGTTTGGCGAGGCCAACACCATTGGTGAACGAAAGCTTGCCTTTAAGATCCTAGACGGATACAGTCAGGAGGAAGGCGAGGTTGTAGACGCCAGCGTGACACAGACGGGTCACAACCTTTTCAATGTCGTCGTTTCTCGCAAGGGTGAAGAGACGCCCCAAGTCTTCACCAACATCGCATGCCAGCCAGAGCCAGAGGGTGAGGTGATGAAACTGGAGTCATACTTCCCCTTGGAGCGAATCCAGTCTTCCGTGGTTCCCCAGCACACAGACAACGATACCAAGGTCACCATCTTCCAACATGGAGTCAAGACAGACCTTGTCCTTCTACCACCCCAGTGGTATGAGAAGGCGCTCGGCTTAAAGGAGGCGACTGCGTCGGTTGCTGCACCAATGCCCTGCAAGATCCTGAAGAATGAGGTAGTAGAGGGCCAGACAGTACAAAAGGGAGCGCCTCTTGTTGTGTAAGTATTGTTCTGCGGATCTGTCAAACACGATGCTAATACGGCGTAGGATTGAATCGATGAAGATGGAGACTGTCATCCGATCACCACAGGACGGTGTGATCAAGAAGCTAGCACACAAGGAGGGAGTAAGTGATGAAAGCCCGATCATACCTAACCAAGATGATACTGACAGTCCGTAGGATATTTGCAAAGCCGGAACAGTTCTGGTCCTGTTTGAGGAGGGTGAGGCCAAAGAGGGTGAGGCTTGAGTACAATGAATAGAATACCATGATAATGTCGGGTTTTGGGGCGTCATAAGGAAGACAATTTTATGCGAATACATGGGTTTCCAGTGCGACTCATGTCATGAATGAGGCTACGTTGGGTTGCGAGAGAGCCTGACTTGTGTGGTCTCTTAAGGAGAGGATCTACATCACTCTTAGACTCTAGGATCGCAATGATGAAGCAGGTTTAAATGCTATTCTGAAAACTACCAACTCCAACCGTGATAATAACAAAAAAATGAGATATTGCCTGTAACTGTATGCCAGTTTTCCAAGATGTCTTGGAAGGTCTTTCTCTTTACACCGTCTGTCTGTAAGTATGTGATGTCTGTATTCCTGTAAATACCCATATCCGAACGCCATGAAATCCCATAAAAGTCCCGGCCGTAATTCGTAAACTCAAAATGAAAGAATGCGGTTATTGATTGAGTCTCAGACTCTCTCAGGTTGAAATATGGCAGCCACAGGCTACCTCGTGTGCATCTTGGTGTAGTCCTCAGGGAGGTATCTCGCAAGCTTCGACTTCTTTGCGGCCTTGCGGATGCGAACCCACCAATCTTGGAGACGAGCTTCAAACTTGGGGTCTTTGTTTGAAGTAAACGAAGTGAAGTTGTTAAGCAGATCCTGGGGGATGGTCAGCATGGATAACATGAATGAACAGTCGCAATCTTACCTCCTGAATCGCCAGCGTGATGAATCCCAAAACAAATGCCACCCAAGCCAACGTCCCCTTGGTGCTCAGAAACTGGTTTCCGCCGCGGAACTCGACCGTTCCCGTGCATTTGCCCGTCTTGGGGTTGGGAAAAATGTTTTGAAAGTTCCACAGCACGTAACGGTTTCCCTGCATGTAAAAGTATAGCTCCGTCTCAGATCCTTTGGCCTTGATTTCGGTCGCCACCTTGTGCAGGGAGGAATTGCTCCTCCCGCACAGCATGAGAGTGTCGTGGAGGCCCGATCCTTCGCTCTGCGAGTTGGGTCGGCAGTACTGATTCTGGCGACGCGCCTGGGGGAGCACGGCCGCGACAAAGTCCTGGTAGACGACGGTGGCGAAGGCGATGCGGCGGAGGGATCGCAGGGAGAACTTGTTGTGAAGGGATACAGGCGTTACGTGGACGTGGCCGCCGCAGGAGACGTCCCTCTGGGGGTTGAAGTGGACGCGCATGGCTTCCCAGAACTCGCCGAGGATGCTGCTAACCTCTTGGGTTGTGTCGAGGCGGGGGGAGACGACCTCCATGCAGACTAGTGACGACGTCAGTGGCGAACTAGACAAGGATATCACGACTTGTGAAATGTTGGAGGATGAGTATATAAACTTACCCATGGGCCGCTCCCGCTTTAAAGAACCATCTCTGGTAACAAACCACTTGCCTCCGTAGTACTCGGGATGTTTGCTGTACCTGGAGTTGTCGTCGTGAACGGCCTCAATGCCCCGGTTCCGCAGCTTCTGTGCGAGTTGGCGATACCAGTCGACGTTGGTGAAGCTCTCGCCGCCGCCGTATGGCTTGGCGACGGCCTCGATCTCGATGCCAAAGTTGTAGTTTCTACCCATGATGGACGTTTGCTTTGTCTTTGATGAAGAATGAGAGGTGAAGGATAAAAGGGTAAGAGAAAACGACTCGAGCTTGCTTGTGTATATGAGGCCCTTCTAAACGTTTCCGTATGTATGTCGTCTGCCGTATCACATTGTCTGTCCGTCCGTACGCCTTGCTCAACTCAACAAAAAAGACACGAGCAAATATTGTACGTATTTCTTTGGCGCTCAACTCAGCTCAAACATTGCCCGCATGACCTGAAGCTGTCACATCTCAAAAAGAGGAGAAAAGAAGAGGAAAAGCAAAAAAAAAAATCTCCGTCCTATTAATGCAGAATTCGAAGCAGAGTCCAGGTCGCTGTCACTTGCGGGTCTCCACCAGCCGGGGATCACGCCGTGTGGGGCCGGGGCCTTAGCCGGAAGAAGAGGAGCCCAGCCCAACCTTCTTCTTTCTTTAGCGGCAGACGGGCTGGGCCGTCTCCCGCGTCTCGTAGCGTCTCAATTGACAGTGAGGCTATCGGATGACTGTCTCAACGTTACTTTTGCTATGTCACAGCCTGGGGAGGCGCCCACGTCGTCGGGCCCAGGCATTCAGGCCCCCAGTCAGAATATGCCGTGCTACTGCTATTAGACGCTGACCCTCCCCTGAACGTGGACAACGGCAATTGGCCCTTGGTCGAGGGCCCTTGCTGCCCAATGTGACTCTCACACAAGTCAGAGACATCACCGCCAGACGACACGCACACGATGGTCCACACGCCGCATCTCGCTCCGCCTCCTCGGAAGTTGGACTGGCCTCGCCAGCTCGCCTTGCCTTCGCCCTGGCTCGACTGTTCAACTCATGACGTGCCTCTTTGCGAGGGAGCCAAACCTACCCCCATCCATTAATCTCCGTTAGCTCACTAATTGCTCTCCTCACCTCACGCATCTCCCTTTTTTCCCTACTCTCCCCCTACTCGTCAATCTCGTTAGCCCACTCACACACTCACGCAACTCACATCACACATCACATACATACATACACTCCGACCATCGGATGCACGGAGCCTCCTGTCTCCGGATCATCTTCAACAGCATGGCCTCGCACGCCCCGGTCACCGCTACCGCCGCCGCCGCCGCCACCAACAAGTACTATTTCGCCTATGGCAGCAACCTCCACCTCGAGCAGATGAAGCGCCGATGCCCCGGCAGCAAGCTCATCGGCAGTGCAAAGCTATGGCACTACCGCTGGCAGATCAACGAGCGTGGATATGCTAATGTCATGGAGGCTGACGGCCACTGGGTCGAAGGTCTCGTCTTTGAGATCAACCAGCGTGATGAGTCCCGCCTGGATGTCAATGAAGGTGTCTCCAAGAATGCCTACCAGAAATGCTACATGACAGTCATGCTTCGGCGTGCAGAGTCGTCTCTATATCGCCGCCCCGTATCCTGGATCGTCAATAACGGAGGTCCAGCCCAGGCACGTCAGATGGCAGCGGGACAGAGGAGATCCGTCAACCACGATCCGCACTGGGAGCAGAATGTGCTAGTGTACATCAGTCCTCAGTACATCATCGACAGCCCGCCCAAGGAGGAATACATAAACCGGATCAACCTGGGCATCGCCGATGCTAGGGTTTTGGGTGTTGCCGAGGACTACATCAGCAACTGTATCCGGCCGTTTGTACCGGCAACAACTCCAAAGGAGACCACGGCGCCAAAGCCAACGGGTGCTGGGACAACAGCAGCTACACCTACCAAGCCAAAGGTTGTGAGAAAGGTTCCGAGTCCGGCGAGAAAGGCTGCCAAGCAACCCGTTCGAGAAGCCAGGAGACCTGCCGGTGTTGCTGGTGCTTCAAAGAGAACTCCAACCCCGTCACCAGCTCGATCAGCCCCAGGAATTAACCCGGCACGAGCTTCAAGGCCACCACAGGTTCAATCTCAGGCAGCTCGTCGAGCCAGGAGTCAGGACCCCCCAAGAGTAGTCGTGAATACCTCTGGACGGTCAGGACCATCTCACAGGCGAGCACGCTCTCATGCCTACTCGCAACCACCACCCCTTCCCCCAAGGCCACTATCTGAGCAGGTTGCCGAGTACTACCAAGAAGCCACTCTTCGACCCCCCATGACAACCCGTCAACGATCTACCTCAGACGTCGGGGCACCACCACCTCTGCCGCCTCGACCTGCTCGTCGAATGCGCAGTATACCCGTCATCATTGTTCAGGAAAGTCACAGTAGTTCGTGGCGCAGATAAAAAATCATCGACCAGCTGGGATACCAGCCTCGACGTCATCAACATTCTGGAAATACTCATACAAAAGTGATTGCCCTCGTGCGTCTATATGTTTCATTGCCTTGTCATCCATCGTCCGCTAACTCCTGTCCGTTAACAAAAGAAACTTCCTTACACATGAAATTTCATCTGTGTCTGGTTGACGCCGATACTACGGTCCCAGCCGTCCCTAAACACACGGTCAGAGCTTGGAAAGGTGACCGGAACGGGGGTTCTTACTTCTCGCGGGCCCTCGAGCCACGCTTCGGCTGGGACCTTGTGGTGTCGCCGCATTGTCCCATAGCCATCTCATCACGGTTGGCGCCTGGGTTACTTCACCCTCTGTGTTGTTGACGAGGACGGTGGGTTTCACAACGGCTTTGACGCCCCCCTTCTTTCCCTCCTCAAGCCTCTCGACGAATAATCCAGGGGCAACGTCTAAGAGGTACGACACGTTTCGTCGTGACGGCGAGGTTTGTTTGGTCCCGCTCAGATCGAGAATCATACCGTTGCTCGCAAGGTTCAAGCATTGGTAATTCTCCAGCCTAGACGCTGCCGTGCGAGGGGCGGGCCATTTCAATGAGAAGGAACTTGAGGCCAGATGGAGTTGATGGACAAGGTCTGATGCGGGCTCAACAATGCTGCGGCGAACTGAGCTGTGTAGCTCTGCAGGAGGTGTCCTGGGAACAATGACTGAGAGGAGAGTGGTCAAATCATTGGTGACCATATGGATGTATCGTGTCCGTCGGGTTTTGAAGATGGGTTGATGTGTCAATGCTGTGAGCGTTTCACTCCTCCACTCTCTGCATTGGGCCTCATCTAGAGTAAATTAGCCTCAGGTATAACAGAGTTTAGAATGAAGATTTACCTCTTGGAAGTCGAGACATGGTGCTTTGAAGTTCATCGAGCCACATCAGCGTCCCATCCTCTTCCGTGTCATCCAGGGGACAATAGAATGATTTCGAAAACAAGGCAAGGTACAGGTAGTTCATGATGGCCCCCATTATGTGATACTCATCAGACTGGTCAGCATTCAGGCAACGCCTCGACTGCTCTCTGAGGAGGGCAACGAAGCGTGACGCCTCTGGGGGAACTGTTCTCGACTTGAGACGGCCACTCTCCAGATCCTCAAGGATATCCTTGACCCGGTTCTCAACCCACCGCTGAACGTTTCCTACCAAGTTCTTGTAGGCTTCCCTCGCTTCAGTCTCAGTAATGTCCTTTCTGTTGGGCTGTAGACGAAAAATCTGCTCCTGGGCATCCTGTAGCTGCTTCGCCTTGGTCTTGGTTTCCCTCCGGGATTCGGAGAGCTGCTTCTGGGCGCTGGCGAGTTTCTTCTCTAGGGCTTCAACCTTTGCTGAGAGCTTGCTCTTCTCAGTCTCTCGATTCTCGATCTCCTGCTGCCGGGAGTCCAGTACGTTCTCGGTGAAGCGGCGTAGATGGGTCTCGTTGGTCAGCTTGGTTTTGAGATCAGGGCTCTGGGGAGTCCCCTTTCCTACCGGGCCATTCTGTTCTGCTGGTCCCTGCTTGGTCCCATTTTGAGCCTGAGTTCCGGCCTCTGGCTTCATGGTGGTTTGGTGATAGACTTCAAGGCGGTTGCCTTTAGTGACAGCTCAATGTAAAGATCATCCAGTCTGTCAGCAGCGTATTTGAGGGCGATTCACCGTCTAACCTAGGCCAAGCTCAACAGAGTCCTACAGCTTCAGCCCGACAAGATGGAGTGAAGCCACATGTGGCACGACCGGGTCATTCCCTCCAAGCATCGCCAATAAACGCCGTGGTTGCGCGATAAAGACCCAAGCAAGCAGCCTCACGGTCCGGTTGGACGACGGCTGTGTCTCAATTAGGCGCCGGTCGATGGCTACCTAACGCATCCAACTCGCTCTCCGCTATGTGACACAAAAAGTCGGTCTCGCCTCAGAGCTCCACCACATACCTTGCGACTGGCCTCCCACCGTAGCTTTCTGCATGCAGGGCCAAGAGCACGGTGCTCCAAACCACGACCGCCTACTGGATCCGACGCCCTGCGTGAGGCCGGAGAGCGGCAGGCGATGAGTTGGTCGTCGCAGCCTCCAGTAGTCGGTGAATGAGGCCCAAGCAAGCCCCAGCCCAGTTCCCGCCCAGTAGCAGTGAGGCCCGAAAGGATCGCAACAGCAGCGTAACGTCGTGGCCACCAAAAGAACCCGTCGGGTGCTGATGAAAAATGATCCGAAGCCCTGCTGATTTCTGTCATACCCAATGAAGCGTCGACGAAGCGAAATCTAAGCGAAAACGCCATTTCATTTGCAGGCCCGAATAATCCGACTGGAATCCCGCCTCGCCCCGATACATTCACTGTAAAGAGGCCCGCGGAATGCCCTACCTGGTCGCCCTGTGTCACCAGCAGTTGATATAGCGATGAGACAGCCATAGCCATAACAGGGAACCTCGAGATAGCAACCATCAGCCATGAGCAGCCGAAGAATCATCGTTTCGATAGATTTCGGAACGACTTACTCAGGGGTTGCTTGGGCCGACACAACTCGAGTAAGCCGTCTGGTCTGTCCTTGTACCTCGAGACACTCCACTAACCTCCAGTAGCCCGATGTTCAGCATGTTGTGACGAGCTGGCCCGCTGTCGGCTCCTCCAAGAGCAGTCCCAAGGTGCCGACCGAACTCCGGAAGGTCGCCAACGGATGGCAATGGGGCTTTCAGATTCCCGAGTCAGCCAAAAGAAGTAAATACTTCAAACTGTTCGTCTGCTCTTCCATGGTCGTCTCAGTCGCTTGGTCTAATCAAATAACCCTTGCAGGAAGCTAGACGACAATGGTCAAGTAACCAAGGATGGAGAATCAGCTCAAGATCTGACCAAGGTATACCTATCATGTCTCCACGCGCATTTCGTCACCATTCTCGAGGCACGGTTATCGCCAAGTGTAGTGAGGTCGACCCCCATGGACTTTGTCGTGACGGTTCCTGCGATCTGGTCGCCTGCAGCAAAGCAGGCCACAGAGCGGGCAGCTGCAATGGCTGGATTCTGTGGACATCAAAGAATCATGCTTATTTCAGAGCCGGTATGTTCGATATCAGGGATGAAATCGCAGTCCTAACTAGCGTGTAGGAAGCAGCAGCACTCTATACCCTCAAGACTCTGAGCCCTGCCACGCTGCAAGTAGGGCGCAAGTTTGTTGTTTGTGACGCAGGAGGCGGCACTGTCGACCTCATCTCCTATCAAGTCTCGCAAGTTGGAAAGCTCGAGGTCAACGAAGTCACAGAGGGCACTGGTGGGAAGTGTGGCTCCTCGATGCTCAATACCCGCTTCCGCCGGCACCTGAAGCAAACCCATGGCGAGAAGTACTGGACTGATGAAAGGCTCATTGTCGCTTTGAACGAGTTTGAGTCAGTAAGTGATCCAAGCATCTCCAGAAAGTGCCCCAACTCTAAGTGTTGTAGTTCAAGAAGACCTTTTCTCCCAAGGGCGAGCCCCTGACAATCAAGGTCGAACCCAGCCTTGGTCTGCGGCGAAACCGATACACAATGTCGCAGGATGACATGAAGACCAAGATCTTTGAGCCCATCATGAAAGATATCGTCTGTCTTATCAAGGAGCAAATCAAGATGGCAGGAGATGGTGTTGCTGCTGTGATCATGGTTGGAGGATTTGGCCAGAGCCGGTATCTCAAGTCCCGTGTGCGGGAGGCCATCTCATCCAAAACCGAGGTTCTTCAACCGGAGAGCGGTTGGACGGCTGTCGTCAAGGGCGCGGCAATCCACGGGCTCAGTCGGTTCTCGCCAGCAATATCCCGAATTGAGGTTGCATCCCGAGTTGCGAGAAGATCGTATGGTGTATGCTTGCTGACCAAGTACGATATGATGAGACATGATCCAAAGGAAGCGTGGGTAGTTCGAGTCGCTCTTCAAGTTCCCGCTGACATGTTGCAGTTTCTGGTCCGAAAAGGAGCAGGAGACGGTAGTCACTGAAATGTGCTGGTTCATCAGAAAGGTAACAACACTGACAAAGGCTGATAATGTCCTGGTATTGACATGAGTAGGGCGAGTCTTACCCCGAGGGTAAACCGTCAAAAATCGAGTATCAGTGTGATCTTCCCGTCATGCTTGGTCATGAGCCGCAGACCGAGATCGAAATATTCAGTCACAGCGACGACTCAAAGACGCCCATCCACTTGGACTCAAGCACACAGTATATCGGAACGCTCTCGCTCGACCTGAAAAAGATCCCCGACTCTGCCAAGAGAACCGCCAAGGTCAGACGCATGGGGTGGCATCGGTACTATTGTCTCAAGGGAGTCATCGAAGCCAGTTATGGATCAGCAGAAATCACATACAAGGTCAAACTTGGAGGTAAGAAAATACCAGATGAAATGAAGAGCCCTCCCTTCTAACTCGGTGCCGCAGGTGTTACGCATGATGTGGTAACTGTCCGGTACGAACGGTAAGGACAGAGGCTGGCTGGATGCCACACAATTGTACGACAGAAAGGAGACGAGTTCTCCACGAAGTAATGAATTATCTCGGATCAAGTTCAGGCGTTTGTTGTTTGTAGCATGTTCGTCAATGGAGTCACATTTGTTGGTGTAAGTCAGTAGGTATCTAGTTGTAGAAGGAAAGTGCATCAAATCCAAGCGTTTGCAAGGTCGAACATGACCCACCAAAGGACTAACATGAGGGTACAAAATAACTATGAAGAAGAAAATGGGCATAGGGATATAAATAACCCATGAATTTACACATGCAATAATATATTTTCCCAATATCTTAATACCTAAAAAAAAGTTTTGGAACAGAAATGGAGAGTAATTGTCTTTTCACATCTCCTGTTCCCCCAGGAGTCAGAGTCAAGTGGGAATGTGCCAGACAGTGGACCATGTAAAGTGATCACGTGTACTCGCGTTAGACCCCACTACCCATCGTCGCGTCTTCCGCCTTGTTGGTTCTTGAAATCAGCCATCCCTCCAAACCAGCGTGAAATCACGATGCTTCATGCGTCATGGCCGGAAATATTCATCCCAGGGTGACTCTGCTTGATCATGGACGCTCAGGCGGTGACTTTGCTGCCGGTCCTCCGCCATCAACCCTAGCTGCCCAGCTCGTGGAGAACATTTCAGCATCGACCAAATCCTCTAGGTCGGACGAGAACAGTGAGCTGAAGGGCTTCTTCGCTGTCATCCAACGCGTCAAAGATGATCCCACACTTCTCAAGACGCCCGAGGAGCGTATTGAAAACAATCACATGCTCCTTTACGTCTACGCTCGCGTTGTCCTTGATGGCATTCGGCTGGATGATCCATTCCTCGATTGGGCCCATGTACGCACCGAGGGCATCAAGGCAATCAACTTTCTCAAGTTCACCATCAAAGAGACACCATCGGTGCTCAAACACAAAGTGAATGGTCAAGAGTTCATGTTTCGTGGCCAAGAACCTCTGTGGGTCTGGTTGCTCCCTCAGCTGTTGAGGCTTCTTGGGCATCCGCAATGCATCGAACTTACGGAGGGCATTGAAGGTTTCCTCCAATATCTGATACTCACTGTAGCGCAGACACGGAGCTTGTGGGACTTGGCTCCCGCTATTATGCTCTATCTGCGCACCACGTTATCTCGTAGGTCTTGTTCTACGGTGTAGAAGACGCCTTTGGCTCACATATACTAGGCCTTCTTGACTACCTACAGAGTCTCTCGATTGTGCCTTCTTCAGAGGGAGTCCTCAGGGATTTGTCTCTTCCTCCAGACTTTGCCGTAAGCCGGCACTTGGGCGACGATTTATCCCGTCTCAACCAACTCACCTATCGCGTCGAACGAATGCCACAGGCTCTTCAACAGTGCCTAAGCCTCGGCGATGCCTTATCATATCCCCTACTATCTGGTGATGTAGCGTTTGACATGGTCTCCTCGTTCTCGGAGAGTGTGGTATGGTTGCTCGACGCTCTTGTGGACATGCGGTCTCTCCAGAAACGCTATGAGTCTGTATTTCCGGGCTCGCCTCTTCATATCATTCAGAACACCTTACAGATTGTACGAGCGTTGTCCAATAAGAAGGGAGTCGGCGTTTCACTTCGCAACAAGGCCGTCATGCTCCTGGTCCTATTTTGCGGTGAGATGGCATCAAGTCCTGACTGCTCGCCCATGCTAGATTCCACTGACGAGGAGACTCGTCGCACGTATTGCGTGGCTCTTGCTACAATAGCAAAGGCATGCATTGGCGATAGAGCCCTTGGTCGATTAGCAGTATCCAAGCTTGTGGACGAAACTTCTCTGCTGTATCCGGAGATGCCAGCAGAAACAGATATATGGGTGAGAAACCACAATCAAGCAGGCTTTGCTGGAAGCTGACAACTCAACAGAGAGCAACACAAACTCTACGACAAGTCACCGCCACTCCCCAGCCGGAACTACTTGACAGTGATCTGCATCCTTCAAAGTTCCAGGACGGTTATGTGCGTGAGGCGATCGAAGAGTTGTCAATGACCTATAAGGAACCTGATGTCGACCCCGAAGACCGTACCAAACGCAGAAAGGTTTCATCTCAAAATCATAGCGCCATGTCTGTCCTGGTGAATTCGATTAGGGAGAGCTTGGGACTTTCAATGGAAGATGATGATAACTGGGCGAATTTCGAACAACAATATCTGTGAGTTATGCCTCAAGCACTGATGTCTCGATACTGATGAATAAAAGGGACGCGTTCCCAACGGTGGATGAAACGCACCAGTGCCTTGCTCTTGATCTCTTGTCCCGAATTTGCTGTCTTGCTGACAGTGAGCCCGAACCGTCCGATGCTGTCGAACCAAAGGTTGCTGGTTCCCCGTGTCCTGTTTGCGAGACGAATTCATGGTTGGGTCGTACAATTTCCCACGAGGCCATCCTCCATAGGTCTCGAGTTGAAGCTCTCTTTACAAAGTTGGTCCGTTTGCCTTCCATCGCAGAATCTCGCCGTCCAAGGGTTGCTGCTATGCTGGCGCTGAGGAGAGTGGTCCAACATTGCGATGATACAGAACTACTTAACTTGGAAACATCCGCGTTGGGTCAGTGGTGTCTTCAGTCTCTGAACAGTTCTTTAAGAGAACTCCGCATTGCTGCAGGGAGAGTCCTGGCAACCTTCTCTCTCGACAGACCTGAGTCAGTTTTTACACGCATGGTACTCCCGACTCGTCACCCGGGTGGAAAAGGCACCGCCAACCAGCCCCTTGCTGATCTCCAAGCCGACGCCGCTCACGGTAGTGTACGTTCGAGCGCGACGGATGGAACGTCTCCGATGAAGCGCCAGGATTTGGTGCATCGCAACAGGAAGAATTCGATTGCCTTTCTCAAGTCGCTATCTGAGAAGAACCGTGCCAATCTAACAGAGACATTCATCATGGCATGGGGCCAGTTGGGCACAGTCGTATGCGAAGACGAACTTAACATGGTCCTCATCAAGCTCATGGAATACTTGGGAAGCAGCAACAACATCGTCTCAGCATTCGCCTTCAATGAGCTTTTGAACTTGTCAGAAGCACGTGGAGTAACACCCCGCGGCCTTTTTGAGCCTTTCTGGCCAAATCTGGCATACATGGCGACCAAGGATATGGTGCACCGTCCTCAGATGAGCCGTGTGATCGCTGAGTTACTGCAGGTCTCGGTGAACGAGCTACTACTCGTCATCCAGACACACGCGGTGCCATGGCTAGTGCTTGACAAGCAGAAGGATGTGATCCAGAAGATTTCCGAGGCCCGGCAGGACCCCAGAGATTGGATGGTGGTGATGGATCCCCCGAATCTAGCTGCCACTCTTGCTCTATTGTTGATCCAAGAAACTGACGACATTACTGCCTTTGCAAAGTCGCGCCTAAACGAAATATCGACTCATTTTCACACTGCACCTATCATTGAGCTTCTTCAGACAGAACCTGTCCTCACCGTCATGGAGTTGCTGAAGGTGGCGGGTGAGGCAGATGAGTCCAAGAAGGCACCCGTAAGTCAAATGCCCACCGATCTATGTCAGGTTCTAATACCCTTGCAGGTCCGAAAAGCCTTGAACACTATCGCTTCAATGATTCTAGCAGAGAACAAGGACGCCAGATCGATGAAGAAAGGGGAGAAAACTCCTCGATTCATCCAGTCTCACCTTCTTGGCCTCATGGCTCGTCTTACAGAAGTCATCAATGATCCAAATCTTCCATTCCAAGAACGTCGTCGATACATTCGGGCTATGGAACAAATGCTCTGCGTGATCAAAGACTCGGCGAGATTCGCCAGACCCCAGGTACGACAATCTGGTTTCCATACTGGTTTTATTGCTCACTCGTGCACTAGATTGCCGCCTGTCTACTATCTACGTTAGCTCAGGACACTCTGAGGGAAGCAAGTTTCTCCTGTTGGGCGGCAATGCTCAATTATTTTGATGAAGAGGATGTCGAGCAGCTGCTAGAGACCACGTTCTATGTGGTTACCCAATATTGGGACTCCTTGAATGAGTCAACGGCCCTGCTTGCCAAGGAGATGCTCCAGACCACTGTTAATCGGTACGACAGCATGATCGCGAGATATATCCTCAAGCTACCCTCCCTTCGCCACATTCCTGAGCTACAGGACGTTGAGACGAAGCTGGAACAACACCGACCAGCAACTCCGTTAATTGAGGAAACCCTCGAGGCTTTCTCCCAGCGGATCAGGCATGAGAACTCAGGTGTTGTCCTCCAAGCACTGACAGAACTGGTATCATACCTTCAAAACAACCAAAACGCACTGCATGCTTCCGCCGCCAGCCAACAATCAGACGCTGTTGTTGCAGCGCTAATGCGATCTCTTCTCGACTGCGTATGCACATACAACAACCTTCCAGGGGAGATCGCTACGCTCTGTACCGAGGCGATGGGCCTGATTGGGTGTCTGGATCCTAGCAAGATCGAGACAGTGAGGGAACAGCGGTCCGTGGTTATCTTGAATAACTTGGAGACTTCCGAAGAAACCACGGACTTTGTCCTTTTTCTGCTGGAACATGAACTAGTGCCTGCATTCTTGTCTACCACTGACAACAAATTTCAAGGATTCTTGTCATTTGCCATGCAAGAGCTTCTCAACCGGTGCGATATCACGGCGGCGTGCGCCATGGAAGGCACCGGCATGCTCGGTGGCAGCGAGATTTATCGGAAATATATTGCGATGCCGGAGGCCGTTCGAGAAGTGGTGGCCCCTTTCTTGGGTTCCCGCTATGTGGTTGCGCCAATGGCTCCTCTGGAGGTTCAGTACCCGATCTTCAGTCCCCCCAAACCACATGCGACCACCCCCCCGAAGCCATATGCAACCTGGCTAAGATTCATCGTTTTGGATCTTTTACGAAAGGGACAAACACCTTATGCAGATATGATCTTTGAGCCCCTTGCACGTGTCATTCGCGTCAGAGACGTGATTATCGCAGAATACCTTCTCCCACACTTGGTTCTGCATCTTCTTTTAGGATCCAGAAGTTCTAAGAAAGAAAAAGACGATGTCCTCGGCGAGCTACTCAACATCCTGAAGCATCAACCTGGAGAGAACGCCTCGTATCAGGAGAAGGAGGAAATGAAGCGATTTTGCCATGTAAGTTGTGCAACACTTGGCAATGTTCGCCTGCTAATAGAGTCCAGGTCGTCTTCCGAGTTGTGGACTGCGCAATGAGATGGATCCAGACCAAAAGAGCCGCAGGACGCCTCACCGAACCCGACAAGGAGAAGTTGACCCAGGTCCAAGAAGCTCTGGATATGATACCCGCCGAGTTGATCTCAGAAAGGGCCATCGATTGCAACGACTACGCTAGGGCTCTGTTTCACCTCGAGCAACATGCCCAAAAGATGGAACAGAGAAAAAGAAAGCCGGATGAGCGCAACCGCCTTCTCGAGAAGCTTCAGGACATCTACGCCAATATCGATGAGCCCGATGGGCTGGACGGAATATCGGCCCATCTTCATGTTCTCGACATCAATCAGCAGATCCTGAGCCACCGCAAGGCCGGAAGATGGACCGCGGTACAGAACTGGTATGAAATGCAACTAGCAGAAAGCCCCGACAACGTCGATTTCCAGATCGACTTGCTTCACTGTCTGAAACAGGCTGGTCAACACGGTGAGGAATTCAGAAATCCCCGTCTCGTTCTTGGCTAATAATACACAGAGGTCCTATTGAATCATGTCGAGGGAATGCATACCGATGTTTCGACAGACAACAAGATCATTCCCTATGCTGTAGAGGCGGCATGGGTGACGGGCAGGTGGCAAAGTCTGGCCAAATTCAGCAAACGATTCCATGGCGATGTGGTTGAGGACTTCAACATATCGGTCGCGACCATCTTTGCCAAATTAAGGAACAAGAGTGACTTGTCCGAGTTGACTCTCCTCGTCAATGACATGAGGAGAAAGATTTCGGCATCAATGAGCACCTCATCTACTGCATCGCTCCAGGCTTGTCACGATCTTCTCCTCAAGGCTCACATCCTCACCGACCTGGAGATAATCATGGCTACGCCAACAGAAGACGAGGTGGCGCGTCAGAAGTCCATGTCCCTTCTGGATCGAAGACTTGACATTCTGGGTGCCTATGTGAACGATAAACAATACCTTCTTGGGATCCGTCGAGCAGCCATGGAACTCAGCCGGTATGTCAGGTTGAGTAAAGCATGCAGAAAGTCCCCATTACTGACCGCGAATAGGCCAGCGTTTACTGACCTTGACATCTCGGGCCTGTGGCTGTCAAGCGCACGGCTTGCGAGAAAGACAAATTCGTTACACCAGTCGTTCAACGCTGTTCTACACGCCTCCAAGCTCGGCGACGATGGTGCGGCCATTGAGAATGCCAAGCTGCTTTGGAGGGAAGATCAGCACCGCAAGGCGATTCAGATTCTCCAGGGAGCTATCAAGAGCAACAAGTTCATGACCCAAACAGGAACTTCAACCAGTACCAGTTCCACCAAATTGAGCCCGCAACAAAAACTGCTGACAGCGAGGGCTCAACTCCTCCTTGCCAAATGGCTCGACAGCGCTGGTCAAACGCATGCCGGAGCCTTGCGCGAGAAGTATCAACAGCCGCCCAAAACGTACTCCACGTGGGAGAAAGGGCACTACTACCTTGGCCGACACTACAAGAAGATTCTTGAGGCCGAGAAGCCGCTCAAGGTTGATGACCAGAGCGACAACTACATTACGGGCGAGGTTGCTAGGCTTGTCATTGAAAACTACGTGCGCTCGCTGAACTCTGGAACGAAGTATCTCTACCAGACTCTACCGAGGATCTTGACCCTTTGGCTTGACCTGGGAGCACAGGTGGATAAGGCACCAGAAGGCAAAGTCTCACTGTCTCGTGAGCTTCATCGGAGACGTGTGGAACAACTGAATCTTTTGCACTCTTTCCTCGACAAGTATATTCACCGATTACCAGCGTACGTCTTTTACACAGCATTGCCGCAGATCGTCGCCCGCATTGCGCACCAGAACCCAAACGTCTTCGATCGACTCACGCATATCATCGTCAAGGTTGTCGAAGCTCACCCTCGACAGGCTCTCTGGAGTCTGATCGGCATCATGACAACCAGACAAGTATCGGAACGAAAAGCGCGAGGCACTCAGATCCTCCAGGCATTGAGGAGCGTATCTAAGAAGGTGGAAGGCTCAACCTATGACCTGAAGTATCTACTGAGGATGGGAGAGAAGCTGGCTGAACAGCTACTTCTGGCGTGTCAGAACGGAGACTTTCATGGCAACAAGACGGTCCACGCCAGTCTTACTCGAGACCTTCGATTCAACCACAAATGCACACCATGCCCGTTGGTGGTGCCTGTCGAAGGCTCTCTGACAGCGACACTACCAGCTGTATCCGAATACGTCAAGAAACACAAAGCGTTTTCGAGAGATGTGGTGACGATTGGGTCCTTCTTGGATGATGTTTTGGTGCTTAGTTCGCTCGCCAAACCAAGACGACTCACGGCACGAGGCAGCGATGGAAAACTCTACATGCTTCTCATCAAACCAAAGGATGACCTGCGAACTGATCAACGTCTGATGGAGTTCAACGGGTTGATCAATCGATCGTTGAAGCGAGACGCCGAGTCTAGTCGAAGGCAGCTCTACATCCGAACGTACGCAGTTACACCTCTCAACGAAGAGTGCGGTATCATCGAGTGGGTGCCGGGCATCAAAACCATGCGAGATATCCTCATTGGGCTCTATGCTTCACGCAAGATCTATCCTGATTACACTGTTCTCAAGCAGCTAATGGACGAAGCCTGTCTTTCAGATGGCAAGACAAGAGTGTTTACAGATGAAGTTCTCGGTCGGTTCCCACCAGTACTTCAGCTGTGGTTCACGCAACAATTCCCCAACCCATCGGCTTGGTTCAGTGCCCGACTGCGATACACGCGCTCATGCGCCGTCATGTCCATGGTGGGCACGATTCTCGGACTTGGTGACAGGCATGGTGAGAACGTCAACCTTGAAGAGGGCAATGGAGGAGTATTTCATGTCGACTTCAACTGCCTGTTTGACAAAGGTCTCACGTTTGCCAAGCCCGAGCGTGTACCGTTTAGGCTCACTCACAACATGGTGGCTGCAATGGGTATCTACGGCTATGAAGGACCTTTCCGCAAGTCGTGTGAGCTGACTCTGAGTATCCTCCGACAACAGGAAGAGACGCTCATGACAATTCTCGAGGCATTCATCTATGACCCAACATTGGATCTACAGAAGGAGAAGCGGACGCATCGAAGGGGAGACGTAGGCGTTAAGCTGCAACCGCAGAGTGTGGTAGACAGCATCAAGCGCAAAGTCAAGGGATTGCTCCCGCACGAGAGCATCCCATTAGGAGTTGAGGGCCAGGTGGAGGAGCTGATCAAACAAGCTGTTGACCCTAGGAACCTAGCAGCCATGTATATTGGGTGGTGCCCATTTCTTTGAGATGGTGCAACGTTTCAGCTGGGGGTAGATAGACAATGGGTTTTAAGATGGACAATTCAAAGCATACATACAGAAAGAGGGAAAAGTGTGAATATTGAGAAAAAATGAAAACTGCAGATCAATGCAGCCTTCCAAGGTGCCTAGCTTTCTTTATCTGCATTTTAATTTATTGCCTGTTGGTTGGTTATCGGGGGCGCATTGTGGTGGTGGTGAGGGGAGGGGACCTGTGACTTGGGTAGCTCCTGCCTGGAAGAAAAACGAACGACGCGTCGCGCGCACCTTCCCTCAGCCCAGCCCAGCCCAGCTCAAGCTCCAGCTCCTTCCCCAAGCTCCATGCGTTGGCAGCGCCTCCCACTTCACCCTTCCTTTCAATCTCTCACATCATCTCCCCTCTCTTTCTCTCTCTCTCTCTGCCTGTTTTTTTCACTTCACAGGCGAAGGGATATCTATAAATTCCCTCTCCTTTCTCGCCAGCTCTGAGGCCTGTATTTGATTTCCTCACTGTTGCGCCTCTTGATTTTTACTCTGGCCATTTTCTCTCCAGATCGCGCGCGCAAACCCAACCGAAGCTCGCCCCCTCTCTCTCTGTCTGCACCCTTTGTCTCTCTCGACTCATATTTTTCCCTCTCTTTCGTGCCATTTTCGTCGCATCACAGCACGTTTCCTACCACCGCAAAGATGGGCGAATACCGTATTGGTGAGTCTCGAATTTTTCATGTTTCCCGTGGGCGCCGTTGTCGCGCTTCTTGCGGCAGCTTCTCCCCCCACACTCTATGACGAACCATGATTTCTAACGGCGTCGCAGAGGTGTCCCCCAACAACCGCGCTGGTTGCAAGGACAGCGAGTGCAAGAAGACCAAGGAGAAGATCACTAAGGGTACCCTCCGCTTCGGCAGCTGGGTCACCATTGAAGATCATGGAAGCTGGGCGTGGAAGCATTGGTAAGATGCATTGGTTTCAGTCGCAAACCCAGCAGCTTTGCTGACGTGTATCATAGGGGATGTGTCTCTGGCCAACAGCTGCAGAACGTCCGAGATCTCTGCGAGCAGGGGGATGGTAGCTTTGACTGCGATGCTATCGATGGCTTCGATGAGCTTGGGTAAGTCTTGATCCTGCTCCGCGCTTTGTCTCCGTACTCACGCTCTCAGGGACCATCCTGATCTGCAGGAAAAGGTTCGACGCTGTGTCACCCAGGGCTTCATCGATCCTGAAGACTTCAATGGAGTAAGTCTTTCGGAGTACCTTGCTGGTCGACTCAACTAACCATCATGTAGGATCCCGAGAAGAACAAGCTTGGGGAGAAGGGCATCCATCTGACGGCTGCTCAAAAGAGAAAGAGGGAGAAGGATGCTGCTGCTGCCGCTGTAAGTTCTTAGCCAGCATGTACCACAAACGTTGCTAACCTAATATCTAGGCTGCTGACGGCGATGAGGAGGACCAGCCCAAGCCTAAGAAGGCACGCAAGGCCAAGGCCGTCAAGGCTAAGAAGGAGGAGGATGAAGAGGAGGAGGAGGAGCCCGCTCCTGCTAAGCCCGCCCGTGGCAAGAAGACCGCTGCTAAGGCCAAGGTCAAGGATGAGACCGAGGACGAGGCTCCTGCGCCCGCTCCCGCTCCCGCTAAGAAGGGACGCCGGACTTCAGCCCAGAAGGTCAAGGATGAGGCTGATGAAGAGGAGCCTGCCGCTTCTCCTGCTCCCGCTAAGAAGGGGCGCCGAGCTTCGGCCCAGAAAGTCAAGGACGAGACTGAGGAAGAGGAGTCTGCTCCTGCTCCTGCCCCTGCCAAGAGAGGGCGAAAGACCGCTGCCAAGAACACTGAGGAGGAGGAGGAGGCCCCCGCCCCTGCTCCCGCTAAGGCGCGCAAGGCTGCTGCTCGAAAGCCGAAGGATGAAGCTGAAGAGAAGCCTGCCGCAGTCAGAAGACCACGCAGGGCTGCAGCCAAGAAGGCCCCTGTTGTCGAGGAGGACGAAGACGCTGCTGAAGAACAGGAGGAGGACGAGAAGCCTGCTCCCAAGGCCAAGGGCCGTCGTGGACGCCCTCGCAAGGTTTGAACGTGCCTTGGTTGAGATGTCAAGGTGTCTGGGGGAATGTTGACTGCCAAGGGATAATGATGTTTCCTTGGTGAGGCGAGGTGTTGAGGCATGATCAGTGTGCATTTCATGTTTTGGGAGCGTTTTGCCATGATATCTGGTGGACTGATGAGGGCTGTTTGGTTGATAAATGGAGGGTCAATGTACAAAATAAGGCACGACTGTAGTGTAATAATTCAGGACATGGTGGAATTGGCTGAGCAGGTGATGTTGTACCAGCAACTAATGACGTTAGGGATATGATTGTTGACCAGATGGTGTTTTCATACCTACCTAGGCAACTAGTAAGTACGGCATCCGTGGCATGATATGAACGCAACGGACAGAAGTGAGATGCTCCGCTACATGTTCTTGTTTTTACCATCCATCGCCTTCAACATGTTGGTGTTGTCTTCCTAGTTGCCTTGATACCTACCACAATTACACCTAAAGTTATGATTCGTACAGACCAAGGGTGAAATGGCCTCCAAGAACATGGCGTAAAGGCACTAGTCTCACATGAATGAAGTAGATCTATATGTTATCATTGAGCCTATGGAAATGCTAGAATAGTGCGTTGGTTCGCTCGCTCCTCATATACAACCACACGTCACCCTCCCGAGATAGTTAATTGTCCTTTGCCTTGAATATGTACAGTTCGAAAGAAACCCCTCTCCTTTTCACGGCCCCTTGCTCGCTCATTACCACGTAAAGCTCTCCTCGACAAAGTCAACGACGCTCGAGCCCTGGACTACGCGTGATGCCTCCCGGACGTCGTCGGCGAGGGCACCTGGACCGCACACGGTGACGCACATGGCTCCCATTTGCTCCTGAACCTCCTTCTGGAGGAGGAGGGGAACGTTGGGCCGTCCTGGGAACATGCGCACTGTGGCGCTAGCACTGACGATGTCGCTTGGGTTCTGGGGCCGAGTCACAAAGACCTGGACGCGGAGGACGTCTTTGCGGTTGGGCATGCGAAGGATCGTGTCCATGTAGGGGCGAACCCACTCGAGGGACTCGTACTCGCGGATGATCCAGACGAGGGTGATGCGTCGAGTCGCTGTCGTGCCGTCGTTGTATCCTTGGAGGAGGTGGCGCATGTACGAGATCTGGTGCGTGATGCCAGTCGAGCCGGCAAAGAGAACGACGTGACCGTACGAGTCGAGGCTGTTGTGGCCGGCGTAGGGGCCTTCCATGGCAGCCTTGATGCGGAGAGGTCGGCGGGACAAGGAGACGCGATCGTTGAGCTTCTTGGTGAAGCCGGTCTGGGCTCCAATGAGGAACGAGACCTTTGTAGTCGTGTTGGCCTTGTCGATGGCGTTGAGGGGTTCCTTTTCGAGGACGGGTAGGGTAGAGTCCTTGACGTGCTCAACCCAGGCGATGGAAAAGGGGTGGCTTTCCCAGGCACAGAGGCCCCAGAATCGCAGGTAGGCGTGAGTTCCAGGCTGCACGTCGACGTATCTGGGCAGGTGAAGCGTTACTCGGGTGACGTTGCCAGGCATGTCTTCGCAGAAAGCGTCAGTCCATCCCTTGGCGGACCAATTGACGTAGACGATCCGGATCATGCGAGCGAGGCGGTCAGCGAACCAAAGGGCCATGATGGCCATGATCCAGGGGAGCTGGGGAAGGCCGCCAGGGAGTTCAGACGAGGCGCAGTGAGCCCAAGTGGCGATAAAGGCCACAAAAGCCAAGACGATGTGGACGTTGAGAAAGGTCTCGTAGAAGGCGTGTCGCAGAGGTGAGAGCGAGAGAATCATTAGGAGGGTCATAGCCACCGTTCCGACTGCTCCTGATCCCACAAAGAGGTTGGTGGCGATGGAATGCCAAACGCCCTCCCAGCCAATATCGTCAACAGCAACAATAGCCCAGGCGATGGTGTGGATGATGGCCTCGAGGACGACAATGCGACCCATCCATCGATGAAGCAGGTTGTAAGTATCAAAGCTGATCTTGAGAATGGCGATGAGGGGATTGTTTCGTCCGGCAAAGATGATAAGGGGCACCATGTTGACCAGAGACAGAGTGCCAGAGCGGCCTCGAAGTTCAGCGCAGAGAGCCATCTTGTTCTGGTTGGCCCAGTCGAGGACAAACATGTAGGCAGTATTGCTACCGAGGTAGATGAAGAGGATGACAAAGTGAAGTCGTGAGGGGAGTGTACCCATGCTGATGGCGGAAGAGAGCCTCATTTCTCTATTGTGACGCTTCTTCCACAACGGCGCATAGATGATGTGCTTCTTGATATCGGGCATCCAGCTCCACTGCGATGTTCTCCAGTAGCCCTGCTTGTTGCCGGCCACGTTGAGCGTCGACACCTGGCGGAGCTTTGCCCAGAGGATCTCAAAGATGCGGATGCCGAGAACGATGAGGGCCATGATGCCCAGTGTCCACCAGAGCACATCCTTGAAGAGCAGATTCATAGGTTGATTGACGCCATCGAGACTCGAGTGGTAGTTGGGTGTATAAGAAGCCTGCTCGGGGTCGGCGTGGGCCGCCTCGGCACGGCTATGCAAGGTCGAGGTAGCCATGAAGGAGTTGGCACTAGCGATCCGGCGCCGGTAGAAATCCATCTTGTTTGGTTGGTAGGTAGTAGTAGTAGAAGCTCCTTTAGGAGCAAAGAGCGAAAAAATGAGTGGTATCTGTCTTGTTTTATCGGGAAATGTCGAAGAGATGAGAGAGTGAATGGACGCTGTTCGCGGTGGGAAGAGGATTTGTCCCAGAACAAGAAGAAAAGAGACGACGGTGATTGAAAGAGAGTAGATGTTGCGCTTTTTCCTCCTTGAGTGATTTGTATGTTCAGAATTTGTCAGAACATGATCGTGAGTAGTCAGTTCGTTTGTCGTGGTCGTTAAAAAGTAATGAAAAAAAATCAGGGTTTGCTTGTTGATGATGAGCGCGGTGCTCAGGTCAGCGGTGTAGTCGTGGTAGTTTGGGTGAATCAAGGCTGTGTTCAACACAACAATGGGTGACACGGCGCACAAAGGCGATGACGGAGAAGAATGGGAAGGTCCAAGAGAACAATGAATGAACAAGTTGTCTGCAATCCGGGCAGAACAAAGGGTGAGTTGGAATCGAATCACGAGTGGTGCTCAATGACGCCCCGTTCACCTCGTCCACGAGGTGCTCGTGCTCAGATGCAGGTGGGGATGAAGCCAGGACTCGCTGGCGATCTCCCAACTTGGCGGATCTGCAAAAGAGGGGGAGAGAGAGAGAGAAGCGATTGACCGAATGTCGTGAAGAAAAAGCGAATGCAAAGTTGAAAAGGGCAGGGCAGGCGGCAGACGATCGACGTTTGGCGCGTGCGGTGCTATGCTGTGCGAGGGAGGAATTGAGAGGCGCTTGTCGCAGCACAACGCAGACGAGAAAGGATGAGATCGGCAAAAACAAGGACGGCAGAGACCTATGTTTTGAATGATTTCAGAGGATGAAAAAAATGTTCCGTCCAAGACCCAGAAACCGGGCACCGAGAAACAAAGCGGCTGTGGCGGGCAGCTGGTGAGCAGTTGTCGTCGTCGTCGTCGATGGAAAGCCGGAAGCAGACAGAAATGGAACCAGCCTCACACGAGAATGGATTGTCTATAAGAGGACAATGGACCGATGAAATGAAGGGGGGGAGAGAATAAAACCACCGTGAACAGCGCAAAAGCACACGAAGAGAGGAATGAAGGTATGACGCCTCCCAACTTGCACCTTGTTGTGTCGAGGGCGGCGGCCACAGCGATAATATGTAAACGGGCCCCAGCCCAAAGCCAGAAGAAACGGACCGCTAGCGCTGGATGAAGGATTTACTGCGGTCGCCTGCTAGCCTGGCCCCAGCGGGGAGATGCTCACGTCCGTTCCCCTGGGGCCCTGTCGCCTCCCCAGGGGGTGTCTATCTCCCACCCCTTGCAGGTTCTTCAAGATGCGAGTCAAGCTCGTGACTGGTTGGTTCATCCGTCTTCTTGGAGGGTGTGATTGTGTGTTCTAGCCTACCTGGCCAAGGCTCTCTTGGGGAATGGAACCAACGGTCTAAGATATCCAATATTTCTTGCCTGACCACGTTTTTCTCTCTCGTAGTGGTGCTCGTGGGCGTCTTACACGAGAGCTGGAAGGACTCAAGGCGCAACGAACCAGCAACCGTTTAAGCGCTGGCGTCCTCCTTTGACAGCGCCTCCAATAAATCTCAGATAACCTTAGCAAAGCCATCGTCCTGCGCACGCTACGGCTGGGGCGCTCACAGCAACGGCTGGGCTGGCCACGCAGCGGTCTGGCCTATGGCACGTCAGATCTGCCAAGAATATCCCCGGTTCTCGGCCGCGAGCGAAGGCGGGATCGCCAATCAATCCAGTGGCTGCCGGCGGTGCAACCCCCCAAGCCTCTGAAACGGGCCTGGCTCAGGGGTGCTCTCCCCTTTGGTACCGCGCTCTTCAGGGGTCCGTCGCTGTCACTGGTTGGCTCTGGGAGCGCCAAGACGACGCCGGTCCCTGTTCGTGTCGGCGCCTGCTGGCCACTCAATGCTCCGCACGCCGGCCGCGAGTGAGACAGGACGTTCAACCTCGCGGAGGCATCCAGTCGAGAATGCTCGTGACGCTATCGTCGCCCCCTCTCTTGTTTCTGTTTCTTGTATGTTCTGTTTGATGTTTGGTCAGTCCCTTCTCGGCTCCGGCTCTCAATGGCTTTGTTTCCTGACGCAACGCCGTCGCATGCGGACACTTTATGGCCTGACTGAAACATTCTACGGCGAACACGGCAAACTTGGAGGGCCAGATCCGTCATTCATGCCATGAATCATGGGAATCAACTCAAGCACCGCCGCTCGCAATCCACCTGCCATTTTTTCGACAGAACAGAACCCCTCCGTCAGCTTCCGATCCGTGCCCCTTGTCAAGATTGTCGACTCCGACTCAGGCCAGGGCCTAGATAGCCCGCCCTGCAAAAGTCATCACCGCCAAGCGTGGGAGGCCGACCCGCTGACAATTGAAATCCTCGTCTTGTGGTTGATGGAATCTAGATTCGACGACAGTTATCTAAGTCGGAAATATGCTCGCCGCCTCAGGTGGGCTGACGGCCTGCGAGCCTCTGCATCCTTCACTGCCAAAGCGGGATTCACAAGCAGGGACAAGCCTCTAGCACGTCGCAGGTTAGATGAACAAGTGCCAGATGCCCTCGCTTCCGCAGCCCTGGGATCTCTTGGTTCCGTCCCATGTCAGAAAAGGGAAAGAAGAAAAGAAGAAAGGATGACGGCGGCCCGTCATCCGGGTCCTGAACCTGATGCTTGCATGCAATCCCGTCCAGCCACGCGGTGAACCATGAGACATGACGAAGCCGTCCTTGTTCCGTCCCGTCTTTGGACGTTGGGGAGCATTGGTCTTGATGCTTCGGTTTCGACTCACCTCGGCCCATTTCTACCCCAGAATTGATGTACGTCGGAGCCTGCCGGCATCTTTTTACCGCGCCAGGGAATGGAATGCCGATTGTGGCATGTTGTCATCTGTGTTGGTCAACAGCACGGACTGAATCTCGAATGATCCCAGTATTGGGTTGATGACCATGAGCCACACAGACCCAAGCTGATTGTCCAGGGTAGCCGCCGGCGCCTATGCAGCCAGTCGTGGAAATCGGGCTGAATGTTCTACATATGCGGGATGAACGTGTTGATCCATCAATGATATCACTTGCTTCTATCTCTGTATGAATGGGTGTTGGCAACTGGGTACCTATTGGAGGCTTTGTTGGTGCCGTTACCCGGTAGGCGGTTTACTTTATCTCGAGAAACTTCAATGACGTGGGCTTGAATGAGATAACATCAAGCGCCGACAATGATAATTCTGCCATGCATGCCTGGCGCACAATAAGAGAATGGCGGTTAAGAAATAGACAGCATGCAATTTTAATTACCATGACATGTCCCGGGTATTTGTGAATTGGCCGCTTCTTTGCCTTACACTGGATATTGACACAAGAGTCAAACAATTAACTAAGTAACTGCATACATTAGGTAGTGTCACAAAAGGCTACATGGGCAAAACGTGATGTCAGTTACTGCAACAAAAAAAACTCCGGAGATACCATTATATTGCTTTGCAATGGCTAAAGCCGACATTCAATGACCGAAACGGCATATCAGGCTGGTCATTCAACTGTAACATCTACTTCGGTGAAGTTTCGGTGTGCGGTGAGGCGCCACACCAAAACGCCACAACCTGCGCCACTCGGCCAGACGGCCAGGAACATTGAAACCTGAGGCACTCACTGATCGCTGCTCCGTGACGCTCCCGAACAACGCCGGAAATTTCCAGGAAGGCTATCACGAGCCGGCATTGAACATCGGTTGCACGGCCATTGCCCTCGACACAATGGGTTCCAGCGAGTCGAAACCTATCTCCGCACACGTGTGGAAGGCGTACGTCCCCCTCAATGCCCCAGAACCGACCTGATCATGCTCAATCGATGACTGACTGCTTTCCAATAAACAGCTCAGCGCCCAGCAGCCTCTCACAAGACCTCGTCGACTCGCTACAGTCCAGTAACGAGGTACATTACCCCCCATCCGAACCGCAGACCGAAACAAGATTTTAATCTCTTCGATTGAAACTAACAAACGTCTCCCCCACCAGACTGATGCCTCCCGCACCAAGATCTACGAGCTCCAGATCCAGGCCCGCGTGGCCGAGGAGCTCAAGAAGCTTCAACAGCAAGAGGCCGAGGCCCTCAAGATCGCACACGAGAAGCTAAACAGCGCCGAGTACAAGGAGGATGGAAGCCTGAGCCAGAAAACCGTCAACAAGGAGATCGAGGCGATGCGGAAGAAGCTCGAGGAGCGCAAGCAGGTGCGGCCTCTGCCCGAGGCCGTCGAGGGCGCGCGCAACGAGGTCATCCGATGCCTGCGGGAGCACGACCGGCGGCCGCTCGACTGCTGGCAAGAGGTGGAGAGCTTCAAGGCCGAGGTCAAGAAACTGGAGAAGTCTTGGGTCGAGAAGGTTGTGTCGTAAGAGGTGGGGATGAGATAGAGGGGGAAAATGGATTCATCGGTATAGAGATATGGTGATGATGAGCCTTGGAAAGGTACGCACGTGTACATTATGACATTGGCGGCGATAAAGGCTGCGTTGAGGAATACAAAATGTACAGCAATTCATAACCCGATGAGCAGCCCTGTCTGCTCCTGACCCTCAACCCCAACAGGTATATCATCTTCCACTGAACCGTCTGCTTCACGCTTCTTCTGTAGCTCAGCCTTCCGTCGGAGGCCTTCAGCACGCTTCCTCTCTCGTCTCGCCGCTGCATCCTCCCACTCCTCTCCCTCTGGATTCCGACGCGGGGCCGGGGTAGACACAGCCTCCCGGAAGGCATCCTGGAACCTTCCAATGCGTTTCGTATTCTCAGCGAAGCGCTCATTGGCAATGCTAATGAGTGTTCTGAGATACTCGGGTGATACCAGACGCAAATGGTGACCATCAACCTGGTGGCCGATGAGAGACTCAAAGGCGAGACCCATTGTGCGAATGGCTACCATGGGAGTAGCAGCATCTTTGCCGCTTGGGATGATGTTGAGAGCACCAGACTCGCGGAACCCAGCCTGAAAGGCACACTTGAGGAGGAGCTGGGCATGTTCTGGTGATGCCGTGAGGACGTGGAGGATCTACGTGATATCTCAGCATGTGTTCTTGTATATTCTAACATGCTGCGACTGCTTACCATGGCCTCGAATTTGAAATGAATCAGTCTCCTTTCTTTGACTGTGCCAGTCACATGCTGAACTGCATCTGAGTCCTCAAGCCCCAGTGTACTGCTCCAGTCCTTGTCCTCATCCCCATCGTCAGGCACCGGATCATGAGAGACAAATAACCATGTTCCTCCTGCACCCTTTCCACCAACACCCGCTACCTGTCCATCCTCTCCATCGGTCTCGGCAACCCTTCGGCCCTCAAGAAAGACACTGACTCGTCCCGCGCAGCTGCTTGTCGTCACAAACCCTGTCGATTGGTTGATCTCGTCGATGAGGTCCCGGATCCCCTCATCTACAGAGCCTTTTGGTGAAGCATCCGTGTACTCAGTGTTCGGAACAGAGAGTTGCTCGAGGATCTTTTTCTTCCTGTCGAGAAAAACAGGCGGACAAGAGTCGAGGCTCTGCATTTTGGAGAAAGGTTTTTTTTGTTAGTGCGGACGCAAGGCTGTGATTTGGGGGTGTCACGATGGACGATAATAGAGGGGCAAGGGTGCAGAGGCCTGTTAATGGAATATCAGTTCGGAGTGCTGGTGTGGTGATGGCTTGTTAGGGCGGCAACGAGTGCTCCTCATTGACGCGGGGTATTGGTCAAGTGCCTGCGGCTCCAGCCGACCTCGTGATCACCGCTCACTTATCGCATTCAACTTCATACCTCACGGCCTTGGTCACGACGTCGTTGATATTCACGCCCTCGAAGAGTTTGGTTGGTATCTTTCTTATTGAGTTCTATCTAGGAACTGAAGCAGCTTCTATCTGCCCGGTTTCTTGCGCGCTATTCCCTGCCCTTTCCTCAGGCTCCCTGCTATTTACCCAACGCCATCCCATGAATCCAGATACCATGAGCTTCTTTTACCGCCCGGTTCTGGCTGTTTCATCGACAAATTTTAACCCCAAACGCCTGATGCAATGCTTCAATCATTAAATCGTCAAAGATGTGCCCCTTGTGCGAGTGCACCTCATACGGCGGGAAGGGCCACCTGCTCGAGGGCCGCGGCCAGCTTCTCCTCCTGCTGCTTTTGCTCCATCTGGGCGAGGAACTCGGCGTACCTCGACTTCTTGTTGTGGATGCCGCACTCGGTCTTGGCCTGGCCCTTCCAGCGACCGGCTCGCTCGTCCTCGCCATCCTTGACGGGGACGGTCGAGTGCCAGTCGCCGACGGACTTGTAGCCCTGGTCGAGGAGGGCGTTGTAGGGGACATTGTGCTCCTTGATGTAGTCGTTGACTTGCTTGAATGACCAAGTGGCCAGGGGGTTGATCTTGACGACGGCACGCTCATCATCGTACTCGATGATGGGGATGGAGCCACGGGCGGCACCCTGAGATCGTCGACGGCCGTTGAGCACGGCAGCGACCTTGAGCTCCTCATAGGCTCGCTGGAGGGGCTCAACCTTGACGATCCAGTCATACATCTCAGAGGCGGTGTTCCACATCTCCTTGCCGTACATGTCCTCAAACTCCTCGGCAGTGTTGACACCGTCAGGCTTGAAGATGTGCACGGGGACATTGGGGTATCGGGCCTTGACCCGGTTGACTAGGTCGTGTGTCTCCTGAAAGTGATACAAGGTATCCAGGAAGATGAGGTCGACAGTGGGGGAGTTGGGGTGCTCCTTTTGAATCTTGGACAGCATGTCCATGGTGACGAGGCCGGTCAGGCCGAAGGCGGTCGACTGATACAGGTTGGGGAACATGACCTTGCAGAATCGGAGGATGTCCATGGGGTGCATGGTCTCGAGCATGTTGTTGAGGTGTTCGATGTGGGCCTTGGTGAGAGAGATCTGAGGGAGGATGGTTGATGATGAGGGCGATGAGTATTCCGAGTTCTGTCCAGAGACATAGCCTGACTCGCACTCGAGCTTGATGTCCTGAAAGGACGACTGCGAGGAGGACTGAGAGATGAAGGCGGGCATGTTGGCGATGGATGAAGTATGGTACGAGGAGGGAGGTTGTTGTCTGAGGGGTTTCGGGAGCTGGGACAGTCGACGAGAGAACCCCGGGGTTATATTCAACGGTGAGTTAAGGCGGATGCTTGGAGAAGCTCTGACACAACTGATGACGCAAATATTGTGCTGACTGGATACAGGACAAGGCTCGGAAGCACGTTGTAGGAGGCAAGACGGGGAAGATGACGAACACAACGATGAAGAGAGGGCAGTCAATTTCTTTAAGAGAGGGAGAGGCCTGTTGTGGTGGTCAAGGGGGGCTTTACATGCTCTGTCCGGGCGACCGCCCGCAGGCCCCCGGCCACAGGCAGCCTTAGTAATTCGGAATTGCAGCATTCGAGCCAACCGAACCCGAAAGCCACCAGTCTACGGTGCCTGTGATGCGCTCTGGGCGAGGAAAAAAGATGGGGAGCATCAATTGCGCCATCGCCGCCATGAGGATTGTCGTCTCCAGGCTGCGACTGGAACTGATCACGACATCGACGCTATGCCTTTCGCGATGGTGGGTGCCATGGCGGTAACGCAGGCTGATTGGCTTGTCGACCGGAGCCCTGAACTGGCGGCTGGTCGATGGGACCTGTTTTGCCTCACCATCGGCAGCGACAGCAATGCGTGGGAGCCGCCGAGCCGGAGGTAGCGAGTACTTCCGGGCCTATTCTTGACTGAAACCACGTCCGCGACTGCACGGCGCCGCCGGAAGAGACTTTTTTTTTTCTTTTTTGCACCTTGCCAATGGAGCCGGAGAGCATGGGGGCTCCTGGTTGAGAAGCCGAGATTGGGCTGATTTACATTTGGATATGATCTCATTGATACGGCTTTGTTGTTGTCGTGTTGTTCAAGATCTGGGGGTGAGGCGACAGATGCTTGGAGCCGGGGTCTTGATCTATCAAAAGCCAAATTGAGCACGAGGGCAGTTTCCCCGCGATCATGTCATTCGAGGCGTGGGTTGCGAAATCGCTCCCTCGGAGAAGAGTTCCTTTCTGATGTCGAATCTTTGTGTCGCAAGACTGAGCCATCGTGTCGCCACGGCCCTGATCGACCAAGACGCCTTTAACCTTGGTATGCGGGCTCCCACGCTTTCTCCCACGCTTTCTCCCACGCTCTAGACCGGTACGGTGAAAAAAAAAACCTCTAATTGAATTTTGTCGTCTCAATGATGACAATGGTATGAGCCTGCGGCCTATCATTGCGGTCCCTCGGAGTGCCGTTTGTCGGAGCGGCAATCGCTGCTGTCCCTGGCGGACCGTCGGCGCCGAGGAACCGCGAGTGCCGGAAGTGCCCCCCTGCCCCAGCAAAGGTAATTGCGTGCGGGCCTCTCCGGCTTTTGGCGCTTGGATGATTTGACGGATTTCGTGGGGATGCCAGGCAAGGATAAAAGTTGGTCCGAAGCTTCGCCTGCTCAACTTTCCTTTCTCGTCTCGTCTGACGCATGCCCCACTCTAAGCGACGGACAAGTCCCGAGAAAGTGCCGCCTCTGCTGACATATTCACCAGCTTATTCACCATGAAGCGAAAACAGGCGAGAATCTGTTGGAAGACAACGTCATCTTCGTCTTATTCATGGTTCTTTAATAAGCTATGATTTCTAACAGGTCTTTTCATTGCGTCTCTTGAGGCTGTGATGATTGAGGATGGTACGGGCTGATGAACTGACATTTCGACATACTCGACATGCACACTCCGATGGGTGTAGATCGTGGCTACGAACATTTACGAGCTTAACCCGCGGACTATATGCTGATGGGAATTCGAGAATATCGAAATCATTCACCGCCAATCAGAATACTAAATGACAGAACCAAACACTTCCCTATCTGTGTAATTAGGTTCAACATGAACCAACCCCGTTTAGTTGGTCAACTGCAACTCGATCACGTGACACAATGACAACACAGTTTCTGACATCACGGCGGGTTGGAATGATTGCTTATTCGCACCAATCATAATCCAAAATCCTTTGACAGCAGCCGCACGAGCCGCACCTACAGTACCAGTCTAGTGGTCCAAGAAAAAAATAGCACACTTCGCAAGCACCTACTCCGCTGAATCATAGCATAAAGGCTTACAATGATAAATCTAAAAAATTATATAAACTTTAGAATATAATTTATATAATTTATATTTTTATTTATTTATTTTAATCCAAGTTTTATCTGGGTATATAGTCTGGTAGAGGTCTCATTGCCTACGTGTAGTGTGTGCCATTTATTTCTTGGTCCGGGTGCCAGTCTAAGCAAAACCCGCGCCGCACGAGCCATCGGACAGCAACGGCAACGGAACAGGCCGCGACAAGATCGCTCTACCAAGCAACCCAACCACTGACTGAACCTCTGGAGGTTTGACTCGATCTTTGGGTTCGTTGCCACGTCTATCGTGCTTCTGGCTGCTCCTAGCCCTCGTCAGCTGTCGTGACCCCTCCAAAATACAATCCCCGACCTATTCCGCCCATTCGACAAGGGTAAGCCGCAGAAATCTTCACGACCCCCGCGCAGCAGCACAATGGCAGACCAAGCGAGCCCCGCCAAACAGAATGCCGCACGGCCTCAGTTGACGAGCTCGATGAGGAGCAGCTCGTATCTCAGTGACCACCAGCAATATCGTCCTCCTAGACAGGAGCAGTCTCGACAGGATCAGTTCCACGGCATTGACACTGTTGTGGAAGACTCGGGCATCTCTGTTCATGCTCCTGTCCATCACACCAAGCCAATCCTCCCCTTCAATGGCGTTCCGTCTGATGAGAACCCTCCGACTGTGGTTGAGAGCGGCCTGAGCCATTCCTACTCACACCCCAATTGCGCTCCTCGAGCTGGTCAGAGGTCGGATCGTCTCATTGCGACCCTCTTCTACAAGCCGAGGGAGGACCAGGCCTCACGATCACCTGTCAAGACCACTTTCGCAGACAGCAGTGAGGCTCTGCCTGCCAACCTGGCGCCCACCAACGACCCCAAGGAGTATCCCCTTGAGCCTCCCACTCAGGAATCCGAGCAGCTGGATCACATCTACGGCTCCTACATCTCGCCGCTATGCATCACCTCATTCCTCCATCTCATGTCTTCCTTCCCCCTTCCTCGAGATGCTGAAGAGCCTTACTCTTCTCACCGATGTCTCGACAACCAGGAACAACCGCGCATTGTTGAGCTGACGCTCTCTCCTGCACCGGCTCCTGAGTACCTTGGGCTCGATGACTTGAGGAAGCATGAGATGATTTATAGGTTCGAGCAAGAGTGGAACGTGGATGTGGTTCTTCAGCGTGATACCGTTTGGAGGCGTCACCCGCGCCTGGTCGTCTTCGACATGGACAGCACTCTCATCACTCAGGAGGTTATTGATCTCCTGGCTGATCACGTCAAGGATCCCCCAGATCTGCCTGCTCGAGTTGCTGAGATTACGCATCGTGCCATGATGGGCGAGCTTGAGTTTGAGGGCTCTTTCCGTGAGCGAGTTGCTCTGCTCAAGGGTCTTCCTGCTACCCTTTTCGAGGACCTGCGGCCGGTGTTGGACGTTACCAAGGGTGTTCCCGAACTGATCAAGGCCTTGAAGCGACTTGGTGTCAAGACGGCAGTTCTCTCTGGTGGCTTCCAGCCCCTGACTGGCTGGCTGGCTGGACAGTTGGGCATTGACTATGCGCACGCAAACCATGTGGTCATTGAAAATGAGAAGCTGACGGGCGAGGTGAAGGGTATCATCGTGGGCAAAGAGCGAAAGAGGGATCTCCTTCTGGAGATTGCCGCCAAGGAGGGCATCGACCTGTCTCAGGTTATCGCTGTCGGCGACGGTGCTAATGACCTGCTGATGATGGAGAAGGCTGGACTGGGAGTTGCCTGGAACGCGAAGCCGCGAGTACAGATGGAGGCGAATGCTCGCCTGAACGGTGAGAGTCTGCTGGATCTCCTACACATTCTTGGTTTTACCTCTGAAGAGATTGGGGATTTGGTTGCGTGAGCGGTTGGAGTTGGGTAAAGAGAGTTGTCGCAAGATGTGAGAGGCTGGAGTTTTGGGTATGTGAAAACAGGCTGTTGCTGTGTTGGGCGGGTAGATACCAGATAACAAAGAAAAAGGAAACATTTGGTGATTTTGTCTCTTTACAAGCTGGAAGACGTAGTACTTGTCGTGCTAGTTGAGTATGGCTTCAAGCGATATCAGCCGTTCGTCCGGTTGGGAGTGACCTGGAACTTGAACGGCCTAACCTGACAGTCACAATAGAGCAATTGACAACGAAACAAGCCGTAGTTACAGACACAAAGCTAGAAAATATTGTGGCGCATCGTGTGTGAACTATGGGTGGTTGCAAAACTCGAGCCCATCGCGTCCTTCGTCTTTCTTCTACACAGGGCTAGAGGATTGAACCAACTCGCTCTCCCCTCCGACTTCCCTACAGATACATGCTCGCGCGTGACAGCTTCCAAAAATCCCTTTCCCGGCTATTGATCGATCGCTTTAAGGGTAGCCGTCCTTGCCCCACTTGTTGTACTTGTCGTGAAGCTCGGCGGGGAGGGTGACGTTGGGGACGACGACGACGTTGAGGGCGCTGGGGGCGTCCTTGGGCTCCTGGCTGGGGTCACCACCGGGGTGGTACTTGTACTTGCCAGAGGAGCCGCTCTCCCAGGGGTGGCCGTCCTTGGCGATGTTGACGGGAGACTCGGAGGTGGCGCCAGTGGGAGATCGGCCTGATGTTGGAGATGTGGTCAGCAATTGCTTCGATGACGGCAGTCCAATGGGTGTTTACGCACCAAAGTAGAAGCCAGCGCCGCCGAGGGCAGCGACCATGACACCGCCGAGGATCTATAGCCGGTCAGCAATTGTCCAATTCCTCATGGTCGTGCGGATCTCTAAGCCGGTGCACTGTCGGGTCCGGCCGAGGCATTATGACGCACCAGAAGCTCGGGGTTTTGACGGGTCTCCTTCTTGAGCTCAGCCTTCTGGTGAGCCTCCTGGAACCGGCGGGAGGCGGTGGTGAAGAAACGGCGGGCGACGACGCGGGAGGCCATTGTGACGATGGGCTTTTGTGACTTGGATGGGAGAATGGGGAATCTTCGTCGGGGAAACTTGGGTTATGTTGAAGCTTTGAAGTTCTCGTATGATTTCGGGAGCCCGTCGCCTGCTAGTTTGCGAGGCACGCTATTGGCCAATGCCGGGGAACAGAGGGGGTCACGTGTGGCATCACGTTTGGAGCCGAGATGACGTCTTGGTGGTCGAGTTCCACCAGGATGTACAGGCGATCAAGAGCCAGTCATAAATGGAGGGGACTTGTGTCACCATGTTTTGTACAAAGGCTGCAGGACTATTAATGTCCTGTTCTTAGCGTGCAGGCCGTCGAGGAACCAGGCACAACAAGATTCAGCGCTTTGTACCTGGCGGGCGATTCGCTCATCGTGATGCGACGGCGCGCAGTGCCATTCTCGCCTTGGAAACTTTACGGACCAGAGGGGAATGCTGTCATAAACTCTTGGGTTGCCCATTCAACGTAATAGACTTGATCACGCCGAGGTTACAAGCAAAGCAACTTGGACAGGCTGTCAAACGTCAGCTCAACGGGTTGCTGCAGAAGGTTACCGTTCCCAGTCGAGGTGACGTCTGCGGACATGTACATGATGTCCAAGACACTCGAGGGTCTCAACACTCTCGCTTTCAGAGAAAAGAAGATTAATCACTGCAATGCTTGCAGAAATTATTCACTGGCATCTCTCGTTTTGCATTGCAAAGGACGCCGCTAGCAGGGACTCTTCTAGCTAGCCCCTTACCAGGGGGATCGAGAGCAGCGCAGCACAACTTACATAAGGCTCTCGTGTGCAAGGTTTCTCTTGGAAGTTAACTAGGCCCATGCCCATGCCCAAGCCCAAGTCGGCACGAAAAAAGGAACGAGCATACAAACCATTTGACTCCTCTTCCTCCTCATCGCCGAGTCCTTTCTTTTCTTACCCGCCCCTTCCGTTCCCTTCCATTTCTACATACGATTCTTCTCTTCTTCTACGCGCTCTCTCTAATATCGACCGCCCCGTCTTGCGACCCATTCTCATTCCCTCCCTCTCGAGTCCGTCGTCCCTAATTTCCTACGATTCCAAACACGCCTCCTCGACACCCCTGTCTATCCCTTTAGTTGCTTGACTACCGCGAGACACGAGCCACCTGCCGGTCCTGCCGACTCTCACATTCAACCACCTGCCAGCCTCCCGACGATTCACCACTGTTCTGCCCAGACGGCCCCGAAAACGTGGCGCTTGATGCGATCTTGAACGCGAAAGTCGACGCGCGACCGTTCCTTTGACTTGATCGAGAATCCATCAACTAGCACCCGAAGAACGACCCGCAAACGACACCATTACAAACCAACACTATGGCATCGAAGCCTGATGACGATGGCTTCCCTGCGCCTCATATCCCCCGTTCCGAGGTCCCCGGACCGCCGAGTATCATCTCCTCTCGAATGACGGATATTGCAAGTGATGATGGGGGCGACTCAGAAGCGCATCGGCAGAGGATGAGTCTGCCGCGGAGCGCGGATGTGGCCTCGAGACCTGGAACAGCCCGGACTGGAGCATCATCAAGGGGAGCATGGGCAGGCCAACTAGGAGGGAGGAAGACATACGTTTCCGGGGTTCAGGCCAAGAGGGGGAGCATTGCGAGTTCGACTGCAGGATCTACAAGTCAAGCCCCAAGCTTGTCGACTCGAAGCCATGTCCCTTCACTCACGTCGCATGCTTTTTTCCGACCCATGAGCTCGCAGAAACTACAGGCGCAGAGAGGAGGATCACACCGCCCACCAACCATGAGCCAGCAGACACCAGGCTCCCCAACTTCACCGACATCACCGACATCGCCAGTCCTGGATGACCACGGCGTCGAAGCAGGCGGCAGCCAAGCCAGACAAAGCATTATTTCGAACCCGATTGCTCAGCTGCAGCGCGCAACAAGCGACGACGAGAACATGCGACCCCCGCCATCTCGTGGCACCGAAATGACGGAACAGGAAACCCTGGACCGGATTACGGCAAACACAAGTCCAAGCCATGGCCACTACCCAGCCGGAAGTCTGACGGATAGTGTCCGTCCTCTTCAAGGCAAACATTCCGCAGACCAAGGCCATTTTCAACACAGCATTGTCATCGACAAGAGCTACAAGGACCTATCAAACCTTCCGAGCCCTATCAAGTCTCCCCGATCGTTTCGCTCTAGTTTTCTCATGCCTGGTCGAAGCGAGCAAGGGCAACAAGGCCAGAACCGCAGCACCGAAGGAGCCGAGAAGCTATCGTCCTCTGCATCATCACCGCAGCTCCGACCTGTGGATTCCCAAGGACCACGCCATCCACGGGTGCCTTCTAAGCCTAGTCAGAAATCCGACCTCGGCCGGGTTCACCAGTATTTCGAGGGTAACACAGTATTCTGCTTGGGTGGGCGGTGGCAGAACACGAAGGAACGCCCGGTCAATATTGCGACAGGCTTCTTTGTCGTAATTCCCTGCGCCCTGTTCTTTGGGTTTGAGGCACCGTGGCTGTGGAAGAATATTTCGCCCGCCATTCCAATCATCTTCGCTTATCTGGCCTATATTTGTTTCTCCTCCTTTATTCATGCGTCTGTCTCGGACCCAGGGGTAAGTACCTAGCGAATCAGATTCATGTTGGAAGTTCGGCGGCTAACATTGGATAGATTCTTCCACGAAACCTTCACCAATTTCCGCCTGTTGATGACAATGATGACCCCCTCCAGCTCAGCCCCCCTACAACAGACTGGGCGTTGATCAAGTCAGCTGAATCAGCGACTGCTGCAATGGAAGTTCCGGTTAAGCACTGTCGGACGTGTAACATTTGGCGACCTCCGCGAGCTCATCATTGTCGCCTGTGCGACAACTGCGTCGAGACTCATGACCACCACTGCGTATGGCTCAACAACTGCGTCGGAAAACGCAACTATCGATATTTCTTCACCTTTGTCTCATCAGCCACCATTCTCTCAGCCTACCTCATCGGCACCAGCCTCGCCCAGATCCTCATCTACAAGAATAGAGAGGGAATCTCTTTTGGCAAGGCGATTGACCACTTCCGAGTTCCTTTTGCGCTGGTCTTTCTTGGATTCATCTGTTTTCTATACCCAGCCGCCTTGATGGGATACCACATCTTCTTGATGGCCCGAGGCGAGACGACAAGAGAGTACATGAACTCTCACAAGTTTATCAAAAAGGAGCGATTCAGAGCGTTTTCACAGGCCAACATTATCAAGAACTTTATCGTTGTCTTGTGCCGGCCGCGGCAACCGACCTATTATAGGTTCAAGGCTCACTATCATGAGGGAGACCAGCGGCTTGGTATCCGCAAGGACAAGCGGCCGAGGTCGAGCTCGCAGGGACTGGAGATGCACAGCGTCAAGCCTGCATCACAAAGCTTTCAGGGTCCAGTTTCATTGAGGAATGAAAATAACAACCAATAACCACGGCGCTCATTACTGGGAAACTACTTCTTTTCCCACCCTCTCTCTTTACCCATTCTAGAAAGGCGGAGCTTCTGGGAAGTACTGATTTTTAATTTCGAAGCGGCGACGGATGACTTACTAATGTCTGCTTATACTATACCCTTTTGTCAAGTTGACCACATTCATGTATTCCCTTTTTGTTACAGGCTTCAGGAAAAGCCGGCTTAGCCAGCAAAGGCGGGCGTTTGATCAAGGGCCACGATGAGAGCCTTGGGATTTTGATGTATAAGTCAAGATTTAGATGCAGTAAAAAACGGCGAGCTTGACTCGCATTTGCACGCTATGATTTCCATGTTTGGCCGTTGAACTGCACGATGCAAGATCTAGAAATGACGAAGAGTCCAGTGGCAGACGATAGGAAATGCACGTGGAAATAACAGGGATCAGCAGAGGATGCATCCATGCATGAAAGGAAGAAGGGAAAAAGTCTTATCGGGCAACGATAAGAGAAGAAAAAAAATTTGTTTGGGCGCCGCCTTTTGGTGCTAGTGCGCAGGCATGTGGGAGGCGGGAGGCCAATACATGCCCAACCCATCTTTCCCTCGTAAGCATTAGATCTTTTCCTCCTCCACGTTCGCTTTCTCCTCAAGGGCCTCGTTGGTTTTTGTATTTTTTGCTCTCTCCTTGAAAGGCGATAGAGGGCGATTCTCGTTTCAATTACTGACTGAGGCCCCCTCTCCACTCTAAACAAAGAAAAAGCACAAAAAAAAAAACGGCCGCTCACGATGCCTCACCCCGTCTCGCCTCCGTCGCAGGAGCCGACGATGGTGTCCAAGGACGCCCCGCCCCCGCCATCCCAGGAAACCATCGCCGACTTTCTCAACACAATCTTCACGGCCAAGACGTCTGCCGCCTCGATCGATGCCTGCTACGCTCTCTGCGAGGTTCTGCTGTCTTCTGTCGGCGTCGTTGGCTTGACCCAGTATGGTATCCTTGCCGAGGTCAAGAAGGCCGCTGCCGATAAGAAGTCGGGTCTTCGTCGCGAGTCCAGCCAGAACCTCCTCGGTGCCATCTTCGAGCGTTTCCTTCCCCGTCAGAAGGTTAGCGAGGTTGTCCTGCTGCTCCAGGATGGCGGCATGGTCGGCTGTGCCCTCGATGCCCTTGCTGATAAGGGCGCCGTTGTCCGCGATGCTGCCCAGTACGGACTCGATACTCTCCTCGTCAACCTGAGCCCCGAGGCTCTCGTTGTCGGTCTTCTGCCCGCCCTGTCCAACTACCTGTCCAAGAAGACTGGTAAGTGGCAGGGAACCGTCGGCGCCTACAAGATCCTGCAGAAGATGGCCGACAAGGCCCAACTCGCCATTGGAAGCACCAAGGAGGAGGCTGCCGACAAGGACGTTCTGCGTGAAGCCATGGGTGCTAAGCTCGCTGGCTTGATCCCCATTGTTGAGGGTGGCATGCACGACTTGAAGGCCGATGTCGAGAAGCAGGCCGTCCACACCATGACCTCGCTCACCACCCTTCTCTCCAACGACGATGTCGCTCCTCGCTTCCCTCTGCTCATCGACACCATGCAGCACCCCTCCACCCAGACTCTCCAGAAGGCCATCCACGCCCTGTCCATGACCACCTTTGTCGCCATTGTCACCTCGCCCGTCCTGGCCCTCCTGACTCCTTTCCTCGAGCGATCCCTCAACAACCCCACCACCGCCCAGGAGGTTCTGCGCCAGACCGTTGTCATTGTCGAGAACTTGACCAAGCTCGTCCACGACCCGATCGAGGCTAGAACTTTCCTGCCTAAGCTGATTCCCGGTGTCAAGGGAGTTTGCGACCGTGCCTCCCTCCCCGAGGTTCGAGAGCTGGCTGAGCGTGCTCTCGCCACCATGGAGAAGGCTATGGGCAATGATAAGGACATTGTCGCCCGAACCTCTGGTGACGATGTTGCCAAGATCCTCGACGAACAGATCAAGCTCAACGGCGGCCTCGCTGGACAGCTTGACCTGTACAAGCAGGCTCGCCCTTATATCTCTGAGATGGTTGCCATTGATGTCAACTACCGCTTTGTTGACCGTATCTCGGCTAGAATTGCGCCTTATCTCAAGGGCTTCATGAAGAATCCTGAGGCTCACCAGAAGGTTGCCGATGCCATTCAGGAGCACTACGTCGAGGAAGACCACCGCCGGTACGGTGTTCCTGAGAAGGAGGACGATGGTGAGGTTGAGATTGTCAACGCCGACTTCTCTCTCGCTTACGGTGGTATGCTTCTTCTGTCGCACACCAACCTGCGTCTCCTGAAGGGTCACCGATATGGTCTCTGTGGACGAAACGGTGCTGGAAAGTCGACTCTCATGCGAAGCATTGCTAATGGCAAGCTTGAGGGTTTCCCTCCCCAGGACGTTCTCCGTACCTGCTACGTCGAGCACAACCAGGGCGAGGATGCTGATATCAGCATTCTCGAGTTCGTTGCCAAGGACCCTGAAATTGCTACTCAGGGCCGTGAGCGCATCTCTGAGGTTTTGGCCGAGTTTGGCTTCACTCCTGGTCCCGAGGGCCGACAGTCTGAGAAGGTCGGCTCCCTGTCTGGTGGTTGGAAGATGAAGCTGGCTCTGGCCCGAGCCATGCTTCAGCGTGCTGATGTCCTTCTCCTGGACGAACCTACCAACCATCTTGATGTTGCCAATATTGCATGGCTCGAGAACTACCTCAAGACCCATCCCGATATCACCTCTCTGATCGTGTCTCACGACTCTGGTTTCCTCGACAATGTTACCACTGATATCTACCACTACGAGCCCAACAAGAAGCTGGCCTGCTACAAGGGTAACCTGGCTGCCTTTGTTGAGATCCGCCCCGAGGCCAAGAGCTACTACACCCTGTCGGCCTCCAACGTCCAGTTCAAGTTCCCTCCTCCCGGTATCTTGACAGGTGTCAAGTCCATGACCCGTGCCATTATCCGCATGAGCAACGTCTCCTACACCTACCCCAAGGCCACAAAGCCATCCTTGCATGAGGTTTCTTGCCAGCTGACCCTGTCTTCCCGTGTTGCCATCATTGGCCCCAACGGAGCTGGCAAGTCGACTCTCATCAAGCTGCTTACCGGCGAGACCATTCCTACTACCGGAAAGGTCGAGAAGCACCCCAACTTGCGTATCGGCTACATCAAGCAGCACGCTCTGGAGCACGTTGAGATGCATCTCGAGAAGACTCCCAACCAGTACCTTCAGTGGCGTTACCAGCACGGTGACGACCGTGAGGTTCACATGAAGCAGACTCGTGTGCTCTCGGATGCGGATCGTGCCCAGATGGACAAGTTTGTCGACCTCAAGGACGGCAACCCGGCCCGACAGATCGAGGCTCTGGTTGGTCGTCAGAAGTACAAGAAGACCTTCCAATACGAAATGTAAGTTGACTTTCCCGGCTGCCAATATGTATGTACATTGCTAACATGCTACAGTAAATGGCGTAATCTTCTGCCCAAGCACAACAGCAAGATCTCTCGCGAGACTCTGACTGAGCTGGGCTTTGACAAGCTCGTCCAGGAGTTCGATGATCACGAGGCGTCTCGTGAGGGTCTCGGTTACCGTGAGCTCCAGCCCAAGGTCATCTCCAAGCACTTCGAGGATCTTGGTCTCGACCCTGAGATTGCAAACCACAACGAGATTGGCTCGCTGTCTGGTGGACAGAAGGTCAAGGTCGTCATCGCCGGTGCCATGTGGAACAACCCCCATCTTCTGGTGCTCGACGAGCCTACCAACTTCTTGGATCGTGACTCCCTTGGTGGTCTCGCCGTCGCCATCCGCGACTTCAAGGGTGGTGTCATTCTCATTTCTCACAACGAAGAGTTCGTCGGCGCCCTATGCTCGGAGCAGTGGCTCGTCCGTGACGGCCGTGTGGCTCAGAAGGGTAACGCCGCCATCAGCCTCGATCGCTTCGAGGACAGCCGACCTGGCAGCGCCGTTGCCAGCACTGTCGCCAGCACCGCCGCCAGCACCGCAGCCAACTCTGTCGTCAGCAGTGCCGTCAACAGTGGCATTGAAGACAACTCGGACATGAAGTTCAAGGCCAAGAAGAAGAAGAAGATGACCAAGAAGGAGCTCAAGGAGCGTGAGGTCCGTCGTCGTCTCCGTCACATCGACTGGCTCAACAGCCCCAAGGGCACTCCTCACCCTCCCGACACGGACGACGAGGACAACTAGAGTGTGAAAAAAAAAAAAAGGTGGCATTTGTTTGTTTGCTTTTTTCCTTGCTCGATTTGCGCATTGTTTTTCAGAAATCCATCTCTCGTGGATTTTGTTCATCATGTGCGGGACACTTGGGCTCTCTTTGTTCAAGTGAGCATGGCATGACAACCTAAAAAAGATTGCAATGATATCGTACACGCGCCATGTGGCAGACAGATAGACCAGACCTAGCTTGGGCTGAATGGGTTATAGAGGCGTTGGCTTGGGATAGACGGCTTTGAATCTTATCATCTATACTTTGACCATGGACTCTTGTTTCCGTGTACCTGCTTCCCCGTGATGTGATTGTCTCCTGGCTCTGCTCTGGGATGGGCCTTCTACCAAGCTGTCAAGATGGGTCAGATATGGAGGGGTGAGGTTTGTGTGTTGAAAGGCTCCCCTGAGCACTTCATGATTACTACTTGTCACCTTAGATCAACGCCACACGTCGCCAACATTCCTTGCATTTACCCTCGAACGTCTCTTTTTGATTTAGCCACTATTATACTCTAAGCTTAGGGCTTGGTAACAATGCAAACGAATGCGACTCTGGGTATGAACCTTCCATGCCTCTCCCATGCCATGCAACAATCAACATATAGGAATTCTCCTCGTCTAGACGCTCAAGACCCGAAAACCTGGCCAACACCAGAACCAATCTATGTATGCTGAAATCTCTTAGCTTGCACACAGTCCATAATGTCAACGCCAAAACAACCAATGAATATATGCATGAAAGATAGATCTGCCCAAATTGACAGCCAAATGAAAATAAAACAAGATTCTTTTCGCCACATAAAGGTGCATCACCACGAGAAGGTCATCAGGGCAGGGTTGAGGGCAAGGGGCAGCAGAAGATGACTTCCGGCCACAGTGACCATGGGCAAGATGGCGACAAAGTCGGTGATGCGCCAGTCATGGGGGATAAAGTCCGCAGTAGCAAGAATAATGACACCAATGATGGACAAGAGAGACAGAAGCATGGAAACACGGAACTAGATTCACAAGTTAGCTTGATCGTTGGTGATACTATCATGAGGGGGTAGACATACCTTCTTCAACACCTTGGGCACCTCAATGAAGAAGTTGGAAAACTCGGCTTCCTTGGAAGTGGAACCCCAACTCATGTCGATCTCAAACATGTGCGCCAAGAGAGCCTGGCTGACGTGCAGAGACAGGCCACCGAGGAATAGGGCCAGCATGAGAGTCCACTTGAAGTTCTCCCAGACAGCGTATCCCAGAGTACGCTCACCTGATCGGTACCGCATGATGGCAAGAGACAAGTTACCAAGACCGTTGAAGACGATGATGATGGAGAACCACACCTGCCATGAGTCGAGGTAGTACTTGTCGAGGTAACCGTTGTACCAGCCCATCAAGAAGTAGTTGGCTGTTGTCATGATCCAAGCAGCACCGATGGCATAGTAAGTACCAATGTACGAGATGATGGTAATCTTGGAGGTGAAGCGAATGTTGGAGAAGATGAAGCGGCGGAAGAGGGGAGTGAAAGGACCTAGCCACAACCAGGTACGGATGGGGTTGAAGAGAAGCTCGTTGCAGCCAAAGGCGTACTTTTCCCATCGAGCCAACTCATCGTACACAGTCAGGGACACACCCTCCTTGAAGCCATCACCAGCCCAGGCAGCGAGACGAATGATGTAGCCGTTACACTGGAGACGGAGGGACATGTCGAAATCTTCCGAGACGTGGCTCTCAGACCAGAACTTATCGTAACCATCCTCATCCTGGTAGGCAACCTGCTGAATGGCAGACCAGCGAAGGATAGCGTTGTGGCCGACAAAGGGAGCAACATCGCCGTTGGAAACCGTGTAACGAATAGCAGTGTAGATGAGATCAGTGAAGAAAGTGATGCCGTTCTCAAAGTAGGTGTGGACAACCTGCATGACACCGGAGGAGAACTGCATGATGCCGACATCAGGAGACTGCTCCATCTCGGAGACAGAGTCGAGGATACAATCCGTGGGAACACGCGTGTCTGAGTCGATCAGGAGAATGTAGTCACCAACGCGAATGTTGCCATCGGCCCAAGCGCGCCCGTTCTCCTCAAGGACCTCCTTGAGGGCCTGCTCGTAGGCGAGTGCCTCATCGCTCTGGCTCCAGTCGGCAGGACGCTTGATGAGTTGCAGACGCTCCTCAACCTTGCACGAGATCATCAGGCCAAAGTTCATGTTTGAAGCCTTCTTGAACTTGCCCTTGCGAACAAAGCCGTCTTCACCGTGCTTGGGACGTGCGACCCAGCCAATGCTGTTGTCGGCATAGAACTCGATGCGGGCATCGCGCTCCTCCTCGCTGATGAGCTGAAGACCATCATCGTTGATAAACATGTTGGCAGAACCACCCTGAAGCTCGTAGGTCGACATGGCCTGCTTGATGGACTTGACTGTGGGAAGAATGACCGCATTCAGACCCTCCTTGTAGACAGGGCACTGAATGGTGATGTGAGGCAGGACAGCGGATTGGAGTCTTCGGGGAGGACGGGCTGAGTAGAACTTGGAGTTGATGGTCAGTTGGCGGATGGGGCCAAAGATCTGTGCCAAACAACCAACAATGACCTGGGCAAAGAAGAGGGAGAAGAAGACCTGGATGGGAAAGAGAGCGACGAGTCCAAGACGCACGTAACTGCCGTCAATGGCAATCTCGATAGCGATCTGTCTCCAAGCCGCTCCCAGGGACGCCACAACGAGGAGGAGGGTGAGAGAGACAAGTACCGAGTTCTGCAGGTGAACTGGCCGCGCCTCAGGCTTGATCTCGCCACTCTCCTCGTCAATCTCGTACTCGACGTCTTCACCACCTTCACCTTCTTCTTCATCCATTGCTTGACCCGAGTTCCACACGAGCTCCATAAGCTCCGACTCGATAATCTTTGCGCGAGCCATCAGGTTCAAAGCATCATCGTCCCACACGACAAGCAAGCCATCCGAAGCAATGAAGGCAGCGAACTGATGCTTGCGTGCTCGAGGAAGATCATTAACCGTAGGCAGAATCTGGACACGAAGACCGTTCATCAGGGGCACATCAACTGCATCAGGAGACCATTGCAAAAAGGTCTTGATAACTCGAGAGTTGACTGTCATGGCGCACTATAATGTGTTAGCATATCTGATAAACCTCAAACCTAGACGTTCGTCATACCTGGACGTTGAGCGCGGTGCAGGCGACGGCGAAAGGCGATTGTCCCAGTTGTGGAGGGCAGGCCATATACTGGCCGCGAGACTTGCGCAACAGCACGCCTTCGATTTCGCCGGAGCCATCTCCAACCCAGAGCATAGAACACTGTTGTTGGTACAAGTAGTTCACCATGACCTCATGCTTAATATCATCAAGGAAGCCACTGGCACTAGACTTGCTGGAGACTGCTATTGAAGGAGGGCCTGCCACAAACTTGGGACCGGGAGGCTGAAGCTCCATCACCGCAGCGGGAGGAGCCTTCTCATCGTTGGGAGGGTGTAGAGAAATTGAGGGACGATGGCTGGGTCTCCTAGGAGGAGGATCGGCTGGCAATGGAGGTGCAGGCTCAGCCTTGAAATAGCTGCCGAGGCCCATCTTTGAATTCGGATCTGAAGTTTGCTGATAGGGTGAAGGACTGTTACCAAGGTAGACTGATCCTAGTCGATAACCCTCTGTCGGGGCACCTTAAAGGTGTGCGATGTTCAAGGCTGAATAATGATTGTTGTGTGATAATGCGATATCGTAGAGGTAACCCAGAGTGAAGTATGTAGATTCAAATGACTGGAAAGGTCTTAGATTGGTACGACCATAAAATGAATGAGAGAAGGGTAGGTTGAGTGAGTGAATGACACCGACTTGGTCGAGCGAATGAATGAATGGAGAAGTTGGAGGGTAGAGAGCAAGCAACTTACAAAAGGCGAAGGGATGTCCAAGTCGAGCCTATTCATACCAGGTTTGCCGTTGATCTTTGACTCAACAGAGTTCAAGGGGGCAGGCAGATCAAGGTTTAAGGGCCCTGATGGAGATATAAGTTCACGGCCAATAGCGCCACTGCGGATAGATAGCAAGACGATGAGGGCGGGCATGGCGACGGAAGCCATCAGAAGTGCATTTCGGATAGCCAACACCAAGGACCTCCACTTAGATGGTGAGGACCCAGACCTGAGTCAAGACCCAAGGCCAGCTTGATCTGGAGGACAATAAGTCTGGATGAGAGGAGCTTGGACATTGGGGAGGGGTGGAGATAGACGAGCCGGTATCAATATGGCACAGAGGCTTGGGCCACAGAGACATGCTCCGACGATCAGAAACGGGCCTGATTAGCCTACTGAGGTTCAGCGGCGATGGCGAAGGACAGTATCCGGCTGACTGTGGGCGAGACACGCCAAGGCGGGTGACCGAGGCTTCGGGCTTGAAGTTTCTGACGGAGAGGCGCTCTCCCCAGGCGGTAGGCGCCTCAAGTCTAGATGGTCCAAGTCGGGGGAGGAAAAGGCATGTCTCTACCCGATGAGAGGATCAGCAGTAGACCGCTAAAGAGAAACTCGATCGCAAGGGCATTGTGGCGCCAGACTGCCTTTCCTGGATCGGATCCTGTAGACTCTAGAGAACCGTCGAGGCTCTCATGGGTCTCGAGCCGACGGAGATGGCGAGCCATGTTGGACGTTCGAGAGAGGGAGTTTCAGGGTCCAAAGGCCGCGTCCGGCGACCGGTCGTGGGAGAACGGCTCAAAGGGTACCTAGAGCAACGGTTTTCGGTCTTGTCTCACACACGAGATTCACTCTGAAGAAACTGCCGTTGGAATAACGGACCTGGCATCGTGAGACTGTCTCGGTGAAGACTCTAAGAATCCGGTTCATCGGAGGTTGGTGGGTAGAGGTCGTTGCAAGGCAGGTCCCGAATCAGGACTAGAACCATCGGGACTGAACCAATCAGAACCGTTCATCTAAAAGTTTGGACGCAAATGGGGCAGGTGGCTTTGACCCGCACCCCCCCTAGTGCGCTTTTGACAGCTTCCGGCAGGAACAA